AAACCATCGCGGCTTGGCCGCCACCTCGGTCGCAGAAGGACCTACGACAGTGGTTGGGCCTCGCCATCTACCTGCACAAGTATAGTGCAGGCTACGCCGAGCTGGCACGGCCCTTGTCGGATCTCCTGAAGAAGGATGTCGACTGGCGCTGGGAGCGTCGCCATCAAGATGCTTTTAACGACATCAAAGTAAGCTTACAGCGCGCGCCAGTCCTGGGATTGCCGGACGAGACGAAGCCGTTCAGCGTAGTCTGTGATGCGTCTGACTACGCAATTGGCTGTGCGCTATTGCAGGCCGACGATGAAGGCCGCGAACGGGTCATCTCGTTCCAGTCCCGGCAGCTCAAGGCAGCCGATCGGAACTATCCAGTCCACGACAAGGAACTACTTGCCATGAAGTACGCTCTTGTCAAGTTCCGAGTGCACCTCCTGGGCTCGACGCCCTTTGTCGTTTATATAGACCACGCGTCCTTGCGGACTGCCGTCAACACGCCGCATCTCTCACAGCGGATGGCGCGTTGGCTGTCATTCTTCGCGGAATACAACTTCCGTGTCGAGTACAAGCCGGGCAAGTTGAACGTGCTTGCCGACGCGCTGTCGCGCCGACCCGACTACGAGCTTGCTCATATTAGTCGGGTCACGACGGATCTGTATGATCGCATCAGGCTGGGGTACCGAGACGATGCCAGTCTCGGACCTCTTGTGCGGTTCTTGGCCGCTGGCTCGGAAGCCAAGGCCGAGTGGCTCACGCCCCGACAACGTGCAAGGCTGCACCGCTATGAGTGGGCTGACGGTTTGCTCCACTATAGGGTCGAGCCCGAGGATCCTCCCCGTATTGTCGTGCCCAACGACGAGGATCTCAAGTACGACATCCTGATGGAGGCGCACGGCGCTCCATCCAGTGGCCATCTTGGCCGTGAGAAGACGTACGCGTCTGTCTCGCAGATGTTTTGGTGGCGTCATATGTACAAGTGGGTCGCCACCTACGTCCGTACGTGCGAGACGTGCCAGCGCGTGAAGCCTGCCGGTCACGCCTCGGCACCATTGCAGAGCCTGCCGGTCCCAACGGACTGCTGGAAGTCGATGAGTCTCGACTTTGTCTTCGGACTTCCGGCCGATGACCGTGGCAACACTGGTGTTGTTGCCTTCGTGTGCCGTCTGAGCAAGATGGTCCACTTTGCTCCAGTTCGTGACACCGTCACTGGCGACGAGGTCGCTCGCCTGTTCATGGACTGTGTCTTCCGACACCACGGTCTGCCCGAGACCATTGTCTCTGATCGAGACCCGGGGTTCACCGCTACGTTCTGGCAGACGCTGTTTTGCCTTCTCGGCACACGACTGTCGATGTCGACGGCGGACCACCCGCAGACGGATGGCCAGACGGAGCACGTCAATCGCGTGCTCGAAGACATATCTGCGCGGAGATGCCCCGCTCTTGGGCTAATCGCTTGCCCATGGTTGAGTTCGCACTCAACAATGCGGCACATGCATCGACGGGCTTTACGCCCTTTTACCTGAACGGGTTGCGCCACCCTCAGGTGCCGCTCACATTACGAGGCAGTACCGGGGCTTCGGTCCTAAGTGGGGGAGAGGCTCGGAAAACCTTTTCCTCCCAAGTCTCGGACGTGAGTCCAGCCACCTTCCGGAAGCAACTGTCCTCGTTTGCCGAAGACAGGCTGAACATAATCAGCAGGGTGCGAGACACCATGGCGCAAGCCCAAGATAAACAGAAGGAGTACTCTGACCGAAATGGAAGAGGAAACATGAACGTGTTTAAGGTTGGGGATTTAGTTCTCCTAGATACTAGAAACCTACCGCTAAACACTGTTAGCTCGGTCGAGAGCAACAAGCTGAAGCACCGCTTCATTGGACCCTTCACGGTCCTCAGCCGGCATGGCGCGGCGTACACCATAGACTTGCCCAAGTCGATGACGACTCACCCGACGTTTTACGTGGGTCGTCTTAAGAGGTACCATGGCCCTCTGGCTCTGGCTGCCCCGCAGGAAGCGGTGGGTGGCCCGGTGGAGAAGAGCGCAGCTCCTCGAAGCGCGGCGTCGGGTCGCGGTAAGGTGCCTGATACGCGCGCTGGTCGTAAGACGGTGCGGCGTACATCGGAGCAGCATACGCAGGGGCCCCGTACGAGCCCTGGCCAAACTGGGCCTGATACGAGTGGGGCTGCTGCTGCTCCGGATACGGCGCGTGGCCATGAAGCTCGGCCCGAAGGCCAGCGAGCTGGTTTCGCAGCGAGTCGTAAGACGACAGGTCGGCTCGACGATCCACACGGCCATGGAGACTGCGAGTTTCTTGATAGAGCGAGGCAACGTCCTCACGGAGCCGCTCCACGGCACCAGGCTGACCAGCACGAGCGGCAGCCTCGCCACCAAGGCCGACGCCAAGCGCGATCTCGAGGACGTACACACGGTCCCGGAGAAGACGAATCTCCTCTTGCTGCAGGGCCACCACCTGACTCGGGGCCCCAGCATACGGCTGCGTCGCCTCAGGCTCGTAGCCATGGCCGTGCGAGGCCACCGCCGGCCCTCCTTGATCGTAATGGGCAGATCCACTACCACGTGGAACGAGTCGCCCGGGAGCGGCGGCTCCATGGCAAGCGCCAGCTGCTCGTGAAGTGGAGGGGTTACCCTGAGTCGGATAACTCGTGGGAGCCCGTTGAGCAGCCCCAGACAGACTGCCCGAAGGCTGTTGCGATATGGGACGAGAAGCAGCGGCAGCTTCGTAAGTAGTCCTTGGCTTCTTGGCCGGTACCCGGGACGCGGTAGCAGACGTAGTCGCACCACGTCCACGCTCTTCACGAGCTTTGGCTCTCGCCTCTTGCTTCAGCTCGTCCATCTTCGAGTGGAGCTTGCGCTTGCTCACGAGTAGAGCGAACTCGATGCGGAGCTCACGCACGTCCAGGATTGCGGACAGAGTGCGATCCTCACGGAGTTCTTTGAAATCTTGGTCGGAATACCCTTTGCGCTGGACGTAGCGCCAGAAGAGGTCTTCCACCTCGCTCCAGGTCATGTTGTCATTCGGCTTGACCCAGTGGAAACCCCACACAGGATGGAGTCCACCCTTGTCCTCCGGCTTCTTGCGAAGCGTGGTGAACTCCTTCAGTGTGAGCTTGTGTGGTGCTAGTAGCACACTCCGGGCGACTTCAACGTCACCAAGAACGAGTGGCTATTTCTCAACAAGAGCACGCTCCTAGGAACCCCTCGAGGTGTACCCGCCGATAAGGCCACGAGGAGCCGAGAGCTTCTCCAACAGCGCTGGCGCACCAGTGCCAGGCTCGGGCGGGAAGTAGCCCTGCGGGTACGTGGCATCCCCGCCTGAAGAAGACTCGATGGCAGTCGTGGCAGTCGGCTGCCTGGCATACGCACCCGAGCTAGCAGCGTGGTATTGCTGCTGCTGCTCGTCGAGGTTGTTGGAGAGCTCCTTGGGCTCGTGGACGGCACCCTCCTCGTCCTCAGACTCCGAGTCGATGAACAGCTTGGAGCTGGACCCGCGAGGCGACCTGGAAGCTGAACGCTTCTTCGCCTTGGCCTCGGCGGCCTTCGCAGCGGCAGCCGCTTTCGACGCTTGGGCACGCTCACGACCTTGTGCCAGCGTCAGATGCTTGGATGCCAGCACCTCCTTGGGCTTGGAGCCCGCGTCGCTCGGCGACTTCTCGGCCACGACCCCAGCGTCGGCCATGGTGACTTCGTCGTGCGACTGCTTGCTGTCGCCTGAGCCGGACTCGGCGTCCTCCGCCTCCTTCTCTGACGAGGACTTTGCGTCGGCCGAGGCGTTGGTCATGCCGCCTGCCGCCAGCTCCGTGCCTTCAGCAGCGTGCGTGCTGCCCTCCGAGACGTTCTCGTCGTCGGGTGAACTCTCACCGGAGTACAGGACCATCGTGCAGTCAAAGACGGCGGCTTCCCAGTCGCGAGCCGGGCTTTTATGACCCCGAGGACTCTCCTCCTTGTCTTGCGCGGCGTCAGGAGACTTGCTCCGAGCCCCGGCCTGACGGCCACTCTCCGGCGTGCTGCTACGAGAGCGCACCACCTCATCGGCCGCCTTCGTGGCCTCCATCAGCGCGGACGACTCGTCCTTGGCCTTGGCCGCCCTGGTCTTCGGCCCTACGGCCCGCGGTTTCGGAGGTGCTTTCGCACTGCGCGCACTGCGCTTTGGAGGCATGCTTCCGGTCAACGTGGAGACCCTGCGGCTTGCTCGGCGATGCGCCAGTTGCTCTGTGAGGCCCGGGAGCCGAGGCGCCAGAGCTCGCGCCGTTGTCGATGGATTTCGACTTTGCGAGTGAAATGTGAGTCGCCGGCGTAACCTCGCTCTGATTGGTCGATAAGATCGAATCTAAGTGGGGGAGGATGTAACGGGGTTACATGGAATAGTGACCCTGTCACTATTCCGGGATGGCTACATCGGTCACTCCCCTGGATAGTGACTCAGAGCCAACAGATACATTTTGTATGACACAAACTATAGGGAACTTAGCATTTGTATGCAGGCCAAATCTGTACCAACCTATAAATACATTCAGTCTTAGATCTACCGCTTTTCAAGTCAAGTCGTCCCCTTCAGACCAGAGACACGTGAACGGCTGTTCACTTGGAGTTTGTATACTCCTGCTTCCTCTGTTAAGAAGTGCTGTGTGCCCCGTCACAGTAAATCAGCGGTGGGGGTAAAGGTCTGGTCAGTTGTGGAGGGCGACGACCTGTCGGCCGTGGAGGAGGAGGAAGACGAAAAAGCTGAAGATGAATTAGTAAATGAGTTATCGGGCGCGGTCGGCGTAGCTATGAAAGAGGTTCGCGGCGGTTTTCGGGGGCGTCCCGACTTAACCAAAGGTTAAGGCGTATGTGATGGATCGTTTTCCGAGTGGAGCTGTTAAGCGCCAGTCCACATCACCGCAATTCTGCTATGGCCTGTCATCCGTCTCTGTGAGGCTAAGGTTTCTTTTCTACAGAGGCGAAGGACAAATTTGGGGGAGCGAAATGTAGCGCTGGAAATGGGGACGTTGGAACCATTGCGGCGACTTCCCTTGTCGCGATGAAGAGGTGGCATGGAGCTGGTGAAGCCTTGGACACATTGACGGACACACTTTCATGGATCTCAAGTATCAACATCGCAGCACGGGCTCAGCCAAGGTTAAAAATAGCCCGCGATCCAAGGCTCGAGAGGTGGCTGGAGGCATATTTTCTCACCACAGGTACGTTGTCATATTTATTAGTGAGTTTTAACTTGTTGCCAACCCCTTCTTTTTAATTTTTAGATGGAGCACCTCGACCTTCCCGGCAAGGGTTTGATTAGCGATACTACCGTTAATCTGCTGCTAAGAAAGTTGGTAGACCAGCGCACTGATGCTGTGTATGCTAACCCCCCCACCCCCGCACTCACGGGGTTTTCCGGGTCATGACTTTGATCCATATAGACCATGTTAAAGCTGTACACCATATTTTAAAAATATGCGTACTTGATCTAAATATTGTCTTCCCATCAGTACGGCACATGTCTATAACCAGCGGGAAACTGGTTGACTCAGACAGACAACCATGGTGTCTAAGACGCCCTCGTATGGGTAGCTACAAATCAACAGGGTGTATATACTACAGCTTTGTGTGTCCTTTTTGTTGGGGCCGAACAAAAATCAAATAAAGCGCAGGTTTATGCTAGAAGAATCCTATGATCACATCCCAAAATGCCAGGCTATGCATGCCTTGAAAACAAGAAACCTGCTGTACCTAGCTAGCAATCAAGTGACACGACTTCCCAACCGCGGGCTAATGGCGTCTTAGCATTATTATAGCGGATGTCCTGCTCGGTTTTATTGGATTGGGCCACCTCACCTGGCTGCATTCTCTCTGAGGGGTGCATATTAGTACTTAGATGCGCAATACAACCCTTAGAGAGCAAAATATAGTGTCTACGGTGTTCATTCTTTCCAGCTTACCTCTTCTTTAACATACCCTGGTATATCGGACGAGATTCATCTTGCATTTCGTGCCGCTATGTACAATCATGTATCATATCCTGTCTGATCTGATCGGAGTACCCAGGGTATATTAGGGGTAGCACTGTCTCATACGCATGATGGGGAGAGCGGTTCCTGTTAGCAATCTGTAAGCAATCAACTAATCAGTCTAATCCACCATTCTCTGCAATTCCTACTCGTTCTTTGTGCATATTAAATATATATGGTGAAATTTTTCACCTACACCTGTGCATTTTACGTAGAAAAAGACATGCTGCTCTTTTTCATAACAACGTATGAGTGAGCGCTGTGGTGGCCGGGGAATATCTACTACGAGACGACGCACATGAAAACCTTTTTCTACGGGCTGTCCACGGAAATCATCCTCCTTACTGTCAATTGCGACGGAAATCACTTGTGTGGCATTGCGATCAAGCTCCAGGAAGCAACCGTGCTGACCGTACGGGTTCAAGCTGCATGAAGGTGATTCGAGACCTTACGAAGGACGTCCTGCCATATCTCCCACCACCACCGGAGTCGAAGCGAAGATACCATATCCGCTCGTACGAGTCAGATATTGGTCTTGAAACTGATAGTTACAACTGTGGTGTTTTTGTCCTGACCATGTTGGAAGATGTCTGGGGCTTAAGTTCACCCGGTAAGTGTACCATATGAGACCTTCAATACTTGCGTTACAGATGCATGCTCACATGCTTGTAATGCCAGTCTACTTCTTCCAATTTTTTATTCTGCGTCTGTACTTGCTCGCTAAAACCGCGAGTTCTCTCTGAGCTATTATTATAATCATCAAACTTACGGCAAAACCTCAGCTCCCATCTCACAGTAGTTGTGGAGAAAAGATTGAAAGTTCACGTGCGCGTTGTACATCTACATCTAACCAACGAATATCAGCTTTCGAAATAAAAAAGTATTTCTGCTCTGACCGAAACAAGTATGTCCTAATGGTACGATATTTGTTATCTAGACTTTGAAATTGTGTTACAGAAAACTGCGCGACAAGCAAGCTGATCGCGACATAAGCACCTGCAGAATGTGCCACCCACATGTTTTAACCTGGCGGTCAACATGTTCTACGCGGACGGGGAGAAAATCCTTCGAAGGAGTGGACGCACCCATGCTCCAGCTGTGACTTTGTCACACAACTACGCGGGGTTGGTAAAGCACACGGATCTCCGACCTGTGAAGTGCAACGTTGTAACGGGGTTACACGAGAGTGACCCGAAGGTTATGAAGTGGGTACACACTGTCTAACCTAAATCAGTAGGCAAATCGGTACATGGAATCAGAGCCACTAATTGGGCATATGACTAGGGTTCACTATGCTAGAAAATGAACAAGACACGCGGCTTGGCCGCGATAAATAGAAATACATGCAGTGTGAGTTTTACACTGAAGAGTCTACGATTAACTCTTGGAGTCCGAAGGGAGTACGGACTCGTACGTTCTGATATTAGAACGGGCTATCTTAAGCTAAGACTCTGCGAGTCGGTTACGCTTCGTCTGACGCTGAAAGTTACGGCAGCCCGCTGCAAACGTAGCTCGCTTGCCGTCGGCTTTCGCTATAACGGAGCACTACATCACCATCCGGGCCGAGATCAAGAAGGTGGAGACTGTTTTAAGATCGTGTCATCGTGAGTTCAAGAGAAAGATTCAAGGTTGGACGATTGAAGGCTCGAAGTAACGTGGTCAAGCCAAATAGGGGATAGTTAATTTGACGCCTTGATTGGAATGGTGTTGGCCATGGAAATTTGCCCTGTAAACGAAATTCTGGAGTGAAAAGCGTTTCTGGAGTAAAAAGTGTTTTAGGCTTTTTCTCAGAGTATGATATGTGTGTGTGCTCAACAAATAGTGGCCACGTAACGTTTCATCCACTCGACATAAATTCCGCTGATTGAAAAGACCCAATCAGACATACCCGTATCTTGATGAAGCACTTGCGGCCCTGCATAAAGCCAATTTGTCGTTGTGTGCAGTGTGCGAACCAAAGCCTGTATGCGGGTTAAAGCCTACATGACTTCAAGTCGAATACATACGCTGTTCGTTTCTACGCAGTCATTGGGTGGGCATCATTGTATGCCCTCAGCGTCGGGACTAAAAAAATCGGGAAATAGGTCATGAACCACGCCGGTTGCGCGCTATACGAAGCTATTTCCATGTCTTGTCGCTCCTGACAACCGGAATTTTCAATGGATTGATATCAGACTTGTATAGAGAAGCCGCAAGCGGAAGGCGCCCACCGTGAATGACAATTTTATAATAGTCACGTCTTACCCCCCCCCCTCCCACCTCCCCCGCTCTCACAGGTATGACTACATGTAATGAAACAGAGCCGGACGTCTTTATCTACGTGAAATGCACAGGTATAGGTGAATATATGTACAAAGAACGAGTGGGAATTACGAAGGAAGTTGGATTCGGCTGACTATTTGATTGGTAACGGCTCCCCCCATCGTGCGTATGAGACAGTGCCATCCTACTCCGATAGTATTAGACAGGGAATACACTATGATTGTACCCTCTTCTGGCTATGATGACATGCCTTATTGCACCCGATATAACAGAGTATGCGAACGAAGAGGTACACAAACACAAAACAACACTATATACACTACATATTACTCTGTAAGACTCTGGATGAGCCTACGCGAGCTAATTGAGCCCCAACAAAAGAATAGTGGCCTGAGAAAGTGGCCAAGTAGGAGAAAATCGAAAAGGCGTCCGCTATAACTATACAGACACAGCGATAGCCAAATGCATGTAGCGGTTGTAGAGAGGGTGGCAATTAGTTGCTAGCTAGGTACAACGGTGTTTTGCTTTCAAGGCATGCATAGCCTGGCATTTTGGGATGTGATCATAGGATTCTTCTAGCATAAACCTGCGCTTTATTTGATTTTTGTTCGGCCCCAACAAAAAGGACACACAAAGCTGTAGTATATACACCCTGTTGATTTGTAGCTACCCATACGAGGGCGTCTTAGACAACATGGTTGTCTGTCTGAGTCAACCAGTTTCCCGCTGGTTATAGACATGTGCCGTACTGATGGGAAGACAATATTTAGATCAAGTACGCATATTTTTAAAATATGGTATACAGCTTTAACATGGTCTATATGGATCAAAGTCATGACCCGGAAAACCCCGTGAGTGCGGGGGTGGGGTAACAAAAGCGTTATTGGCTTTTTTTAGATAAAGAAGCAAGTCTTATTGGGATAGCAACGGAGGAAAACGTGGAGTAAAAGAGGAATTCGGCTGTTGCTGCATCGGTCGTGTTAAGGATGCACCCAGTGATTTCTGGGAACTAGTAACTGTTAAGAAGCGAGAGTGCGGCTATGTACATTGAAAGAAGGAGCACATGAAATCACAACGTAACATTTCGAAGAAGCGTACTACCGTAAAATTCGGATTCAATGAGACAGTGGTAAAAACTTTTCCGTCAAAATAAATTTCATAAAAAGACTAAAGTTTTTGCGAGTGGTAAAACGTTTAAGGCGCGCAACACCTGCCGGTGCCTCCATGTCTTCCGTCCCCACTCCTTGTTTTGCGATGATTGGCCACCCAAAAACTCAAGCTGAAGGCGCTCGACCGCGGGACGAAGACCGTCGCAGCTGCGGCAGCGGCGGTGGGTGTCCACCGCTCGACGTGGTATCGCTGGAAAGTGCAAGAGGTGTTAATCAAGACGGCTGCGGAGGACTTGCCTACCAAGTTTTTTCACTCATCGCAGTACTGGGATGTACATTCGAGACCCAAGTTTAGAGAAAAAGTAAGTTTTGTGAATTATTTTGTAAGACTAATTTTGTGGTTTAGACTTCTTGACTGGATTGTAGAAATGAGGAAAAACTGCTACCTGTATGTGTCAATGGAATGTTTGTTGCTAATGCTGGCTCGGTAAAATCCTAAACGCTTTAAAGCGTGCTCCCGGAACGGGAACATGTCGTTTGTCCGACGCTTTCTAAAGCGCAACCGGCTGTCATTTCGACGAATCACCCACAGAGGTAGAAAGAAGCGTCCCGACATGGAGGCAAATACTATTTCAACCTTGCTTCTTTTGACAAATATGTATTTTACTAATTGATTTCATAAAAAGCTTGTTGCCAATGTATTTTCGCTGTCAATCCAGCATGCGATTGAAGAAGACGGGATTCTTTCATCTGAACGCGGCGATGCCAAGCTGGCAGCTGTGTTCGACATGGACCAAACGGACGTGTACATTGACATGGCCGGCAACACAACGATCGACTTCGTTGGAAATGCGACGATGGACGTGCAGCAAGGTAAAACTATTGCTGTTTTTTTAATATTTTTCTAATTTTTTAGTTATCATTTACAGGAAGTGAAATCAACAGGTTTCTTGCATCGGTGTTTCATACTGCGACCGCCACGGAGCTAAAGCTGCCACCGCTGATCGTTTTCGCCGGAGGTCCGGGGGGTCCGGTATCTCACCAAATATGGAGCCCGGTGTTTGGCTCCCCCGGGGCTGAACATACCGTCCAGAAGAAGGCTTTTTGCAACGAGGCCGTCATGATGGAGTGGATCGAGCGTGTAAGTGTCACATTTTGGTGTTGTAATTTATTTGTAAGCTAATTTGTTGGTATTGTTTTTTTATTATTTGAAATAGGTTTGGAAGCCGAGTGTGGACGGATGCCACCTGCTCATTTTGGACAGCCTAAAAATCCACAAGATGCCATCAGTGAGGGAGTCGCTGGAGCAGTGCTGCACGCAGGTCCATTCGTGCCCCCAGGCATTACAGGTTTGTGCCAACCACTGGATGTTGCAGTAATGAAGTACATTTTTATTATTACAATATCGGTTACTTATTAGTCACTTACCTTATGTGTTTAGTTCTTAGGAGAATTTATCTCACGTACCACCTTGGGAACCGGTCCCCAGCTACGACATCGGAGAAGAGGTCGCTGATTTCGCGCTTCGTCGTCGAAGCATGGGCAGAAGTCAAGCCCGAAACGATCGCCAAAGGATTCGCGAGAGCTGGCGTGATTCCAACCGGCCCTCGCGACCGAGATGGTCGCTTTCGCTTTCCCGCTGCTGTTCCTGATGCCCCCCCGTAGTGCAGGACAACTAGGAAATATCGATCTCTTAATACATTTCTGATTTCTTTTTTATTACTGATCCCTGAGAATATTTGTATCATGCGAAAGGGTGACACCCTCATGGGACCGGTGCAAATCCCCTTTTTTGTTAAAGACCGTGGTGTTTTTACGACTGTCGCATTCAATCCGTTTGACGTATTGAATCCGAATTTTAAAGTAAGTTTCCACCTCCAAGGAAGCTCTTTGCGACCAATGCGAGGGCCGGGAAATAGTTATGTCTTATACGAACGGCCTCTCCAAACCACCCGCGAAGCCTGTGATGCCAATGTGAAATGGGCCTACTTTGGCTCACTCCTTTAGCGAACACGTGCGCGCATGTGTGTGAGGAAGCGTATCTTAGTTTAAACTAGAGTTAATTATAATAAGGCCTCCGAGTATAGATTAATCTAAATAAACGATCCAAATAATGCTTTTGGGTTAAAATGAGAACTGCTATTTTTGTTTTATGTTTCTGACTTCCTCTATATGTAATATTCTAAACTGGGAATCTGCCAACGGCTGGTTGGCAGAATTCCAATGCTATGCATGTCGCTCATTGGCTAAAATATGCTTCTTTCAGCCAATAGTAATCGTAAGTCTCTATGGGCCACCCGTCGTGGTGATCGTAAATGTATGTAGCCTTTGGCGTGTCTACACCAAGGTCGAGAAAGTCGTCCGAACCTCTAACAAACGTCGTGTCTGCTAGAGTTACAAGTGACTGTAGCCACTTGTGTGTGTAACCCCGTTACACTATGGATGGTCTGAAAGCAATCGACTGCATACGCGGACTATTTCCAACCCAGGAACGCACGATAACAGAAATCCTTTACAAGAATACTACATAATCCCTGTTGCGATTAATGTGGATCCGTGGCGCTCAACCAATCTAACTAGGTATCCGTGAGCATGTTCGCATGGGCGGTTGGTATAGGTGCGATAAACGCGCTGCTCTGTATCGAAAAATGATGCTCCCAGGAACCCAAACACATCCCTCAAAAAATCAAACGTCGCATCGCTGATCAGCACACTGATAACACTTGTCGCGAGCAGAGATTTACAGAGGTAAATGGAGCGAAACCCAATCGGAGACAGGTCCGAATCGAGTGGTTGGTGGTATCCTGAGTGGCCATACGACCCTGATTCTAACGTTGAACAACCAACGCATCTCCCTCGTTATATTCTAAAAACGGAAAGGTACAATAATGGCCAACAGAAGGTAAACATGCTGTCCAGGGTTCTAAACCCAAAGGTCGACGAGCTGCAGCAAATGTGCGGCGACTACAAAAGCCTACTAGTATAAATATAAGTGTTCACTTCATGTACTAACTAAATTAACGTACTCTATAAGAAATCCTCTTGCACCCTAGGTCGACGATCGCACCTCGAGTTCGTTCGGACAAGCTGGCTTGGGGTCGTCCGCCTGGAGCTCGTTCCTAGCAGCGACTTCCACGAAGGCGTCCCCGGGCCGGGGGGGGGGGGGGGTGAAAGAGCTCACCCAGACGACCGCCGCGCATTGATGGAGCCAAATAGCCTGTTTCAAAAGCTGGGCCGTCAAGAGGCAACCGAGAATTACAGTGGTCTGACCTTCCAACCGGTCAGTTGGAAGAACGAGGCAACCGAGAATTACAGTGGTCTGACCTTCCAACAGGTCAGTTAGAATTACAGTGGTCTGACCTTCCAACTGACCTGTTGGAAACCGAGAATTACAGTGGTCTGACCTTCCAACAGGTCAGTTGGAAGGACCTGTTGGAAGGTCAGACCACTGTAATTCTCGGTTGCCTCGTCAGGCCAGTTGGAAGGTCAGACCACTGTAATTCTCGGTTGCCTCGTCCTTCCAACTGACCTGTTGGAAGGTCAGACCACTGTAATTCTCAACAGGTCAGTTGGAAGGTCAGACCACTGTAATTCTCGGTTGCCTCTTGACGGCCCAGCTTTTGAAACAGGCTATTTGGCTCCATCAATGCGCGGCGGTCGTCTGGGTGAGCTCTTTCACCCTGGCCACTGGGCGGACAATGACAGCGGTCAGCGCAATACGTTTCTGGGGCGGTCGGGCGACGTCGTTGGCGTCGGCTCCCCCCTGCTTGCGGCTAGCGAGGGCCCCGCGACGGTCCAAAACCGCCTCGACGGGGTTGCCCGACCGCTCTACGACCACCCCGTCAATGGGGTGGAACACGGGAGAGCCCTCGCTGTGCAGCTCCTGCTATTCGTCGAACGAGTCTGCGCACAGGCCCTCGCGTGGGTCGTCTTCGCGCTGAAACTGGTCTCGCGGTTTTGTTAATGCAAAATCTTTACCGTAGGCGAGTAGTTGGCGAATGAGCTCACATTGTAGGCGCGTTCATTTGCAAACTAGTGGTGTTCATAATGTAGGAAGCAATCTAGAGAATTTGCCCGTGGGTTTCGGAGTGGGTTTCCCACAAAACCTCAAGCTAATAAATTACGACGGTGAATTACGGCTTAACGTTTCAACCACAGGCTAAGAACAGGCTAAAAACATTTACGAAGTTGTCCTGATTCCAGCTTGCGGCAGATCTGCTGATGTGCGAAGCACGTATCTAAATCTGCAGTGCCGACGATAGCGACAGCCTGCAAAGAAGGTTGTAGCGTCGAAGTTCGGCGTCAGGGGCAAACGTGCCGGCTGGACAGACTGCGCTAAATATGTTTATTTGACTATTGTGTTGAGTCACATGCAATTGCCTTGTATTCGCGTCACGTATTAGGTGCAATGTGGCAGCCCCATACATAATGGCTTCGCTGATAGGTTGCCCCCCCCCACCCACCCAACCCCACCATCACCACACAGACACACATTGGCATTTCCTACAATGTGAGTGGAAGAAAGCGTGCAATAAGAATGAGGAGCAAGCCGGAGTTGCTGTGGTCATCACCTCGCGACGCACGTCGGACTTTGGTATAAAATTATGTGGCGCGTTGCACAAACTGGTACATTAATACATCATGAATGCTTATCTCCGACGAGCGAGGCTCTTGAGGTATAGCGGCGTGGCCCGTAAGACTGTGGTAGATACAGGAGAGCTGTGCGGTGATGACAAAGCCGTGGCGACTACGATCCCGCCGACTTGCAGATTCCACGCGGATTGACACGCATGTTAGCTAGAGCGCAAAAAGCGAAATTAGTACATTGCGTTGTTGTTTACTTTTACAATTACTACCTATGAATACCATATACTGTTAACTAGTGTAGCTTGAGAAAATCCGCCCGCTCAATGACCACCTCCGAATAGTTCTGGTGCAGATGGTAAATCAGTAGCTCCATGCGGATAAATGGCCTAGAACTGCTTGAAGGTGATTATTGTGGCCGCTCTTCAATGGCGAGTCGGTGATGGACACTTACAAACTTCTTTGTCTATTCCGTTGATAGACTGTTCTCGTCCCAGAAATCATTGAACCTAGCAAGCAACTTAGACCATTCTTCGTTACTGCATCACGAACTGGAGTAGCTTGTGGACCCATAATTGTAATGTTTTCTCACGCGGGGTTGCTTATAGTTGTCCACTCAATCGCAACATTCTACGGTGTGACGAAGATTTCGTCAATAGTGTTGGCTTGTCGATCTGCTTGGGTACCTTAGATCTCTTTGCTCGAAGAGCTGTAACGGGGGATAGGGGCCCTTTCGCGGAGAAGCCTCGCTGTCCCGACCCACATTTAGGATTATCTCTTTCAATGTCAAGATTTTAGTGAAGCGCCATGTTGATGCTGACTGCAAGCTATGTGGGGCGGGAAGGATTATTTGGTAGTCTGTGATGAAATAGATTAAACTCGTTCGGGTGCCATGGAGGCAAACGGTTCACCATCACGTTTTTCCCAGAAGTATAGCCCGCCCGAATTGAAGCCCAAAGTTTCTGAAGCGCACCATGTTGCGCGCACTGAACACCACGAGAATGGCGTGGGACTGGGTGGGGGTGGTGGGGGGGGCAGGTAAACTTTCCGCAAAATTAGCGACGCTGCAAAAGTTTAAATACTGGACCGCATGTCCGATTCCCGTTGAATATAACATCTGGCTGCTCTTGTTGCCGGTTGATTGGGGACGTCGACACTCAGCAATGCGAGGACTTTGAAGTGGAAGGACGAGCGTTCGATTCGTAGGATGTTTTCGAAAGGAGGTAACGACGTCGTTTGGGATGCATATCAGCATGGCGATGTCCCGATTGGTTTGCGGTCAGCATGTGCAGAAGACCATTCAATATTCTTTCGTAGTACTGATGGTCAGCATGGTTTGGGGGCCCGTCGGGCAGAATAACTCCCATTCAACGCACGCATCTTGCCAGTGGCTCAGCGGAATCCTCTAACTTGGTTGACAGATCTGCAATGTATTCTTCCGTCGCCAATGGCGGTTTAACATAGGAGCTTGGAGGTTGTTCGCTCGACAACTCCATGACCGTTTTCCCAATATTGTTGGTTTGGTCAGTGTCCACGTGTGTCCAGCTAACACTGCTTTGCAAACCCTCGTGATACCGTAGTAGTATCCCAGTCGGGCAAACGTTTGGCGCCAATCATGTTTTCCCGTGTCCCCTTCAACAGCAAAACAAAGATGCGCGATTGTAGGTGAGAGGGACTGCGCTAAGTAGATCTAACGCATCTTCGTTAACGGTTAAAATTTCTCCGCTAGCGCTTGCCACGACAGGTCCCTCTTCTACTGGCGTGGCTGGTCGTTTCCTCCCTCGTCTTTCAGCTGGCTGTAGTAGTGATTGAAGTGTCCATGCTTGTTACAGTGGTATAAACAATACCATGCTTGGTTTGCTCTGCAGGTGCGTAGTGGCCAGGCTTGTATGAACCCTTACCGAACGCCTACTTGGTTTTGGACGCGTTCGATCTGAGCGGCGTACGAAACGGTTGCTCGCGCCCGTGTTTCTCGCGATCCTGTCGGCGATCGCCACTGAAGTGGGTCATCTCGTACCTGGAGATTTGACCCATTGCTTTCTTTAGCGTCGTCGTGTTTGGTAGCTAGACGGAAGCTTGCGTGGCGCGCTTAAGGTTATCTCAGTAGTAGCTGAGTTGTTCTACTTCACTAATGTTCTCAACGCGGAAGATCAGCGACGAGTACTTCCCATTTTACTTATCAATGTCACCGAGTTGACGAAGCTTCTATCGAAGCCCCGCTTGGTAGTGTGAAGCTTCATAGCGTACGAGGGCGTTGTGGGTAAACTGTCCCAATGTCGGCTCCTCCGCTGGCGTCCGAGGGGTCCAAAGGCAGACCGCTTGGGGCTCGTGGCTTCAACTCCGTCGGCGGTGGGTGCGGCGCTTGGCTTGCAGAGCCAATAATTTCGGCAGTCAGCTGCGCGACCTGTGTCCCCAGCTCTACTTGTCTCTGCTTTCGCGGCTGGCACATAGGGTTCGATTTTACGCGGCTCAGGGCCATGGTCGTCGAGTCTTGACCAACAAGCGCTACCAGTGATACAAGCTGACCCTGTGGTAGTAGTAGTAGGAGGAGGAACACGTGCTTGCAGCTGGCTGGGAGATTGCGAAGTTCGCAGGCCATTCCACTACCAACTCCCTTGTATCCCAACACGTGGCTAATGGAGCCCCTATATTGAATACAATCCATGCTAATATGAGCTACCACTAATCTGGTATAGCTACATTTATTCCTTATAAAATCAATATAAGTTTGGGGGTATAAGAACCGACCACACCACAACTTGCTGTAGTGTGCAATATATGGGCTGCGACGAATCAACAAACGTTGTAGGGCTTTGCTCATAACACTTTACATGTGGCGTTACTTCACGGATATCGTGTGTAGTTTCCGCATGTATATAATCGATAGCTCTTAGCCCATCGAGTATCCTTAATAAATTATAACATACAAATCTATGTCATTTCCTTTTATAGTTACGGAGGTATGTCGCATGGGACATGACATCTACCGTGATTTGCTCGATACATGCTATGAATGCGTTTGACTAGTATTTGCATTTGGAATAGTCATAAGATGATTACGCTGCGCACCGTTGACAACGATAGCAAGACGGTGCTACAATTCTCAAAAGAAGAAGGAATTTGACGGCGAAATTGGCATCATGCCTATGGTTGAGTGAGTAGCTGCAAAACAATATTCAAAAGAGCCCTTTGGTCACTCACAATTGTGAGCATGGCCGGAAAATGTGCATAATGATGATATCGTACCTGCGATTCAGCCAACCGACATGTGGTGTGGTATTGGTTTTATTTTCAATGTTTTAAGACCCTAAAAGAAGAAAAGAAGGATCATTCAGCTATAGCAAGCCCCCCCCCCGTATGAAGCGAATTGTTTTTGCGACTGGAGTGCAAGCTAGCGTGCTCGTGTGTCAACCACCACGTAGCACTATTAGCGCGTAAGGCCGTAGACACTCCATCTGACGAAGGGGGTAAGGAATTTAGACGGTCTCATCTACGCCGTCCTACCAGCCGCCCACGGTACTTCGTGGTCCGACAAAAGTAATGCGAAATGTGATCGTGCATGGTGGTGGTATTGCCTACGCGATGACGTGCGTTAACCTGTCTCGCTGGAGTTAGTAAAATAGGGGGTATATAGTCGCTTAAGCTTAGGATTTGGAGTCGGTTGGGCACCATTCGCCGTACAGTGCCGATACTAGCTATAGATGCACTCACGAATCTGCTCTAGCATCTCGAATAATATTTTTTAAAACATATGATTCTGATCACTATTAGATATTGTGTTTTGTACCGAACATATCCGATCCCATAGTAAGTTTCTTTAAAAAATAATCTAAAATTAGATAATATAAATAACAAATGATCGCATCAGCTATAATTGCGCGCCCGGGCGGGCGCACCCGGGGGGGGAATCACAGTTCGTCAGGCAGCTCTATTGTATTGTGTTTTGTTATATTTTGTTGTTGAATCGTTCTGTATTTGTTGTATTGTACTTCGTTGTATTTTGACATTACAAACCTCTTTTTGTTGTTGTGTGCTGTTTTATAAATTTTTTACTTGGAATGTTGCACATGGTTGCTTGTGTTGTTGTACTAAAAGAAACGTTTATGAATTTTTTTGTATTGTAGAGCGGCATTCTCGGTCTCTTATTTAGAGCATTTTATGGCGGTTCTTTTCGATCTGGCGTTACATATATTCGTTCTAAGATAATGTATCAACTGAAGCACTGCATCTATCTGCTCGAGTTGTTCGTCAGTGTTTCTCACTATCCTTTCAACGGATTCGCTGAGCAAGTCGTGTCGAGATCAGCCCGCGCGCCCTCCAGAAGCAGATCCAGCACTGCGAGACCGGATACGGCGCGATTGTCTTTGGACTGGGGGCACTCTCACTCATACTGCATTGCCTCACTACTTAGTCAGTTTGTGTGAATTCAATCCTCGGCTAACGACGTTGTCCAAGAAGCAACTCCCGACAGGGACGGCGTAGACCTCCCCGAGCTTTGTTAACGCTCCTCCGCCATCAACGTCGAGGTGGTGGTAGAACTTAGAGCGACGCGCACTTGGTCAGGAGCCATTGCATCCAGCTCAAGGTCGCTGGCAGGCACGGTCACATCACTTGATGAGAGCAGGACGTCTAAAACCTGCGAACACCTGCATGACGCACATATTATTCGCGTTCGATGGACAGATCGTGTTAAAATATAGCTGAATTCCACCTTTTCACGACTGAATCGCCATTAGAGCTGCATAGATGAGCACTGTAAAATCATTGGCAATATTTGTAGATTCTTAATGTTAATAATATATTATGCGAACTACTAGCAATGACAGTGAAATGGCTGTATTACTTAATGCCTACATAAATTATCGGGTCAATTCGTTGCGATTTGTGTATTTCCCATTAGAGTTGATGATGCTGGAGCAATGAGCCTCCGTGCAGGGAGGCGAAGGATTGTCGCCCTAGTTCAGGCCTTCGATGTGCTCGAGCACGTCGAAGTTTTCCTTGGTATAACCAAACACCACGTAAGGTGCGGCAGATTGGAATGAATAGTGTTCGTGTTCTAGTTGGGTCGGTTTAACAGAGTCTACTATGCAAAAATACCTTCGTGTTTTTATATTATCTTCTATGCTAACGGATGGACTATTTTTCAGGATGGGGAGTGGTTTCTCGACCGCTATTTTTACAGATTTTATCGTGTCTCAACCAATGAGACTCCACTATTTCTGCAAAAATTGAGCAAACCTTTTCCCGAAAGTCACGGTTGGCCGAGGAGGCATCCCTGCAGGTCTGGTAACTCAAAACCCGCTTGGAATCTTCAAAATTGACCTCATTTTCCGAATATACGCACGAAGTTATCTTACATAACTAAATGTCGATATAGGTTTTTACAGGTTAAGATCGCCAAAAATGAGCCGAAACCCTTGGAATCATGGCTTTTGACCGCGACAAAATAAGAAAAGATGGTTCTAAAAAGCTGTGTAGGAGCTGAAATCTTACCGTTGTTTAGAGTGCAGACACCAGCGCTTTAAACGGCGCCGACCGAAGAACCTCACACAAGTGTAGTACGTTCGATCGAAACGAACCCCTTTGAAAGGCGGTGAAAACTAACGAAGAAAATGTCTAAACAACAAAATACAAGGATTAAACATAAAATTGAGGCATCCCAAGCTCATCGACAAATACGGTAGGTACCGGTGTACCCACATAAACCATGATGCACCCACATTAAGTAGCGGTTGAAACGCAATAATCGAGGGAACTGACAACAACCGCTACCAGGCATTACCGCCTACGTTACGGTCTTGGGCTCGGCGGCACGTGTGGCTTCTCTGGTCTTTGCGCCGCCTCCAGGGTGTTCTTGGGACTGTGCAACCTCCCGTGGCTTCTCCGCGCACGGCGCCACCTTCAGCACGACGTCGGGCCTCAGCAGCACGTGGGGCGTGTCCTCGTGGCTGGACGGCATCTCCGGCGTGACCTCTGGTATCGGGCTGGAGCGCAAATCGCCTCGACACATCCAGAGCGGCACGAGCGCCAGCGACCGCTCGATCCAGTTCCTCGGCGCTTAGTGCCGCCTGGGCGAGGTCGAGCGCGCTGCAAGTCCTTGGTCGCGCGGTCAGAGCCTTGACCCAGCCGTATCTCCGTTGGCGCCCGAGTTGGCTTCCGATTTGGCCGTGAGGTCGATGATTAGTGGCATGCCTATTGGTGCGTCTGCTCTTTTGTTGATTTCCCCACGCCTCAATGGAGTGGCTCCATAACGCCGCGGTAGGCAGCTGGCAGCCGGAGTGGGCGTGCAGATGGGATATGCATGGTTTTTGTGTCTGACGTTTGTGTGTTTTATCAGGGTGGATACATGAGCTCTGCTATTTGCTCAACCCCTTGTTGCTAGCTGTTGTAGTAGTCGTAGTAAAGCCGGCAAGCACATGCACGTACTCGCTGACAAAATCGTTGTAGCAGAAGGTGCATGAAACGGCACGGTCGTAATAGCTAGTCGTGGAGGCGGCGATGAGACAACGCGTGTCGCTGCGGAAGTGCGCCCGCAGTGTTCTTTTTAGCGACCCCAAGAATCCGACGTCAAGGGGCGGGCAGGCTACCGTACTGTTAGCCGGTAGCAGACACATGGTGGTGCAACACCCCCGTCATAAGCTCATCTTGCCGTTTTGGCGGCACGTGACATTAATGTTTTCAATAAGAAGGACATAACGAAGATCTGAATTGAACTTTACAACACCCTTACGCCATAGATATACATGCTAGAAACGGATTAGGTTTTAAATATGACAGTACATCAGCAAAACGGGGTTTACATTTAGAGACATAGTTCGGTGTTTAATCGTTCGTAACGAAAGAGAAAAAGAAACGCATAAATTAGTGGAGTTGAAGTGGCCTGTGGCGACCATGCCACGTGCGTGGCACCTCTTTGTAAGGACATGCATACCAATCTCTACATAGAAATTTCTATGGTTTGCCCATCCCAAAGACAGCAAATATGTATTTGATATACCACGACTTCATATCGCCAGCCGTAGACCATGCTAGCGATGATGCAGAGGCCGACGTGGGCTGCTATGATTGATGCGCTAGCTGTGATCACATAGCCGACGTCCGACCGATCGATGGTGTGCTTGGCGTTAAGCTTGTCCTCCTTGATGATATAGCACGCGCTTGCATACACGACGAGTTTTGCTTTGATCGGGTGCCATCGAAGCCCTTGGTCTCGATGAAGATTTGGCGCGTAATGCGTTTGACCACCAAGCTAAGCATGCATAGTCGGGGGGGAGGGGGGTCACTTTAGGTCCCCGCGTCTGATCCTTACGCGCTTGACTGTGGTTGAATGGGACGGGTTCGTATGGCTTCGCTAGAATAAAGTTATATTGCCCTTCCTATCCGCTATAACGAAACTACCGCAAAACCCGTGACAAAGCCTTACGCCCCACGCTACTTACTCGTTACTCACTTTCTAATTCCCTCCACCCTCCTCTCCAAGCGCCTCCAAGATGTATGTCGCCGACCCCCCCCCTCACGTTCTAATGTATGTGGCATTCGTCCATCTTGGGTACCCTGTATTTGGGAATATGTGTTACTCCTATTTACAATATGTCCTTGTACACAACAAGGACAATGAAATAAGGCTTTTCATCAGCCGGCACTACGATGCCAAACATTCTGGCGTGTTAGGCCATCTCCATAGAGCTGCCTACTACCGCCAGATGTACCTCATTCTGTTCTCAGCCACTGATCCGCTGTCAGAGCTGGTAGCAATCTTTGGTGGAAAAAACAGGGGGAGGGGGGGTATCCACGGGAGACTGTCACTTGCTAGCAGACATGCTCAGCTTTAAGTTCACAGGAATGGATCGGTATCGTATTCTATTGATATATTTTATTATAGTGTTATCTATAAAATGAGTGTAGATGCGCTCGCTATCCAACTCGCCGACATGAAACCTCAACCACCCCAGCAGCAAACCCCAGTGTACAGACGCCCGTCGTCGGTTCTTCGACAGTCTTCCGTGACAACTATGGTGTAACTCAGTTGGATTGCACCTACCATGCGGAGAGGTTTGATGTTCCTTTGCTGAACATTATCGGAATTACAGGTTCAAATAGCACGATTCACGTCGCGCAGTGTTCTTACACATTGAGCAGAACCACATTACGACTGGGCGCTACGACAGCTTCATGCTTTAATGCCCTTAACCATAGCGTCACGGTGCCGACAGCCGCCTACACCTGCCGACACGATCGAGCAATGGTTAAAATACTCGATTGGTCTAAATGGCCATCCTTGCATTTTCAGTCCTGGCCGTCACAGTCATGGTGGCGGCGCCCCTGATCGAGTTCGCAGCGCCGTGACCTGCGCTACACCCCTCCCCTCCAGACCTCACGTGCGTGGCATGCAGGTGTGCACAGACGCAAACAGGGTTCCAAGACAGCGCGTCGGCTCTAGCAACTTGCCCCCAAGGAGACCTCTCTCCTCACCACCAAGGGGAGGGCACTTTGGCTTGCTCATCATGTGCCCTTGAAGCCACACACAGCAGGAAGCGAGTTGGGCAGCAGTCACAGGGCGGGGGCAACAAGAGCATGAAGAACGGGGGCTAGGACGCGAAGGACGGCGTGGAGGCCGACGACACGAAGGACGAAGGGCTGACCAAGGGCCCGGAGGGCAGCAGAGGCACCCAGTGTGCGGGGGACGGCGAGAAGACCAAGTGCGTGGAGGACGGCGGGGAGAACAAGAGTGCGAAGGGAAAAGGCACGAAGTGCACGACGGACGGGCGGCAGCTGTGGTTGAGGAGGAGGAGGAGGAGGAGGAGGAGGAGGAGGAGGAGGAGGAGGAGGAGGAGGAGGAGGAGGAGGAGGAGGAGGAGGAGGAGGAGGAGGAGGTGGAGAGAACGAAGCAGGCCGCAATGAAGCTGATAGGGGGATTGCGCAGGAGTCGAACGCGGAGGTGGAGCGCGTCGCAGTGGAGAAGGAGGTCGTGCGGTGTGGCGAGGAGCGCTGTGGCCACCGCAGGGGCAGCAGTGGAGGAGAGGGCATGGAGGGGCTGCCTCGTGTGGCAAGGAGAAGGAGGGCGCAGTGAAGATGGAGAGAGATGTCGTGGCTGGAGGGCGATGAGGGCACGCTTGTGGAGGGCGCGCGGCGTTCCAGCGGCGGAGACCTAGTCGTCAAGCCTGGAGTCGTCCCCGGGCAAGGTGGTGTAAGTGCGGTGGACGACGAGCGGGGACGAAGGCGCAAAATTTGCAAGGCACGATGCGGTTCTGCGCCGAGGAAGAAGGCCAGCAAGCGCCAGGAGCTTGTGCTTCTCGTGGCGCCCAGGGTAGCAGTAAAGGCTGCGGCGAAGGACAACGTGGTGATTACTGCGTGCCGCGGCAGGGATGCCCCTTGTAGGGTAGCTGAAGCTGTGTGCGAGTAGAGTTTGTAGATGCTGTAACAAGGACAAGAAATTTCATTTATTTATTTATTTATTTATTTATTTATTTATTTTATCAAGTTTTATAATACCTATGTGCTGCCTCCTATTATGTGGTGCCTCCTACATGTACGAGGACCACGGCTGAAAACTTTCGAGTACCCGATCATGTCAAGTTATTATGCAGTAGTAAGGTCATGAGAGATCATCGTCCAGGAAACTCGGTTGAGTTTGAGAAGCTGGCGGAAGCGCCGCTACAAATCGTGTGAAGCAGACAAATACAAGCAGTACAAACCCAAGGTGAAGTGTCGGCAGCATGCAAAATATGCGTACAATCGCCTAATTACTTAGCCTCACTATAGGTGGATAGCATATTTCGACAGGCCTACCGACATTATATGTCGGCAAGTGTCGGTGGCTCATATACCTACCCCTAACTTTGACGATTGGATAAATTAGCATCCATCGGCCTCCTGATTTGACAATAATCGCTTACAGTCAGTTGATTGGACCATAGCCACCATAAAGTGGTTAAGTAGAAAAACATATGTGTCGGCACCTTCACGATATTCCTCCATATCCCTAATCCGCGGGTGTTCTTTAGTGACGTTTAGCTGACTCTGATCAATACAGTTTGAAACGGTCTTCCCAAAGGTCTCGCATCTGTTTTGCCTGTGGTACATGGTGAAGAATGGAGAACTACGGTCGGGCAAGTTAGGCACGCGTATGCCACGACCTCGAGTATCTTTAAGCGGAAAAATTCAGATTGGCACTGAAGCTTCTGCACCGCTTTTTTGTGAGTGATCTGATCTACCACTGAAACGGAGTATGGGCTCCGAAAAGGAGAGCTGTACGTGCTGACAGACGTAGGAGGAACACATATCGAAGGCATATGGCTAAGCCTATAAAAAAGAAGACGGGTACGCCGCTGGACAAAACATCCTGCTCATTTTTGCTAACAAATAGAATCCTGAGTCAAGAATTAACATCAAACAATGAGGCGTGGCTGAGCACTACGAGTGGACTTCTGACAATTCATTCCCGGTTGCGCCACTGGTGGTGTATTCCTTCCATAAGTATTGGTCCATCAAATTGAAACTACACGTACCCCGAACCGGCTCCGACAACCACTGTACGACACGGTAGGCGCATTTATCAACTTCGCAGACAGACAACATTAGAGTTTCATCCGAGTTGTGAACTCGCTAATGCTCCGACCCCTACAACAATCGCATGACATAATGTGCGCGAATCAAATAGATACTCCACTTAGTGGAGCCTTTCACGTGCGGATAAAATCCAGAGAACTCGATTTTAGTATATCGATATGAGTCAAAAAATGCTAGAGCTCTGGGTTCCTCGAGCTACCACTCTTATCAAACTTACTGCAAAAGCTCAGCCTTGATCACACCATTGCTACCAAAAATGTCCGAGGGTTGAGATAGGTAAGCCAGCTACTGTACGACGTTTATAATAATGTGACTTGAAGTGATGGTCAAATTAGTTTTAGCGAAGTTCACATTATTTTGAATTATGCACCACTGCTGTACTGACATCCGGACGTCAGCTACAATCGCGCGATGTGCGCTGCCTTTCCTATGTGTTAAAAGTGCCTACAGTAATGTGCCTCAATAAACAACTTCTGATACGGATAGAGATTAGCATGCTATCGACAATCCTCGGCCTCGATAGAAAAAGCAAAAATATTGATTTATGACACTTTACTCTTGTTGATCAAGGCAGACTCCAGCCAACAGTTTCTAATTGTAGTTCCAGACACCTTCTCCCAAGCCGTTTCGTACCACTGCATTGCCGTCAGGAGATCGACTTTTTTATGGGTCACTCTCGCGTAGATAGCCTAGTGCTCTCACCATCTTCTGGTTCAGGACCTCTCGTTTGATACAGTAAATAATCCCTTGGTCCATCGGCTGCATTTTTTCGGTCGTATTTGGCGGCAGCTTCTCGACACGTACGAGCTTCAAGCACAGACCCGTCGCGTCGTGTGACGAGGTGTTGTCGACAAGAAGCAGTATGTGCCGCCTTTTGACTGCCATTTCCTCTTCAAGATGTACAAGCCACTGCTGGTACATTCACGTCGTCATCCAACCATTGGAACTCCCCATGTACTGCAACGAGTGGGGGTTTTCTTCTTGTACCACGGTGGCTTCTTTACTGTGATTGTACAACGATTATGCACCTGGATAGTACGCATAGCATGGTCATCCATGGCTACTCGGTCTTTGCGTATGGCTGTTCTGATGAAAGTTGCCACTTTGTGCCGCTAGCCTACATCCGTACATCTCAGAAGCGGAAGCTGGATATCGGTTGGTGTATTCGCTACATTAAACGGATCTGTGTGGATATCAGCGGCGTACAATTTCCCCCTCAGTACGTGATGATGGACGCTGATAAAGCCCAATTCAATGCGTCCGCGACCGAGCTGTCTCACACTACCGTTGTAATGTGCTGGTTTCATGTTACCAAGAACGTGTGGAAGTACGCAGCGGAGTTTCGCGTCACCTACGATAGCACGGCTGTGCTCATCATGTACTGTAGTTTAAGAGCGAGTTAAAAATCTTTGACTCGGATAACTCAAAAGAGCAGTCATCGCTCGTTCGATTGTTGTTGTTGGTTCAGAGCCAAGCGTGTGAGATAGTGGCAAGAGGACTTACTTAATCTGGAAATCATGAGAAAGTCACCCTATTGTCTATCCATTCGTATTCATGGCCGCTATCATGACGGTAGATTAGCGAGCAAGTCGTCCTCCGTTCCATCGAAATCTAAACGCCTGTAAAAGTAATGTATCTAGCTAGAGTATAATATAACGTAAATATACAACTTCGCATACCGAATTGCCTGCGCAGTGGTCAATCTTTCTGAGTGTTGCTCGGTGTGCAAGATTTTTAAACTATGTTTCGGACGTATATTGAAGTTGATGACCTACCATTTTGTAAAAACACAAACAAGACGAAAAAAAACCTGGCGTGCCAGACGCATATATTTATGTTCGCCTTACTGGCGGACGGGCATGTCTTCTGTTGAATAGCGGCTGCATGGGACCTCACCGTGTGCAGCAGGGTTGCGAGATGGTTTTTTTTAAATTAGGAATCCATTTATACCACCTATCCACCCGATGTCCTTTGGGGTCGGGTTTTATTTGAATAAATTAAAAAAAAAACACCCGTCCAACCAATCATAACCCACCCTTTACCAGACTTGATTTCCAGGCAGATTTCTCATGCTGTAATGCTGCAAGACATGCTGTAATGGCAAAGTACAAGCCTAACCTGATAAGATAGCCAAATGGCAATACTGTAGTACAAGCCTAACCTGATAAGAAAGCCAAATGAAAATGTCACTAAGATGCATAATGAACCCAGGTGGCGGTGGTCTCTGCAGTGGAAGCTCCACCTGCAAGCACGCAACGACTGCTCACTCTTGAATTTTCGGTTCGCTGATACCCTGCGGGGGGTCAGTCCAGTCCCAGTCACATTCGTGCGGCGGAAGGTTGCAGTAGTATGGGTTGCGATAAATGCTTCCGCGCTATACTGGGTTAAGTCCCTCCTGCTAGCCTGAGCTCAGGGTGCATGCCATGTCTCGGATGTGGTCGTGTATCGTAGTACGTCTAAGTGGCGGGTCAGCGCTTTGTTACCGTTGCGTGGGCTGTTGCAGGCTAAAACCAGAAAAGTCGAGTGCAAAACGGGTTTGCCACTATCAATGCAATGAAATTAAGTTTAACAATCGACAAATAGACATAATTTAGCACAAAATTAATTGAATTTGACAAAAAGCCACAATTTAGCCTTCACTGATAAGTTGGGTATACCCATTTGTGTAAAAGCTACAATTGATTTGTAAAGTTAGCTTTTGAAGGAGAAAATTCACCTTAGTAGTACACAAAATCCTCGTCACGGTTCGAGTCGTCGGCGTCGCTGCTTTCTTCGTCTTGTTCACCACGCAGTAGGTCCTCCAAGTGCGAGTAGGTCGACAGCTCGTCGGCGTTGATATTCTTTGCGTTGAAGAAGATGTGGACCAGTTTCTCAACGCGCTCCGGAGAGAGATGGTTGCGCAACTTGGAGTGAATGTATCCTTGTGTGGAAAAGTTGCGCTCAGATGCCGAGCTTGATGTCGCACAGCGGAAAAGCTGCATGGCGACAGCTTGAAGAAGCGGGAATTCGTTGAGGCCGCACCAGAACTCGTACACCGGCAGCTTATTGTTGCACAAAAGCTGCCAGCGACACATCAACTTGATCTTGAACTCGGTCAGAAAAGTCTGGAATCGCGCCAGCTCGAGCGCCACCCCCTCCGTCTTGCCGGCTCCGTACCATGAGCCGATGAACTCCTCCACGGCAGCTCTGGTCTCCATGTCCATACTCTTTCTGGTGTAGCGAGGATCCAGCAGATAGGCCACGCCGTGCGCGTCACCGTACACAAAGTCGAACCGGGTCTGGATTAGGGCCTTCACGATCTTTATTTCAGCCACTGAAAGCCCTGCATGCTCCATTTCGGACGGCAGATCGAGAAACAGCTTGTACACGTTTGAGATTGGCGCGTCATCTTGCTCAAGTCGCTTCAGACCGGATCCAATAGGCTTGAACACCTTGACAGCTTTCGTCAGCTGGGGCACAAAGTCCATCGAAGTCACGAAGTCGAAAATCTCGCGTCTTGCCTTCTTCTTCGCTTTGGTCTTGGCGAACAAGAAATTCCGAGCTGAAACCATTGAGTAGAGAATCGCTTCGGCTGCCAAGACCGTTTCGAAGCAGAGTTGGAGCGAGCCCCAGCGGGTGTCACCTCGTTTCGCAAGTAGGCGAAGGCCCTCGACTTCCAGGCGGGAGGTCAGCTGGGACCACAACTTATGGTTGCTCTTAGAGAAGATCACAAGCTTCTTGCAGCCGTCTTGAAGTCGATTCAGCCACTTGATCTTCTTCACCATGTTCTTGACCAGCAGATGCAGGGCATGACACACGCACCCGTGAAAAAAAGTGTGCGGAAACTTGGACTGCAAGTCCGCCCACATCGCCTTGTTAGCGGGCGTGTTGTCCGTAATCACAGCCCCGACGTTGAGAAAGTGATATTTCGCGATGACTCGTTGCATGACGGCCGCGAGAAAAACGGAATCATGAGCCTGATCACCGGTGTAAACCGCCTCCAAAAAGTAAGCGCGGCCTCATGTAGTTCAGCACTGCGCGGCCGCAGACGTCCGTCCAACCGTCGGATGAGGCAGTCACGATCTTTCCCTCCAGAGTCATCTCGAGAAACTTCAACGACTTGAGGTAGGCGTGGTCAAGCAGCGAGGTGGACAGCTCGTCTCTCGTCGGCGCCTCGATTCCAGGTGTCAGCAGTTGAAGTACCTCCAGCAGGCTCTGGTGCTCAACCTTGTAGAAGGCCATACCAGTGCTGTAAATCCACATGGTCAGCTGCTCTTGAAACGCCTTGACAACACCTGGCTTCAGCTTCGCGGAAAATATCACCGTAATGAGCGGAGTTGAAGCTCGACTTGCGCATTTCTTGGCCAGGTGGTGCTTCACACGTTCAACATGGGTGCGGCCAGTCGTCTGGATCAGCTTACTGCACTTCTTGCACCACACCCCTTCTCCCGGGTCCACGTCAACGTGAGACCACGCCGGATCGAGCTTGCGACCAGCAGGCGAGCGGCTGGGGGTGCTGCTGGGCACAGTCGATGGATCGGCGTCATGGCACGAGGAGCTCATGATACGGGGTGTGGAGGGCGATGAGAGGGGTTGAACTTCTTGTCGGTGCGATGCAAATGCAGTTGTGCTCAAAAGTGTATTGGAGAAGCTGCCAGTTGATCGAGATGTACTAGATCCCGAGACGCTCGCTCAGGGGAATTTACTGGTTGTGATGCGCTTCACAGCTCAATTCAAAAATGAATTGGATGAGGGGTTAGGTGTTAAAAATCCAAAACCCATCGTGCAGATAAAACCCACCCGCCGACTGAAAATAATGGGGCTTTTCGCAACCCTGGTGTGCAGCGTACACTTGCGGCAGAGCTGGGGATACTTGCGTCGTAGATAGGCAGGTCCGCCGCCACCATTATGCACTCTTTGCGATGCTCCTTGATCATACGGTGCAAATGGACTTGTAGGACGACCTCGCGGTGACTTGCCTGGAACCGTTTCACCATTCCCTTGAGCACTGAAAAGCAGTTCTCGATGGGGTTCAGCATGGACGAGTTTTAAACCAAGTCGCAGCAACTTAGCTGCAAAGAACTCGTCTTCGGCGAAGACATCCTCGATGTTGATGTGGCACGGGGCGTTATCCGCCACCAGGACCGCGTCTTCTAGCGGCGTGGTCGTGCCGATGTGCGCGAGCAATGGTACCTCGCTGAGGTAGCAGCCCACCCCGATAATTGATCCGTTGATAGTGGCCATCTCTCCCTTGAGTTCGCAGTATTGAAACGCTTGGTTGTCAGGGACTGTGACAATTGAGAGATTCCGGCTCATGCTTAGCCCCCGCGATACCCCGGCCTATCTGTCTCCATCAGCTACTATCCACTAATTTTAAGCCCCCCCCCCCCCCCCGCACTCGCGGTTTTTTTCGGTCCCTGGCTTTGATCAATATACACCATTTTAAAGCTGTATACTACATGTTAAAAGTATGCGTATTTGATCTAACTATTACCTTCCGTAAGTACGACACATTTCTATAACCTGCGGGAAACCGGTTGACACAGACATACGCACTTGTTGTCTAAAATGCCTCGGATGGGTAGCTAAATTTCGACAGGGTGTATATACTACAACTTTCAGTGTCCTTTTTATTGATGGTGAACAAAAATTAAACACAAGGGCCTGTTTATGCTGGAAGTATCCTATGATTGCATCCCAAAATACCAGGCTATGCATGCCTTGAAAACAAAAAACCTGCTGTACCTAGCTAGCAATCAAGTGACACGTCTTCCCAACCGCGGGCTAATGGCGCCTTAGCATTATTATAGCGCACCTCCTGCTCGATTTTATTGGATTGGTCCACCTCCCCAGGCTGCATTCTCTCTGAGGGGTGCATATTAGTACTTACATGCGCAATACAACCCTTAGAGAGCAAAATATAGTGTCTACGGTGTTCATTCTTTCCAGCTTACCTCTTCTTTAACATACCCTGGTATATCGGACGAGATTCATCTTGCATTTCGTGCCGCTATGTACAATCATGTATCATATCCTGTCTGATCTGATCGGAGTACCCAGGGCATAGTAGGGGTAGTACTGTCTCATACGCATGATGGGGAGAGCGGTTCCTGTTAGCAATCTGTAAGCAATCAAATAATCAGTCTAATTCACCATTCTCTAGCAGTTACTACTCGTTCTTTGTGCATATTTTCACCTACACCTGTGCATTTCACGTAGAAAAAGACGTGCTGTTCTTTTTCATAACATGTAGTCATATACAACGTATGAGTGCGGGCGGGGGGGGGGGGGGGGGGTTAAATGATAAAAATGAACTTCACCAACTTTATCTTGTGCAATGGGCGACGGACAGGGAAGTCTTCAGGACTACCTTTGTGTCAGGCTGCCTTATCACAGCGCCAGAGCGGCCCCTAATTCCGGCGGTCCGGTTCTACTTACTCTCGTGGATGCGCCAAAGCAGCGGCAAATTTTTGCTTCATATCCATGAAGAGGCTTTGTTTGCACTCCCCGACATGGGTGTAACAGGGTTGTGGCTTCAGTCACTTGTAACTCTAACAGACACGACGTCTGTTAGAGGTTCGAAAGACTTTTTCAACCTTGGTGTAGACACACCGAAGGCTACATACATTTACGACCACCACGACGGGTGGTCCATAGAGACAAAGGATTCCTATTGGCTGAAAGAAGCATATTTTAGCCAATGAGCGACATGCATAGCATTGGAATTCTGCCAACCAGCCGTTGGCAGATTCCCAGTTTAGAATATTACATTTAGAGGAAGACAGAAACATAAAACAAAAATAGCAGTTCTCATTTTAACCCAAAAGCATTATTTGGATCGTTTATTTAGATTAATCTATACTCGGAGGCCATATTATAATTAACTCTAGTTTAAACTAAGCTACGCTTCCTCGTACACGTGCGCACACGTGTAAGCTAAAGTAGTGAGCCAAAGTAGGCCCATTACAGTCGTCACCAGCTGTAATGACAGATGCAATCAGTTAGAGGTGATTTCTATTATCCGATTTAGACTTGACATGTGTAGCCGATCTACTAGCAGGGTCGCATATTGTTATGCATAAGTAAGATGAACTGCGATCAAATACAGGTTTAGTATTTTTCGATCACCCTAGGCTGTATTCACGTCACGAAGACCAGAATATCCAGCATCACGGTCTCGTAAGTGGCGTCGGTATCTGGCGATGTGTATGCGACTACTTTATGGTGCTGCTAACTACACCGTTCACCCTAATTAGTCGTGTGACCTAAATAGTCGTGCACCTATGGTAATCATTCCACCGGTTTTGAAAATTATTTTTAGTTTCACCTTAAATTGAGAAAAGAGACCAGTTTCGGGTAGATCTCGGCAATACGAATTGCGTGGTATATTTTGTTTTCAGTAAATACGAATTGTTTCCGAGAAAACTGAAATTCAAAACAGGATGAGGCGCCCTTCAGGTCGTACACGGTAAATAGTCATGGCACGACTAATTAGGGTGAACGGTGTACTGTGTAGGAGTCGGTCTCCATTGGTGGGCAAGAGCAATAATCCGTTGGCGCGCTGATGTAGAACGGGTTGAGGGCGCCTGTTCTGGCACTGGCCTGTATTGCGGGCGGGATACAAAGGACCGAAGAACGTCCACGTCACGATGGCTTACAAATGAAGTAAAGCGCTTGATCAAGTGGCGGAGCTGTTTGTAGGTAAAGCCGGTCAGGCGTCGTGTGAGACAGGTATTGCGTCACTTGAAAAAAAAAGTTATGAGAACTCTACGGTAGATGGGTGGTATTGCTGGTTGCCACGCACAGGTTCGTCGGCGAGAAAAGCATGTGACGCAGCAAGCAGTTGTAGAATAATGAATGAAAAGCTGTCGAAACGGTCGTACTTGTCGCTAATTTTCCAGAATTGTCAACCAAAACTAAGTCGAGTTATATTTTCACCGAGAATGCAACCAACAAATTCACAGTTCGTTAGGACTGTGTCTAGTGCAGGTGCTTTCGGATTTGTACCCCAGGGGTACTATTGCCCCCCCCCCCCCCCCGAGTTCATTTATTATTTCATTTTTGCGTTACTTCGCTTACTTCACTTACTTTTATCGCTACTTCACTTACTTCAAAATACCGGATTTTATTGTACTTTACTTGTAGCTGCTTCAATTGTGTACATTACACAACTACTTACTACCAGCGCGCGCGCTGGCCGATACCGCCGAATACCGGCCGAATAACATAGGGAAATGTATGCCGGGCTAGTAACGCGCTAGCATCAGGACCATATAGGGGCGGTTGCTTTGCCATTCTGAGCAAGACTGGCTCAGCTTTGATAAAAGTAAGATAAGAAATGCAGAGCTACTGTATACTATTGATTGATGTATGCATATCGTGTTCAATCCTAGCTGGGTGAACGTGCACATGCTGGCCGTAGTGCTGAGCCGTTACGCTGTTGGGGGACCGTTGGCTGGGCCGAGCTAGCTGGACCCCGCTGGGTGGGTCTCGCTGCCGTTGCCCTTATGGCTGCAGTACTAGGCGTAGCAATAGCGAACTTCAGTCAACTATACAGATTGTTTATTAGTCAGTCAGCAGCGAAGAAGTGAAGGGATGCGCTGTCTTGGTTTTCCTCGAACAGGACAGCGCCTTGCAGATAAACTATAGTGAAAGCAAGTCTATTTGTCAACCAGCTACCAGTCTGAGGGATGGGCTCTCTTGGGCTTCATCCCACCATAGTGAAACTAAGTCTATTTACCACTCAAATTATCCAATCAGCGAAGGGTCGCATGAGCTGTCTTGTTTTGCCCCAAACAAGACAACTCCCCTTCCCGAATTCAACCAACTTGCTGCCATTCGTGAATTTGCCTAGCATAGGCATCACACCATGGCAGCGTGCGGCGGCGAGCAGCAGCGCAGCGCAGCAGGTGCGTGGTCCTGGTGATGCATGCGGTTCTATTGAGGGTACTAACTGTGGGCTTTATTTACGTTCCTACAGCTTACCTGGTGGCGGGGCAGCACGGCCGCGGCGGCGGCGAACAGCGGCGTAGGTTCGGGGCAACGTTGCGTGCGGAAATGTGCTACTGGTGCTAATTGTGGGGTTTGGGTATGCGTTGACAGCTTACGTGGTGTTGGGGCTGCGCTACGAACGGATGAGGGGAGCGCCAGCACGGTGACGCAGGTTCGTACTCTAGCTGTTATATGCGCCATATCTATCGGTACTAACGGCTATACTTTTACGTAGCTGCAGCTGGCGTGGTGGTGGAGACCGCAGCAGTGGCAGCGGAGAGCGTGGGAGCAGCGACGCAAGTTCGTGCAAAGTGAATTTGCAACAGTTGGTAAATACACCGAATTTTACTATGCATTTTGAAACAACCATAGTTGATAATTTTACCTACTTTCTCGATGTTAAGATGTCAGGATTAGCTTTATAAAGTGGTCATTGCTCCCCGCATCTTGTTTGTTTTTACTTGTACCACAGTACTGTTCTCACAACGCAAATGAAGGCGAGTTCTTCTCCAATGACATTGCCATAACATTTTCTGCCTGCGTGTACGTCGGCAAGCAAGGACATGTTCTTCATTTCAGCACAAAGCCACACAGTCGCGATCGCACCACAAGCCCGCCGGCAATACCACGTGCGTAAGCCCCGGCTCCTCCAGGAACGGTTCACTGAAAGCGAACGCGTCAAGGTGGTCACAAACGTCAAACGGGTGGGCCTACCTGATAGTCCGCTGCTGAGTAGGTCGTGTCGATCTCCATGTTCTTCTTCGAGAACGAAAGGTAGACTAAGCGGCAAAACTTCGCTCTTAGTTTGTATGAGGAGTTCCCCGACGAGCCGGACACTATGAAACTCCCGCTATACTCGTTAAAGCAACTTGAAAATTTTGAAATTCTTATATGCGAAACTTTGTGCACCGTGATCGTGCTGTGTAGTTTTGAGCACTGGTTTATAGATAACCAGTGCTCAAAACTAGTGTTGGCATGCCTGCCTCAAGCTGCATGAAAATGCTGTCTCGTCCATATAACCATCGCTGCCTAGTTCTCGGTACGAGCAAGCCGCAGCAATACCTGCAGCTTGTACTTTTTTGGGGTACAATCGTTGCTAGAAGATCCGAGGCCATGGTGCATTATGCACAATGACACTATCACTTGGCTAGTGCGCCCCGCAGATAAGTGAGTGTTTTTCATTCTGTCATCATTCCATTACCTTAAAATGCTCTACTACATGTTTCGGCTGTCGACCAACCTGCATAGTAGGTATAATGCTTCGCGTCTAAAATATCGTAGAACTATCGTACAAGTTCGCACATCACGGTGCTAATAGACAAGAGAGGGCTTGGGATGGATCTATCATTCATTGAGAAGCGAAACATCCCTTCAACGTAAGCTGTATCCACGGTTCGGCAGACTGCTTGTAGTCACTAGTGTTTAACTTTACGCGAGCACCCCAACTCCACTCTAATAAACGCTACCATGACTCCGCCAAACAACTTTAAACTATGGACCCAAGTTGGGTCACCCAACATATATATTCACGTTCGGTTTGACTTTAGCACGATTGATGTGTCAAGTCGAAGTAAAGAATACCATTGCGCATCAGTGCGCTAAACTTTTGCTTTCATCCGGCATCGTGCACGCATTATGCTGAATAGTCCATGTAGTTGGTCGACTATGCCAGTCTACATTCATGGCGATCATTGCAACGCAACAGATAACTACACAAAATCTAATTCAACTTCAAAATTCATGTTCAAATGCAGTTCTTCGATTCATCCATCGTAAATGAAAACATGGAGGTGTCGACGGTAACAAACGAATCCGCTCAAAGTTCCACAAAGGGTCTCGAAGTTGCTCAAACGGATGTACTCAAAGTCACAAAGATCTCGAAGTTGCTCAAACGAAGGTGCTCAGAATTGCACGAGAGTCATGCCTTCGTGATAAGACTGACGAGGGCATTTACGACGTTCCTCTTAAGCACACCGAGATTCTATGTTATTTGTATCTGGCCTTCATTAGTTATTTCTCGAAAAAAAATCTAAGTTGATGTCGAGGGTTGTCATCTTAGCTGCCTGCCTCGTGTCTGAACTAAACCCAACTTTAAAGCTATAGATACGTAGCTGAAACGATAAACGTTCGCATGGTGGCCTGCTTGTTCTAATCTAGCGAAAGCAGACCCCAAAGTGGCCAATTGAAAAATTGGTATCATGATTTGTGTCCGATATTGCGGGTTCTACTCGATCTTTCCGAGCGCGATTGATTCAATCTATCGAGCAAAATCGCCAAGCGAATCGAAAAAACTTCTAAACAGAATACTATATGGCGCGCAGCACCATATCCTGTCGCCTGCTGCCTCGTGCGAGCCTGCAGCTCCGAGCGACCGAGCTGCTTGAAGAGAGGCCCCAGCACCAACGCCTCGTGCTGCAGAAGGAGATCTCGCTCTCTCGAGGACACCTGCTGCGCCCGCTTGTAGAAAAGACCCCGCTGCATGAAGAGGCTCAGCTGTGTGAAGACGGCGAGCAGCGTGACCAAGGCCTGGTACATCAAGAAGTACTCCCGCCCCCCCCCCCTCGCATCTGCAGCCTCAAGAGGACGTGCTACCCCAAGAGCTTCGTCAACATGGTGAGCCGCCGCTGGCCGAAGAGGTCACGGATAGTGAAGAGCGCTCGCAGATCGAAGACGCCACGGTCGACGAAGAGAGTGATGAGGGCTCGCAGCGTCAAGAGCGTCAGGTGCGTCCAGGGCAACACGAGGAGCAGAGGCACCAAGGACACCAGCTACACGAAGAAAGCTCGCTGATTGAAGAAGTCACGCTTTCATCTGTAGGCGCGCTGCGTTCATCGACACAGGCGGCTACGCATGAACACCCCGCAGCTCAGCACACGAACGGCTTTATCGGCTCGAGGTGCGACCGATTGTTAAGTCAACCATCGGTCAGCGTGATACCTCTGGCAATACGCTGGACGACATCATTGTGAATGGTGACTCATTTGGTGAGATAATGCAGAAGCTATGGGACTCGTGAAATGCAGAGCCGTACAGACTGATGACAGTTGGTCTACCGAAATACCTGATGTTGCTGAGTGGTCAAAGGTGATGCAGCTCAAAGTGAAGAGGCACGTCGTGGAGACTACGAAGGCGGAACGAGCGTGGAACACATGGCTAGTTAAGATGCGATGAGAAGTGGTGACTCTCTTAATCTATGAGTTTGGTGTAGCTATCACTGGAGCTCAAGATCTGACCGCGTTCAAAGATGCGTGCATTCGCCCGGAGCAGACTGACCGAGCTGGCGCGACAGCTGAAGTTTCTCTTCGAAATATTGTAGCGCGTCTTCAAGAAGAATGGGGGACGACGTTCAGTGGAGAAGCGGTTGTCTGGCGCATGTCGGCGAATCATATCACTCGCAACCTCAACAGATCTACTTGAGAGGCGTTGGTTGCAAGGCCCCCACCGGACCAGGTTGCTCACCTGCTGCGTTCATCCGACTCGACATTGGAGCGGCACTTGGCGAATCTATCGCAATCGGCAAATGTGGCGCTAGACTGTGTGAACGGCTCCTTGGCTGGCTACGAGGATCTTCGCCGTGACTGGGAAGCGTTTGGCCAGCACATGGCCAGACACAAGCAAAACTTGGAGATGCGCAGGATCCTCGTCGAAGGGTTTATTCGCGACATGGCTCCTCCTCCCCCAGCGCCGTGCCGGACCCATTAGTTGAGCTCGTGGACGCTGACGACGTTAATCACGCCGATTGAAGTGGATGGTCGCTGTGTCTGGGTTTCGCTACTTCGTTTTCGGTATGGAGGATAAGCGATCGGATCCAAGCAACACAAGTGACAGTCGATGGAGTCCGAAGAAACTAGTGGTACATGTTTGAGTTTTATCCTACGCTTCAGCAGTATGTACCGTGAAATCTAGGTTATCGTGGTTGCATTCGCGGAAGTTGGAGACTGGTGGTGCTTGGTTTTTTGCTGGATAGAGGCCCAACAGGATCGAAGAAGCCTTGGATCCGCCAGCTGCAGTGCTCAAATGCCTTGCCCATGCTAAATCTCTCGAAGCGACGAAATGTTTGGATGATGAAGGGCAACAAGTCGCGCTTGCTTGACTCGACGTAGTGGCGTTGGAATGAGCGCTTCACGTAGCCAAACAGGAACTCTATCGGGTTGAAGAACGGACAGTAGGTGGGAAGAAAGATGACAACGAAACCAACGCTGCGAAGATAGCGAACGGTTTCTGGGTCCCGGGGGATGGCAGCTCCGTCGAGTATCCACACGGAATTGGGGCCTGGATACTGGCGGACATTTCCTCTTGAAGAATGCACGAAGTCTTGGAAGCATTTTGTGAACTCCACGCGATCAAATGTTCCCTCGGTATTGAAGTAGTCTATGACTCTATTGACTCCCATGAAGACCAAAACCGTCACCCGTGGCTTTCGCTCAAAGTCGCCCCGAATAGCAACTTTCTTGCCCTTGAGAGCGTAGCCGCGCTTCCGGATCATGCCCCTATTGTCGAAGGAGACCTCATCGAGGAATTCCAAATTCTGGTGGCTCCAGTCGATGTGACTGAGCTCTTCGGTGAAGCGGAAGATCTCCTGCTCTTTGATGTGCATGGAGCGACGCTCGAGCACCTTCCAGGTCAGCCCCTCTTCACGAATGATGCGCCAGACCGACGATTTTGATATTGCGACGTGATGTGCGCGCGTGAAGGCGTCTTGGGCTTCGTCCAGGTATGCAAGCGGGTGCTGGTCGTAGTAGCGAAGCAGCCATGCAAGCTGGTCGGCCGAAAACGTCCTTTTTGAGGCGGTCTTGGCCCACTGGAACACCCCGGTCTCCTCGTATATCTTGATCCAGTTGTTGAGCGTGCGCTCCGACTTGTTGAAGATGTGTGCGAGGTGCCGCTTGCCGTAGCCGAGCTTGTAGTACGCGTACAAGCGGTGATACACCGTGTTAGGGTGCGCATGCTGCCGTGTTGCTGCTTCCTCTATGGTTCACTTCAATGTGTTCACTTCTACATGGTGAACAGTACCTCTGATTCGTCAAAATTATGCAAATTTTGGCCAATTACATTCACCTGTCGATTCGCAGAGGACGCCCAATACAGTACCGCCAACGCTGAAGCAGGGGCATTTACGAAATATGGCCTATCTTTCTGAAATACCAACCTGAAATATCGCAGTAGCATAATCGAAGTATTGTAGGATAAGTAGTATTTGGCCGGAAACCCGACCCCTATGATAAGCTTGCCACCTCGCTGTAGTCAGCGATTTGTTTCTTATCATTTGAGGCTCAGTGACCTATTTTCATCCAATCGTCGCTCATTAGGGTTAGGTTTATTTCGTTCCAACTTATTTCTGGAATCGTCCGGAATTTCCTTCTTCGCGCAAATAAGTAACCATACAAAACTAAAGATGTTTCTCGTACTTACTCGATAAGAGCAAAACCTGCCGGATGTAGCCACTTCCAGACTTGCCCAAGCTGCTCGACACTGTAGCTGGAAGGTCAAGGCCGACTCCGACAACCCAACAAGCGCGGTAGTAAGGTAAATGAAAGACAGAATGGTCAAGTAAATATATGAAAGAATATGTAGCAATCTTGATCGATAAACAATCAAACAATAAAGGGCTTGATGTCTACTGGTACTAGCTACACTGCGCTTGGCCGTCCTGCAGCTGCGTGTTCGCGCTAAGTGCCGCCCCAGGTCCTTGGTCTTGCTCTCGCACTTGACGAAATTTACCTGCTCCATCGTCTCATTGGGGTCGAGGTTGCTCCCTTGCCGCTCGTCCAGTGGGCGTCCAGGTGTAGTAGCACGCTGCGGGTCGCGTCACCGCTCACGTCCTCGCTGGTCACTGCGCTCGCCACCTTGGTCGGCATCGACTCCGTCGTCTTGGTCGGCGGACATCGCTTCAAGCGGGCGGCACGCCCAGCCGTACCCAAGACATTCACAGCGCCGTTGGCATCCGCGGACAAGCCGGCCGCCTTGCTGTTGTCGCAAGAGCCTCTTCCTTCGTCGCGGCCTTCTCGGTCTTCTCCTTCGTCGTCTCCTCGGGGATGTGGTCTTCCGTCTGCACCGCAGCCTCCGCAGCACCTGCTGCCACGCGGTCGGCTGCCTCTAAGTCTTCATGCTGCACCCGCATGCTCCTCCTCCAATTTCATCACCTTCGACGTCCTCCTGCTCCTGCTGCACTACATCCAGGGGCCCCGCAGTCAAAGTCTCACCCGGAGCGCTCTCCTCCCGCACCACTTGAACTGTAGCTCGTCCTCGCGCTGCCCGCGCGTCTGCGCCTGCTGATCCCACGCCGTTCCCGCTTGCCCGAGTCGGCGATGCACGTGTTCTTGCATCTCCACCCCGTCGCTAGTGCGTACAGCACCACCACCAGGCGCTCCGGCGACTCTTGGTCCACTTCCGGCCCGCCCGGAGAGCTCATCTTCGCCGCGTACGCCGAGCTGGACGCCGCCGAGCACAGCGCGAGCGGATATAGGCCAGTTGCCTTCAATATTGTTGGTGTAGGCGCGATTGTGTGCGCGTCGTAAGTCTTGACGAAGATGTAGCCGCCACTTATCAGCGCACTGTGCCGCGGTCGCTCATGCCCACAAGTTAGGCGCCACGCTGGGCTCCGACAGCGCCGGCCCGCCGCTCCTTCCACTCAATGTACGCGACACATCCTCCGTTTGCTCGGGCACGGCTGCAGGCTGCCCGTCGTGCCGCCGCGGCGAGCTTAACTGCCCTCCATTGCATCCTGCGCCACTCCAAAGAAAGATTGAGAGAAATATAACATTACGTAAGTGCAAATATCACACTATCCGCTGCCGTCCGGAATGAATAAGTGGGCGCTGATTGGCGCAAGTAATTTTATGTTTCGCCAGTGTGTCTCTATTGCAGGTTTGACAGGTTTCCGGTCCGGAATCGGGCAATTACTGCAGCCTCTCCAAGCTGCATACCTCCCCTCTCTAATCGATTACCGAATCTGACCAGCAAAAACTGTTGACAAACTCTCGAAAGACGAAAGCCCAAGACGGGCACTCCCTAAGATCAGCCCCCACTACGCTTTTTGACAAAACTTTAGTCCGACACAAATTTACATTTGTGAATTACAATTTTGACCTAAACTGGGTAGTGTTTGCGGATGCCCTGCACGAGGCCGTCAAGGCACTGGCACTTCGGGACAGTGCCGTTGAAGTACCAGGACTTCCACAGGTACATGTCCAGGTACTGGTCCAGGCGCTCCTTGGGGACGCCGCGCATAGCCTTGATGTAGCGCTTCACGCGCACTTCCCACGTCCCTTCAATGCGGTTCGTATGGGCCCCCGTCTTGGGGTCCACGAAGAACTTGTCGTGGTTGACCCACTTGTGGGTGTAGTTCTTGCCCTTTAGCCACTTGTTGTTCTCCAACGTATGCTTCCCGTTGACAGAAACATACGATGAGAACTGGTCGGAGATGATGGTCGACCCGGCCATGATATGCTTGCCGATGAGAGGAGACAGCGTCTTCTTTTTGCGGTCGGGGTCGGTGACGATGCCGAACCACCGCCCCGTGGCCCGATCGACACCGCCGAAGAGCCAGTAGTCCTCGTGCTGCTTGCCGCGCCCGAACTTGGACTTCTTCTTTAGGCTCGTCTCGTCGATCTCGACGGTGTGGCCCACGCCGCCGATCTGTATAAACATAGTTAGCACATATGCCACATATTGTAGCCGAATATTAGGTGTACATACCATCATGCTACACTGCAGCATCTCGGCGGAGCAGATGTCGCGGCAGAAGCCGTACCAGTCGATCGCCGTGACGTCGGAGATGCCCAGGAACTGCTCCGCGGTTCCGACGGGGATGTCCGACGCCCAGAAGAACATCAGGCGCAGCGCAGTGCGGTACGCTAGCTTGGTGCCGTCGAAGAAGGAGCCTTTCTTCAGGCTGAGCTCCTTGTCCGGGTGGCCGCTACGGCGGCATCGCCAGCGGCGGTCCTCGTCCTCCGTGCCGCGTTTGTAGACGCACAGGTTCATGGGATAGTCGCAGTACTCGCATGTCTTAGAGGAGGCGAGGAGGCCGTGACGCATTAGGAAGCTCACGGCGGTGTCCTCGCTCGTGGTCGCCGCCATTATGTTGTCGAACGTGAACGGGGACACCGCCGGATCCGCCACCGCGTACGCGTACGGTGAGTTGTACACGACGGGCTCCTTGGGCGCGGTGTTGGGCGGCGCTCTGGATGCGCGCACGCGCTCCGACCGTGATGCGCGCTTGCGTGGCGCGCGTGCAGAGCGCGGAGTCGTCTTCGAGGATGATTTCTTGGCTGGGGCCATGGTGCGTTGCGTGTCTCGGGGCGGGGGCTCTTTTTCGAACGTGATAGTGTTTGTGTTGTGGCGGTATCGCCGTGGGCGCGAAAAGTGCGGGTTCACACGAGTACGCGCGCAACGCAAACTGATACATGGGTGCACTTAATATGTAATTTCTGTCGGACTAAAGTTTTGTCAAAAAGCGTAGTGGGGGCTGATCTTAGGGAGTGCCCCAAGATGCAGGCAGAGCTCCGTGTCATGGCAAGCGCAGCGAACACCAGCGGCCAGCAGCACATGGCTACATCCGCTTCTTCCTCCGCACACGCAGCAGGCGCCAACCTCTTCGTTCGGGTGCCGCACGCCCACGGAGTGCGACGGCGGCGCGAGGAGTCGGCGGCCGTGGAGATCGAGGAGTTGGACTCGTGCACCATGCGCCAGAACTCGTACAACTACTTCCAGCACCACGGGGCGGGCGCTGCGCCCTCGCTGCTGCGTACGTCGACGTTCCGCTCGTCGCTGGGCCGCAGCCCGGCGTCTCGCAAGAGGCAGCGGACGCTGGTGGAGCAGCTGGACGAGCTGTGTCTGCAGGGCTCGCGCGGCCGCGTCGTGGGGCTCGACAGCGCCAAGAGCAGAGGCAAAGGCAGAGGCGTGCGCCGACTGGCGAGAGAGAAAGCGCGACAGGAGGCGGTAGGCGGTGCACGCATCGTTGAGCTGGACGAGTTCGGACAGGAGAAGCCGGCGTCGGTGGACGGCAGCGGCAGCGACAGCGACGGAATGATGGACACGGCGGGGGAACAGACAGGAATGAAGGTCTATGGAGACGTTGGGGGGCTGCGCAGCTTCTTCGCTGCAGGCGCGGGGGAGCACCACAGACCCATGGACCGAATGTACCGCCACTATGTCGCAGTGGCACAAGCTGCAGCAGCGGCGGCTACACCGCAGGGCAATGAGTTGGTTTTGTTTCGACCCCCTGCTCCAGTCGCCTCGTCGTTCACGGAGAATTTGCCCGCGTATTTGTCGCTGACACCGCACGAGTTCGAGAATCTGTCCATGGCGGAGAAGCGCCAGTGGTACCAGGCTCACAGCCGCTACATGCGCGAGCTGGACCAAGCTGCGGCGGAGCAGAAGAATGAGCTTGAGATCGAGACGCAGCTTGAAGCGAAGCCGACGGATGTGACTGGAGGGTTCGAGGCTTCTCGACGTCGCAGCTCCAGTGCGAGCTCGAGTCGGTCGTACCAGGTGCTTGGAGTTCCAACGGATGAAGACAACGACAGATTTTTTGACGACTTTGGAGACGACGTGGAGATGATGGAGGATATTGATGACGACGCGGCGCCCAAGCGCCCGCGTGCTGCAGGTGCTGTCACACACTCGGAGTGGTTTACGGATGATGAATTGTGAGAGCGTAGAGGGGGTGAATGAATGGGCGAGCGATGATGAACTAAGGGGATGAATAATGGTGAATAACAGCGGCAATATATTTCTGACAAGTGATGGCCACGATCTACAGTAGTGGCGTAGCAGCATGTGTCTGCTTACTTGCGCGTGTACGCTTCGATGTACGGGCTGGCAACAGCGGCAGCAAGAGCAAGGTACACGGGCCAGTTGGAGTGAGCAGAACGCAGAGGCTTCGTGCGAGACACCACCACACGGTGCTTGTGCGCGTGGCCGTCGTGCTCGTGCTTCACCACGTCGTAGCCCTCGTGCTTGGCGATGGTGAAGTGGCCGTCGGAAGCAGTCACTCGGTAGCCTTCGGGGTAGTGCGCGTACGGGACGTAAATCTCCGTGACTGCGCTCGCCACCGACTTCCCCGACGTGTACTCGAGCACGTACTCGGCCGTCTTCAAGTCAAACTGCGACTTGCTCGGGATGCCAGCGATCCTGCGCCCGTGCGGACGCGCGAATGCACGCAGAGCACGAGCAGAGTCATCACGACGGCGGACGCCAGAGAGGCGACGCGCCAGAGCCTCCGAGTCCGGGCTGCTGATACTCAGGTCCTCGAGGTTCCACAGGTCTCCGAACTTGTGTGAGTTGTCGGCCGTGTAGTTCCACAGCGTGAAGGACAGCAGCTGCGACTCGAGGTTGAAGATGGTGTTGTCCAGAGCCTCCACTTGGGCGGAGAAGTCCCCGGTCTCGTACGCTTCCGCATGGTTCATGTTGTACGGGATGCCCGTCTCGCCGATGAGCGTCGGGGCCTTGGCCATCTTCTCACGTCCGAAGCTGGCGACGTGGGCGAGTTGGTGCTGGTGCAGCTTCCGAAGCGCAGCGTTGCCGAACGCAGGCTTGCCCGTCGCGAAGTCCAGCGTGAAGTAGGAGCGCCACGTCGTGGTGAAGAGCGTGATCATGTCGTACCAGTGCATGGCGTTGACTGCGAGCGGGACGTCCTCGTTGCTGATCTGAGGGAACACCAGGTCGCCGATCTCGGTAGGAGGCATCTCCGCGAAGATCATGGCCTTGGGGGAGATACTCTGGATGCGCTTGGTGAACCTCCTCGCGAAGGGAAGGTAGCACTCAGTGCCAAAGTCGATTCCACTGAAGTAATCAGGCTTCAGCAGCTTCGGGTTGCCCTGCGCGTCAAAGTCCCAGACGCCAGCCTTCCTCCAGATGCAGCCGGCGCCCTCCTTCCAGGCTCGCACTCCCTTGGGGTCAACACGCTCCGCGCGCAGGGGCTTTCCGCGCATCATGGCCATGATACCGGCGCCCCAGACCTCGACGTTCTGAGCAATACCTTCGCCAAGCAGCATGGCGGAGAACGGCGAAGGCGCGTGGCCATTCCTGAAGCCGCCCGAGTTGACCAGGTCCTTGGTGCCAATCCAACCGTTGGAAGGCTCGTTCATGGTGCCGTAGCCAGCGACGTTCGGCAGGCCCTTGAGAGCTTCGGCCAGAGCGGCCAACGAGTCCAAGTAGTGCGACTGCAGGTACTCCTGGATCTGCACGCCGTCCACCAAGCAGTTGGGCGCGTACTTCTTGCCGGCCCAGAAGAGCGTGAACATGGTGGCGCACGCCAACTTGGCGTAGTTGGTGGGCCAGATCATCTTGGGGAACTTGGACGCCGGCAGGCCGCACGTCTCGAGGCACAGCGCCGCCTTGGTCGGCTCGAAGTTGCGCGGCTCGAAGCCGATGCACTCCAGCGTCCACATGGGGGCGCCGTCGCCCCCCGTCCAGCGGGACCAGACGTCCTGGTGCGGGTCGATGTACACCTGCATGTTGTACTCGGCCGCCTTCTCCACCACTGCGCGGATGTACTTGAGGTACTCGTGGTCGATCTGGCCGGGGCCGGCGTGCTCGATGGCCTCCCACGTGACGATGAAGCGCAGGAACGTCAGGCCCCAGCGCTGCAGGCGGGACAAGTGCAGGTCCGCCTCCTCCAGGGGGAACGGGCGCCCCACGAACGACACGGAGGCCGCGCCGTCGAAGAAGTCGCTCGTGTCCTGGTCGTCCGTGTGGCCGTAGCCGAACGGCAGCTTGGAGGAGCCGCCCAGGTTCACGCCACGCAGCAGCGCGACGCGCCCGTGCTGGTCCACGAAGTGGCCGTCCTTCATGCTGAGGTGCGTCACCTCGCGCGCCTCCGGCTCGGGGGCAGGCTTCGGCTGTGACATCTTGTGAGGAGGTTCGAGTGAGTCTTGCTGGGTCTTGAGCGCTTGGCCGCAGAATGCAGAGTGCCGAGTGCAGCGACCGCAGCGAGGGTGGATACGTACGTACGTCCAGTCGAGTTGAAGCTCGAAGTCTGCCTCCACGCGGATTTGATGACAATCATCCCGTCCACGGCAACATGATGACGGTGCAGAGACCTGCATGCCCCCATGCGTATCAAATCGACACATCAAAGGCCCGACCTGCGTACGCGTGCGTGTCAGCTTCAGGACGCTCGTCGTCAATGCGATCGACTGTGCTTTCAGGCGGTTCGTTCGTCTTCAAGTTCAACATGATTAGCTTCAGGCGATCCTCTAACTCACTGCCTCGTCACGTGTAGTGCAGCAGCATAACGCTGCCAGCGAGGAACCAATACACGTACAGCAAGTGCAAGCTTGCAAACAATAGAACACCCAACTAAGGTTCTTCGTTACAGAGAGAAACATTGCGGTGTATTGATGGTACCAAGGTGACTGCACGGGGGATTGCTATGGTTTTGCCCCGGGGCTGGGATCGGCCAGCCCCTACCTCGCCAGCTTACGACGTCAGGTAGGGCGTGACGATGGCGATGCCCAGCGCCACGTACACGGGGATGTTGCTGTGTCCCGCCCACGCGAACCGCGAGGTCTTGGCCGCCGCCTTCTTGGTCTTCTCCACGACCACGCGGTGCTTGTGCGCGTGGCTGTCGTGCTCGTGCTTGATGATGTCGTAGCCCTCGTGCTTCTCGATGGCGCAGTGGCCGTCGGACGCTGTGACGCGGTAGCCTCCCGGGAAGTGGACGTACGGCACGAAGATCTCGGTGGGCTCCGCCGAGCCCTCGGATGCGTACTCGAACACGAAGGTGGACGAGCTCTGCGTGAACTCGGAGGTCACGACGGAGCCGCTGACCTTGCGCGCGTGCGGGCGCGTGGTGGCCGCGTCCTTGAGGTCCAGCACGATCTCCTCGCCCGACTCGGACGTGAACACGTACGTCTTGTTGGTGGTCGTGGTCACCGTCTTCTTGGTCGCCCCGGCGGGGTCCGAGTGCACGAGCGTCTTCTTGACGGTCGTCTGCGTGTGGGTCGTCTTCACGGGGGACGAGGACATTGCGGCTGCGTGGAGGAATGCGGAGGCTCGGCTTGGTGGCTCGCGCGCGGAGGGGGATTTTCGGGACTGCCGGCTTCCTCCGGTCCGCAGGCGGGACTTTTTGCAAAAAGCGGAGTGATCCGAAAGTTTTTCGCATTTGGAACTTTTTGCTGCAAAAAGCGGAGTCCGTGAGAACTTTGTTACAAAAAGCGGAGTTCGGGTTCAGCGACCCTACAGCGCTGAGATCTTCAGACGGTAAAGAGCCCCATGGAGTTGCCTCCACCCCCTCCGCCGCCGACGTCGCACCTTGCGCAGGGTCCGGCGGACGACACTATCACCGAGGGCACGTGCTTTCCTGACCAGAAGTCGTGCACGAAGGCATTGCGCAAGTATGCAGCAACACACGGCATGACCATCAAGCTCGATCCAAAGCACCACGGTGGTGCGATGCTCACGTACAAGTGCGACGGAGGGGATCAATGCCGCTTCACGGTTGTTGCACTGCGGTCACAGCGTCAAGCATCGAGCGGCTATTTCATCAGTCATTGCAACCTTGCTCACAACATGTGCATTGGGCGATCGAAGCTAACAGCTTCCCAAGTCAGGAACGACGAGCTCATCCGATCACTAGTGGCAAGCGACCCGAGTATTGGCGGGAAGGTGATAGTCGATCATGTGAAGCGTATGCGAGGCGGCTATCTCCCACTAAGTGATGTACAAACTGCGGTGAAAGTGGCCACAACAAGAGAAACTGCCCCTCGGGGTAGTGCGCGTGCTGCGTCTGCTAGGTGTATTGTGTTACGGCAGCACGGTAATTCATAATACATGTAGTCTGTGGTGCTAGTTGTGGGAGACCGAGCTCGAAGGTCTTGTGTAGTTAGTTTGGGTGCTGCGGGTCGCTGAACCCGAACTCCGCTTTTTGTAACAAAGTTCTCACGGACTCCGCTTTTTGCAACAAAAAGTTCCAAATGCGAAAAACTTTCGGATCACTCCGCTTTTTGCAAAAAGTCCCCGCAGGCGGCGTTACGCTGGTGGCAACTCAGTGTAGGTTCTGCGAATAATTGGGAAAAATTGTGGGAGGCGCACTGTTTTAAATCACATAATGAATCAGTAAAGAAATGAAGTTAGACCGTTTATCATAAAATCGGGATAATCAAGGTATAAGGTTGTTGGTACATCACGGTAGTGCATGGATACTTCAACCGTATCATTTTTTGTGATAGAGACGGTAACACGTCAAGGTGGTCGCTCATACTTTTGGTTGGGCTGGAGCTCTTTCAGTGCCAATTCGGATAGGAGACCCGGTCTCCGAGGCCGACAGCTATTAGCAATAGATGTTGGTCAGTCCATTGCCACCGCCAGAACAAAGCTCCTGTCAGGGTGCGGTCCAAAAAGGATCCTTCGGAGCTCTCTACGCTCTGCTCTCTAGCACAGTCTGAAAACGGATATCGGGTTAAGTTACATATTATCTTGCGTGGCTACAAGTTCGGTGTCTTGCAACAATTGTTGCAAGGTAAGGCAACACCTCCTTCACTCTGAAAAAAATGCACTGTCGAGCCTGAACCGAAGTGATATGGCGTTACTCTCGGACACAGCAAAACTTCTGGAAAACATCACACTTTGGTTACAACTTCGTTATCTCCGTGCTCGAAGCCGTCTCTAAGCTGCTTCGAAGCCAGGTCACACATACGTCTACTGCACTACACGACCTTCTAGTTCTCCGAGCGCAGGTTGGCGGTCATCCGGCGGCGACGACGAGCCTTGCAGTTCGAGGTGGTCGTCGTCACGGGGCTCTCCGTGCTCGGGGTGGTCGTATAAGCCGAGGTAGCAGCAGTCGTGGTGGCGGGGGGTGAGGTGTACTCGCTAGCGGTGGATGCATCCGTTTGGGCCGGCGCAACCGTGGCCACAACGTTTTGCGTGACAGCAGAAGCCGCTGTCGTGGCCACGGGGCTCTGCGCCGTGCTTGCACCGCCGCTTCCGTTGACGATCGGTGCGCACTGCTTGTAGACCTGCCAGTTGGGCTCGTGCAGCGCCAGCCAGTAGAAGGTGAAGGTGCAGTCCCCGCTGCAGGCCGAGTAGTCGATGGGGATCTCGGCCGGGTACGACGTGTAGGCGGCGCGGCAGTCGTCCGAGTGGAAGACGCGCGTGTCGTCGATCCAGGCCTCGCATGGGCCGTGGTGCGAGTCGATGAAGCCCATCTGCTCCTGGTCGTTCTGCCACTTCATGGAGCTCAGCGAGCTCACGTCCACGGGCGAGCCGGTCAGCGCGGTGTTGCCGCAGTCCGAGGCGGCGGTGTCCATCATGGCCCGCAGCGTCTTGAACTGCGAGTTGGGGAACGACTTGGTGAACATGGCGGTGTTGGCCTCTGGGTTGTCGTTCCACTTGAGCCCAGCGAACGCAGGGTCACAAGACTCGGTCATGATGGCGTTGTACTTGGTGTTGATGCCGTAGGGGAAGTACGCGGCCGGCTGAGTGAGGTAGCCGTGCGCATCGACGGAGTGCGCCAGGAGGGCGATGGCAGTGGTGGCGACAGCGAACTTCATGCTTGAAGAGGAGGAGGAGGTGGTGGACTTGGAGCTGAGGGGGCAAATGTCGGAATGAGGAGCTGGTCATTGATTCAGGAGGTTCTTGCCGACGGTCCTGCGCCGCGTGCCGTTGCACCTTTCGGGGGCTGCGATCGCCAGCGCTTACGACGGTGGACGGTGGTGTCGTCTAGGGCCATCTGGATCTGATTAAGCCGTGACTGTAGGTGGTTGCCGTGTTTTGGCGGTGCTGGGAAAACAGCCGCACGTCGACTGAAAAGTCCGCCCGACTATTGCTTGACCGTTTGAACAGCAAAAAGCTAACGAGATGTACTGTACTGCCCCCACGTGGCTCGCAGCTCTTGATGGCTTTGCCCAGTGGTGCTGTAGAGGCGCGTGCTTCGTCACGAAAGACAAGTGAGGCGCCTACTATTTGATTCATTTTTCAAGTCCACCGGCGCCAACCTGCGCCAAACCAGTGCCATCTGCCCCTGGCGGTGAAGTGGACTTCTCCACAATAAGCGCGCCACTCTGGACGGAAGGGCGGACGAATTGAGGGGCACAGCGTTAATCTGCGTGTGCGAACAGTGAGTTGCTGCCCCTGCCAACATCATTGTGACTGGGAAGTGTACCACTGGGTAGTCTACGTTCTCTCTATGGTGCTTCGAGCACTTCGAGTTCGACTCGACGACGCCCTTCATAGCGGCGCGAACGCAATGCTTCGACACAGATATGGCCAGATCAGCAGCGAGCCATCTCATGGGCTGCAACCGTGGTGCCATCTTCGCGAAACCAGATGGAGGAGGGCTGTTGAGTTCGCTCGTTTGATCGCCAGAGCTCACTCCTCTCGGTGAGAGGAGTAACGTTCCGCCATCCGAGTGCAGCCTTTTGATCAAGCCGCACTGAAGCGCTGGTGCGATGATGCTGCATTTCGAGGGTATTGGTCGTCGTTACAACGGCGAACCGCTGAAAAGCAAGCACCATTTGAAACGTTCCGAGTTCCATTGGGAATCCTGTCGAGAGCATTTATTTTTTACGCTATCTACCCAGCAACATACATTGTGATAACGAATCGCACCAAAGCTAAATTTCATGCACATGCATGCCATTCATTTTTTTTTTTGGGGGGGGGGGGCTTAGAAGTGAGTGCCTGCGGTCTAGTGGGCCCTCGCGTCAACGGCAGCAAGCGTGAACAGCAGCAGCACGAAATTCCCTTCATTCAGCCTCGAGGTGCCTTTGTCGATGGTGATATCGTCGCCTGGGCCGCCAGCGGGAGTGAGCAGCAAGCGCCCCACGACGTACATGCCTGCGATGACGTAAAGATCCGAGAGCGGCATGCGACGCTAGCAGTGCCGACGGCCTCTGTGCTCCACGTGTCGTATTTGAGAGTGAAATTCAGCCCCTCTTGCAGTAAAGTGCATTGAGTGCTATCCTAGTGTCATCAACGGTATCAATGCGCATCAAACCAGACCACTCTACATTCATTTCTTAAACGACATCGTCTGCATAAAGTAAAGAAGAGAAGCACCGCCCTCTCACTCAACTGTTGATGAGTTATTGGGCCGGAGATTTTAGGCCCTACTCGACCCACCGTTCGAGATGGGGACGCAGTTTTCTGCGTAGTAGCATACACAGCACATGTAACTTAGTGTAAGTACCCGTCCGCTACACAGTGTAGGCAACACTACAACACGGATCAAGGCCACTGCAACAACGCACTGTAAATCTGCCATGTTGGAGAGTGAAGCGCAAGCCAGTAGAAGGTGAACAGGCAGTCACCAGTGCAGCATGAGTAGTCCGTGGGGATCTTACCCGGGTAGTCGGGGAACGAGGCCCTGCATGGTAGAGCTTGGTGTCATTGATCTACGCTTCGCACGGCCCCTGATACGCACAAGTGATAGTGAGATCAGCAACAACACAAGGCCAGCTAAAAGTTATCCATCGCACGCACGTGGCGAGACTCCAGGAACCCTTCCTGGTACTCGTTGTTCTGCCACCACATATCGGTATAACCGCTCACATCGACGGCCACCGCCGTGTCATCTGAGTTGCCGCAGCCTGGCACGACAGAGTCGAGCATCTCGCGCAGCGACGAGTAACCGGTGGCGCCCCCAGTGCTCTGTGAACTGCTGGGCGTTGTTCACAGGCTCGTGGTTGTAGACGCCACCGTCAAAGCCCTTGTTGATGCTCGCGCTGGTGATGCCGACGTAGTTCGTGTACACCTCACCCGGCTTGAATGTCGCCTGAGGTTTGGAGCAGTACCCGTGCCCCTGTGCACATCCCACCAAGATCGAGAGTGTGACGGTAGAAGACGGGGAGAAGTAGGTCTTCATTGCTGTGGGTAGATCGAGGTACAGCAGCTCAGGGAAATCACAGTCTTCTTGTCGAGGCGAGAGAAAGTTGAAAAGTGAGTGTGTTGCCGAGCCCTGAAAAGCCGGCATATTCTTCGGTTGCCCGGCAAAAAGGATTCACACCGCGATAATGACGAATGACGGTCATGAGTCGTTATCTTCGTGCATGCGCATGCTCGTGGAGCTTTTTCATCAACAAAGGTGGCCGGTTTGTCATTGAAACAGCATGCTTTTGTAAAGGATTCATCGGTCGTACAGGATCACTTGTATCCATGCGGTACCCGCCAAATGACTGAGCCTTGATCATTTGTGTAGCTTCACCCCCTCCCCCCCCCACAGTGAGGATATGAGCCGAGGAAAGGTTTGGGCGTCGGCGAACGTAAGACAGGTACAAGCATCACCTTTTCCTTTGAACAACACAGTGAACTCGCTCAGAACGGACAAGACACAACTACGAAATCGATTACAGACAAGAACACTGCCTTGGTGACCGCTTCAGGGAAACATTTTCGTACGGCCACAGAGCTCACTCACGCGGACCAGCCTCGATGCGCGTTTAGCTCCGCATGCGGCGCTTGCACGAGCCAGTAGCAGGCGTCGTGCCCATCGTTGAGACAGCGGCGGGAGTGCTTTCCGGGGCCGGCGTCGCGTCCACCTGAGTGAAGTCCGTCGTCAGAGGCGCAGCTGTAGCTGCGTCGGGCGTGGAGGCCTCAGGTGTCATCTGCACAGAGGTAGAAGCCTCGCCAGCCACCTCGCCACCACCACCAGATCCTCCGTTCGAGATGGGGACGCATTGCTCTGGAAAATAAAATAAAAAAGTAGTAAGGGGGACAATCGCGTTAGCAGTAGAAGCACAACCATGTCTATCGGACTCTGGAACGTACTGTAGATCTGCCATTCGGGCGAGTGGACCGCCAGCCAGTAGAAGACAAACAGGCACTTGTCACCCTTGCACGCCGAGTAGTCGACGGGGATCTTGGCCGGGTACGACGGGAACTTGGCGACACAGTCGTCGTAGTGGAAAACCTTGGTGTCGTCGATCCAGCCTTCGCAGGGGCCCTATATAAACACGTAGCATTAGAAGATCAGCGCGGGGTCTAATATGTGTACAACTCAAGGGGATAAGTATATACGTACGTGGTGCGAGCCGAGGAAGCCCTCCTTGTACTCGTCGTTCTGCCACCACATTTCGTTGTAGCTGCTCACATCGATCGGGGTCGCCGTGTCGAGCGATTTGCCGTAACCAGGCGAGATGGGGTCGATCATATCGCGAAGGGACTTGTACCCCGTGGCCTGCCAGTGCTCCGCAAACTGCTTGGCGTTGTTCTCCGGTTCATGGTTGTAGACGCCACCGTCGAAGCCCTTGTTCACACTGGCGCCAGTGAGGCCGTTGTACGTCGTGTAGATGGTGTTGGGCTTGTACGACGCTTTGGGCTTGGAGATGTAGCCGTGGGCGTTCACGCAGCTCACCAGCGCTGCGAGCGTGAGAGCGCCTGAAGGGGTGAAGAAGGTCTTCATGGTCGTCTTATAGGAAGAGGGTCGAGGTTTCCGGCGGGCGAGGGGCTGTCGGGAAGCGCGCGATTAATAGAGTGAGGGGTTAGTAAGCCTCCGCACAAACAGCGCATCGGCGCATCGACACTTTCGCACTCACGTAGTACACTACATCGTCGATGCTTTTACCCTCGAGATGCTGTTACTGCGATGTGCCTGCGAACGCCCCATCCGAAGCAAAAATTAATGCGATTTGGTGAAGGCACTTTCAGTCGAACGGTAAAAGCTGCGCTGTCTGCACATGGCTTCATGGAACACATGGGCGTGTGTAGCGATCGGGTCGTTTCCAGTACCTATGAGCTCAAGCCACCCGAGCTGCCGTTATCGCAGTCGCTACCGTCAGAAGCTCAGAATCAAAGACCGGGGGCCGTGAGGAAGTTCACCGCAATGCTACGTGGCGAAGGCTGGAATCTCCCAAAAGGCAAAGGGTGTGATCCTGCTGCCTTTACACAAGGTGACCTCGAACATTGAACCAACTTGGCGTTCTCATACTGTACGTGGTATTACATGAGCGAGGAGACTAATCCGACATCTACTGTATAGTACGCACACATCTAGGTTTCTACGGCCCGTTGACTACGGGATACGCTCGTCATCTCGAGGCGGCTGGATTCGGACACCCCCATCTTAGGAGCGACGACGCACGCATTTACCAGACTTTTTCGCAGCTTCAGCCGATGTCGGAGTCGTCGGTGTGACTTCGGGGGCGGGCGTGGCAAGTTCCGGGGCCTCCGTTGCAGTGTCGGGAGTTGCAGAGGTGGCCTTAGCAGCCTCTGGTGCCGGAGTAGCAGCTTCTGTTTGAGTATCGGCTTCTGGCGCCGCGGTATCAACCGCTGGTGCCTCAGTAGAAGGAGCTTCGGTAGCCTCGGGGGTAGCATCAACGGGCGTAGGCGTTGCTGCAGCAGCTTTAGGCGCATCCGTAGTCTCCGTCTGAGCCACCGGGGTTGTTTGTTCGGTAGTACCCGCATCCGAGGCATCGGTCTCCCCCTTGCCCGAAGATTGGGTCGTTGACGAACCACCGTTCGTAATCGGCACGCACTGCTTGTAGATCTGCCAGTTGGGCTCGTGCAGCGCCAGCCAGTAGAACACCAGCAGACAGTCGCCCTTGCACGACGAGTAGTCCGCCGGCACCTTGGCCGGGTACGACTTGAACTCGGCCGCGCAGTTGTCGTGGTGGAAGATCTTGACGTCGTCGATCCACGCCTCGCACGGACCCGAGTGCGAGTTGATGAAGCCCTCCTTGTACTCGTCGTTCTGCCACCACATCTCCGTGTAGCCCGTCACGTCCACGGGCGTCGCCGTCTTGAGCGAGTGGCCGTAGTCCGGCGCGATCGGGTCAAGCATCTCACGCAGCGACTTGTAGCCCGTGGCGTTCCAGTGGTCGTTGAAGGCCTTGGCGTTGTTCTCCGGGCTGTCGTCGTACTTGCCGCCGCTGAAGCCCTTGTTCACGCTGGCGGAGGTCAGCGCATTGTACTTGGTGTATTCGGTGGTGGAGTCGTACGTGGCCTTGGGCTGCGAGATGTAGCCGTGGGCGTGCACGGTGGCCATGAGCGAGGCAGCGGCGAGGATGGTTGACGGGGCCTTCATCTTGTCTGAGTTTGCGATTAGTTGAGGCTTTCGATTGAGGATCAAATGAATACTGACAAGAATTTGGTATCTCATTGGTGTAGGTCGAACAGTAAGAAGCTCATGTATGGATCAGCTAGTGGATGTTTCCTTAGACACAGCTGACGGGTAGTGGATTGAGGTGATCATTGTGCATTAGAGTATGAAGATGAATGGATTTCTGTTCAAATCTGTAAGCACGACCAGACAGACGACAATATCGGGACTCCAGCTGCAGTTTGCGTCCTCAATGTATATGTGATGGTTTACGGTAATTTAGTTCTTGCCGTCACCTAATACTGTATTTATGTATGTATTGTGCCGATACTAGTGAAGTAGTAACGCACGATGGTGCGTTCCTCCAGATCAGTCCAACCTGTCCGTGCTTGTACAGAAGAATGTGCTATCATAAATTAGCGGGTAACTGCATATTAGATCCCAATAAGGAAATGTCCCCGAGCTGAATCTGGGCTTTTGAAACTCCATAGGCTGCGGGGCGCACTCCAGTTTTCTTGCCGTTGTTCGGCGAGCGTGCATTTTAGCCAGCCCACAAAAGACTCTATACTGTACTAATACGACAGGGCTATTAATCTATGTGCGCACATTTTTTTACCAGGCCCGGATGCGAATTACCCAACAGTAACAGAACGTCATTTGTTCGCATCTGTCTGTTTCGATGGCAATCAGGTGCAGACAGGAAGTATTTTTAATAATAGTAGCAAACTACATGTACAGCTATTCAAGACCCAATCCTGTGCTCTGGCTCAAATTATGGAACTCTTCATACTCAAATAACGTTATTTATTTTTCCTAAACAATATTCTAAATCTGTAAGCTGTAAATTAGTACTTGTAGCTCTGTAGGATTTTTGCTCATATCATGATGCTCAACGGTTGAAGCAAGTTGAGATACTTAAGCTAAACCCTCCGAGCTGTGCATGTACTGCAGCTAAGCAATGAGTTCCCTCGAATCCACCCATCACAAATTGCTGGGCCAGTCCGTAGATAGGTGCATGCTTAACGAACAAATTGTAGCTGTACATTACGGGCAGCTATAATTTAGAAGTCATCGAAACATCGAGGGCGTTAGATACTCAATATTTGGTACAGTATAGTGCATGCACAGTACCATACGAATGCGGTGCAAAAAGCAAAAACCGTTTGGAATCCAGATCCACAGTAGCTTTTCAGAAATCTGAAAAGGGGGCACTTCCTTTAGTGTTGTATTTTCTTCGCAAATATGACTCTTGTGTAATTTAGCGACTATAAAAACAATTACAAGGACAAATAATCAACTATCCTGTTGCTGGGCAAAATCGTAAGCATCCAAAGTTGCAATTGCTTTCATTGCAAGTCTAAAGAGGCGAAATTAAACGCTAAAACACACGCATCTACAATGACCGATAGGTCAGCTCTAAGCATGTCAACGGGCGTGGAATGCTGCCCTAAGCATGGCAATCCTTACGCAAACCGGTCTTGGCCGCCGGAGCCTCCGTAGCAGCCTCGGGAGCCTCCGTAGCATCCTCAGGAGCCTCCGTCGCAGCCTCCGGGGCAGGGGTAGCAACCTCTGGCGCCTCCGTCGACGGGGTCTCGGTAGCCTCCTCAAACGGCTTGAGCGTAGCAGTAACAGGCTCCGGCGTAGCCTCAACGGGTTCAGGCGTAGATTCGACGGGCGAGGGAGTCACAACAGCAGCCTTAGGCGCTGTCGTCGTCGCCGCAGGAGTCGCCACCAGGGTTGTTTGTTCGGTAGTACCCGCATCCGAGGCATCGGTCTCCCCCTTGCCCGAAGATTGGGTCGTTGACGAACCACCGTTCGTAATCGGCACGCACTGCTTGTAGATCTGCCAGTTGGGCTCGTGCAGCGCCAGCCAGTAGAACACCAGCAGACAGTCGCCCTTGCACGACGAGTAGTCCGCCGGCACCTTGGCCGGGTACGACTTGAACTCGGCCGCGCAGTTGTCGTGGTGGAAGATCTTGACGTCGTCGATCCACGCCTCGCACGGACCCGAGTGCGAGTTGATGAAGCCCTCCTTGTACTCGTCGTTCTGCCACCACATCTCCGTGTAGCCCGTCACGTCCACGGGCGTCGCCGTCTTGAGCGAGTGGCCGTAGTCCGGCGCGATCGGGTCAAGCATCTCACGCAGCGACTTGTAGCCCGTGGCGTTCCAGTGGTCGTTGAAGGCCTTGGCGTTGTTCTCCGGGCTGTCGTCGTACTTGCCGCCGCTGAAGCCCTTGTTCACGCTGGCGGAGGTCAGCGCATTGTACTTGGTGTATTCGGTGGTGGAGTCGTACGTGGCCTTGGGCTGCGAGATGTAGCCGTGGGCGTGCACGGTGGCCATGAGCGAGGCAGCGGCGAGGATGGTTGACGGGGCCTTCATCGTAGTTTGGCTTGGGGTCGAGGGGTGCAATTGAGAACTGAGAAGAAGACTGGTGCGCTTGTCAGTCAGCGGTCACGATCGGGAGCAGAGGTCGAACCGCCAGTCGAACAGCGCGAGGAAGACATGCACGCTTTTCGTCGATCCACGTTCCATCACCGAGTGGAAGACCGAGTTCCGTTTCGCCGTCTGTCGAGTCAAGAGTGTATTGGTGAGACTATTGCTGTGAAAGGGACCATCAAAAAAAGTTGAGCCAATGCAGCACAAATTGTGGCTGCTCGCAGTGCAGCTGGTACAGAGAACCACAGCTGCGGGCACCACCGCCGCCTCCACCACTGATGGTTCCCTGTCGTGCGTTTCGCCACACCAATCATCGATCACCTCATCCAGTCACCTGTTCTTTCACAATACATGTACTTCATCGCTCGTGCAACGCGGGATTTGGAGTCTCAAAACTGAAGAACAATCCTGCATTACCGTATTGCCAATGCAGCTTCAGTGGACGCGGTGGGTTTCAGGAAACCTGGTTTAGCTTGGCGGACTACCGTGCTAAACCGTGCATGTACAGTCCTTGAGGGGAGTTCGCTCAACGTGTCCAATACATTTTATTTACAGGTTACTGGTACTCTTCCTACAGGACACTTCGTTTTATTCGGTCGACTGCATTACGGAGTTTTCCTGCGCACGTGTACCGGACGAACCGATGGGACGACGAATTGTATGCAGCTGTGGCTGTGGAAGCGGGAGCGGAAGATTTGCGATACGACAACACCGTGCTCTCGATGCAGATCTTTAGAATGCCGGTACAGTACATGAACTCGCCTTCGACTTCGTACCTGTACGGCACAGTACCAAAAGCAATGTAAAAGCATGGTTGGTGTTGCTTTGGCGTACACATTCGCCGGTGGCGTGTGAAACTTGCCTAGTTGCAATCCGATTGAGGCTGTACCATTGAAACTTCCCCATCAAAGTGTTGTGGACCCCATCATAGGTAAAACAAAAATAAAAAATACAGTACAGTGTACTGAGCCTTGGAGTTTTTTTTTGCTTGCCAACGTAAATGCCAACAGTGAACGTAAGCCACATTGTTGGTACGGAGTGCGCCTCTAACGTACTGAGGCTTTATCACTGACAGATCACAGAGCTGTATCACATGGCACATCCATCCAGCGTTTTACGAAGAAGAAAAGATTCCGGATAGGTAAGATGGCAATTTGCCAAATTGAATTTGGATGGGGCATCGCAGCTCTGTATCATCGTTGACGTACCTATTGTGTAGTGCACATTGTAAATTTTGGTCTGAGCAATTGACTTGACCAAAACTTAACCCTCGAATAGCAGGAGTTTTCAAAAACCATTAATTTATTGTTCATTTAGAATCTGAGTTTTGACGGCACATGTACATGTAGTGTAATCACCAGGTGAGGTGAAAGGCATACTACGCCTATATATGCAGATATAGCAGACCAGATCTTCACTACAACGGCAAACAGACCTGTTTCGTTTTCGAGCACAATTTTACTACTACTGTAGTATTACTAACGTTATAATAAGTATACACATCATTTAGGCATTCTAAATAATAACAATATCTCTGAATAAGAAAGTTTCCTCCAGCCGAGAGGCGGCAAAGCAATTTCTCGCGTCAACGATGTTTCCTCTGTTCCTGATGATGAGCGTTTGGCTCTTTACAGCGCGAGTCAAAGGCTCGGCCATCTTCTCGTTCCCCGCAGAATCATCGACCGCTCAGGCGACCGAGTTGTCGATGCCAGTTTGCTCGACAGCCATCAAGCCGTGTGTAAACTCGGCCTTCCGCGGACTAAACTGGACGCGCGATGCTTGTTACAACGTCGACACCTTTGCCGATGCATTCCCTTTGACAGGGTTTGCTTCACTCAGGCAGATGATTGACGCGACATCGAGCTCTTGTGGCGTGGAGGCCCCTCCAGAGATCGCTGTCATGGGAGAAGGGCCGCAGAAAATATACTGGAACGACGATGAAGCTGCCGAAGGCGGGTTTGAACATGTAAGGCCTAGTGTGTTGTATCGCGGTTGTGTCAGCAGCTGACGTACAGTCGTCTTGTGTCGAAGGGGCCATGCGAGTTGTGGCTGGACGAGGTTGTCGTGTTTCAGTCAAACAATTGCGCTGTTGCTTTCCCAACCAGCCCGGCAGTGTGTGCTGTCGATTACTCGAGCTGCAGCGGCTTTTGTGTGCTACGCTTCTACGCGTTGGCACTTACAGGGGTCCAGTGGCGAGCTTTCAGTACGTTAACCTCTGTACTGTAGTGCGCTGCAGTGACTACAGTGCGGATGCCAGGAGCTAATCTATAGTTTTATTTTCTTTCCCATAGAACACATCGTGGATATCAATTTCACCTCTGGCAACGATGTCGTAGCCCCGAGTGACCACCCCCAGTCAACGCAGACGCCAAGTTGTGAGGTGGTTACGTCTCGATCGACGTCAAGATCTGGAAACGTGGATGGGGATACCAGTGGTGATATACCTGCCGATACCGAGCTCTCCAGCCTACTCGTTCAACTGCTATTGGACAAGATAGCGTATCTACACTGGCACAACGTCATTTGGCGAACAATGATTGCTGATCTGGAGGAGCCTGTACACTTAGCTCGTTTGCGCGGATATGACCAGCTTCCGTCTTCAGTTCTGCAACAGCACTCTACCCTTGGCTGCCAACACCCTCGGGGCGTGAACCTTCGAGGACAAGGAAACCGCTGTGGCAGCGGAAACTCCACCCCAGCACCTACCCGGCCGAAGGCAGACACGATGGCAATTTAATCATCGATCCATTTTCCTCATTATCAGAACGAGACAATTACACCGCAACAAACAGTGCAGACAAACAAGCACAGCGCTTGTTGCAGGCTAGAATATGTATCTAGCTATTTACTAATGTCAGTTTTCAACTTGCACCACTATCCACCCGAGTACATTTCCTCCTCCATTCAAAATCGAAATGCTTGTCTCTAGTCATCCTTCGCGGATGGGGCCATAGCACTCAGACCACCATCAACTGTAAAGCAAAATACCCGTCAGAACACCGCCATAGATATTACGACCGAGCTCTATCAGGAGGTGCTCTCACCATAAATGGTCTGACCCGTGACTGCCGCAGCAAGGTCGCTCGACAAGAACGCTGCGACGGACCCCACATCTCCCATCGAGCTGTTACGCCGCAAGGGGGCGTGCTCCTCCGCGTACTTCCTCATTTTCTACGCCACCCAAAAACACAAGGAATACACCCGTAAGAAGAAACAAAACAGCAAGCAATCCTCCACACAAACTCCCCAACACTCACCGAAATTCCAGGAATCCCCCGCGCCGACACGGTGTTCATGGGTCCTGGGCTGAGGCAGTTGACGCGGATGCCGTCAGGTCCAAGCTCATGCGCCAGCTGCCTCGCCGTCGCCTCGAGCGCCGCCTTGGCCGGCCCCATCACGTTGTAGTTGGGCACCACCTTGGTCGATCCCGCGTACGTCAGCGCCAGCACGCTGCGGTCTCCTCTCCCGTCTTCCTCGTTGCCGTTGACCATCAGGGGCCTTGCGGCTCTGGCTAGCGCCACCAAACTGTAGGCGCTGACGTCCATGGCCTGCGTCCACGCGGCGCGCGGCGTGTCCAGCAGTCCATTGGTGAAGGCCTCGCGCGGGGCGAAGGCCACCGAGTGCACGAGCACGTCCAGCTGCCCGTCGAAGACTTCGCCGCAGCGCTGCAGCAGCTGCTCGACGCTCGCGTCGCTCTCGACGTCGCACGGCGCGAAGTGCAGGGCCGAGGCGTCGGGCACTCGGAAGGCGCAGCTCTTGACGTGGCTCTCACTCAGCGGCGTCTTGGACGACACCACGACGCTGGCGCCCGCGGAGAGCAGCGCCTGCGTGACCCCCGTGGCCAGCGAGTGCTTGTTCATGAGCCCCACGACGAGGGCGCGCTTCCCCTGGAGCAGCATGACGATAAGTAGGTATCCTTGACAAGCAAAGTGAGCTCTTCGTGTTGATTGGGGGTTGTTGGGATTTAAACGAGGTATATGGCTACACTTGGTGCTAGCTTAGTAGAGGTAAAAGCACAAAAGTATACTTAATGGAGTATAACTGTGGCGTGCGTGGTTTGTCCAGCTAGCTGCTGGATTCACCTGTCTGCGCGAGCTGCTGCGTCTTGCTGGGGGAGCTGAGGTTGCTGCCTGGCTGCACGGGGGGAAGAGGGCCGCCTGGTGACACCGGGCGCATATGATGCGAGTCGAGGCGAGGCGACTGCAGCGGACTCAACGGCTTGACCGTGGACACGGCCGGTGCCAACGGGGTTTCTTCCTTGATGGGGATCGACGCAGGCAGAACTCGTGGCTCCACCGGATCAGCGGGTAGCGGCACCTTCGGGACGTCCGACGACTGACTGGCTCGCCGGTGCATACCTACGCGTTTCCCGGGAGAAGGTTTTCGAGTCGGGCTGCCTCCAGTTGCTGGTACTTCGGGCTCGCTTACTGGATTAGGAGCTGCACTCGTCTTTGGCAGAGTGCCCTCGAAGTTGTCTGGTGTTTCTCCGCTTGGAATGCGAAATAACGATTGACTGTGGTCTGGTTGTGGTGGAACCGTGTCAGTTTTGTTCGGGTGAACTGCTGGGATCGAGCTTGAGGTGGACATTGAAGCAACGCCGTTCTCGTTAGTGCTCTCCATCCTAGGTGACGCTTGTGGTGGCGTCTTTGGACCTTCGTCGGAAGCTCGAGTCGTCTCTGTCGCAGGATGCATTCGTAGCTTCACCTTGTCCGTACGCAAGTCGATCCAGGACTGGTGTCCGTCCTTGAAGCGAACTAGTAGAGTTGGCTCGTCGCTGGAGTTCTCGCTGCCGCCAACTGCGAGGATCTTCCCGTTCATAACGCTCTTGCCGACACGGTCGTACACATCGACTCGGTGACCCACAAGAATTCGACGGTACTCTTCCCACTGAGCCGGCTGCAATAGCAGACGACTTCGAAGATGGGACAGAGAGCTCACGATATGTTTCGCTGAGCGTGAGGATACTCCTCCGACCGGGTTTTCCACGGGCTCGAAGATGAAGGCCTCGTTGGACCAATTGCTTTGTGCAGCCACTTTGAACTTCAGATACTGCTTGGAGTAATCGTCAAATAACTCGATTCCTTGTCCTTCGAACAAACGTGGGTACTCCAGATCCGGATTGCGATGTGAGTCCTCTCCGTGCAATTTGTGAGGTCTTGGGGCGTGTAGCTGAGCGTGATCCCTACCATCTCGATGTTCAAAAGCGTCCGTAATGTGAGGAAGGAATACCAACTTGAAGGTCTGCGACTTCAGATCGATCCATTCGACCGCCATGCTGGTCCCAAACCGAATAGGGGTCAGGTGGCCAAGCGCCGCAGCCTTTAGAGAAGTTCCGCTTCGAAACTCTCCAATAAATGGCGAATACACCTCCACTATCTGGCCCATTGGAAATGTTTTGACGTTCTCCAAGCCGTGAATCACCACTTTGAAGCATTGGACCGAGCTAGCAACCTCGAAAAATCCCCGGTGTTCATTGTACAGCTGAAGATGAGACTTCGTTTTTGAGCACAGAGCTGCGCCCTCCAAGAACTGTCCGCCCCGGTTGCAGAGTTCGACATGGGTACCTTCCAAATGCCACTCGAAGTCGTCTGGATCGACACGGGGCATACTCAGCGGCGAAACAACCACAGAAGAATCGTAAAGTGAAGAAGGTTGGACGCTGTCAGAGACCCCACTAGTGTCGTGGCTTTTGGAGGATTCCCTGGCTTCGCTTTGCTTATGTTTGTGACTGGGCGAGGAGTGTTTCGCGTCATTGCCAAGCACATCCTCACCGTCGACGCTTGGACTGGTCTGGTGGCCGGGCACCTTGACGCGGAAAAAGGTGAGGTCGAGCCATTCCTTCCTCCCACCGGTAAAAAGGACCAAGGCGCAGTTGATATCGCAGTCTATTTGCTTCACGACACCACGCTCCAGACGCTTCGTATCCGCGCTCTCGAGCTCGATCTCCCAGCTCACCATTGCAGAGGAGAGAGAACGCAACTCACCAGCCTCGTACACGACCTGATATTGTAAAGCATAACTTTGCTTAGAGAGCTTCATACAAGCATAATTGCATAGTTTAATCTAAGTACCTTGTAAAACGCTCGCTTGAGGTCTAGCGGCTGCAGAGGCTCATAAGGCGACACTTGCACAGTGCAGGTGCCGTTTCCTCCCTCATCTTCGGGGTTTACTTCCACTACGCGACCGGTGGTGAGGCTTCTCCCTTCGGCTTTGGTTGGGCTGGAGCTGCCAATGCCCGACGCAGACAGCGCGTCGAACTCGAGCACGTCGCCAACCTTCACGGGCACCATCACTCTAGTCGCCTGCGGTTGCCACGTGCAAATAGCTAGTAGCTCGAAGTGGACCGCAGCAGCAGCAGCAGTGGTAGGGCCCGCCACACAGTCCCAGAAACCAACGTCCTTTCATGATGGCGGACAAGATTAGCTGCAAGGCCTACGCTTTGTTTAGCTGACTTTGTTAGCGGCGACGACCTGGGTCTACCAATTGTTGTCGAGTCGCTAAAATAAACAGGCTGGGGCCCACAGAACCTCGAAATGCTTTACTTCGAAGTTGTATTTGTTGCTGAATTACCAGAGCGACACTCGTCACTAGGTATCTTAGACGTACACAAGAATTCACGTAGAGCGAGAGCACTGTTTGGACAACAGTGTAAGACGCAGCAACTACCGCATACACGCTAGAATCCAAACAATAAAACTCAATTCTTATCGGTTAGATCGCGAATACACTGACATGTGCGCACTCAAACTGCCACCCTCTACGCCTGCTTCTCAGATTGAGTCTGCTTAGCAGCGCCGTCGCTCGAGATTTTCGTGAAGATGGCACCGATGCCGTTGATTCCTGTCTCGCCCGCGCGGCCGTGGAAGCCGTTCAGCTGGAAACCCTTGGGCGCGGTCACCTTGGCCTTGTCGTCCGTCGGGGTTCCGCCCGCGATCGCTCGGCCCTTGCTGGTGCCGAGCTTGAGGTAGAAGACGCACGTGCGCTCGTCCTTCTTTCCCGTGTGAACCTCCATGCTCGTAATGTACTCGCCCGACCGGAGCGCCAGCTTCTTGGGGGTGCCGCCAGTTCCGCCGTGAGAGAGCGTACTCTCCGTGGGGTCCGACACCTCGAGCGTCACGGCGTCAACGCGCCTGTCACCGCGAATCGTAACGGAGCTCACAGTTTGTCCGGGCTCAGCCAGAGCGAGGTCCGTGAAGAAGGTGCCGTGCGGGCCGCCGACGGCGTTGCTCAGGTTGAAGTCGGGGCTCACGGACCACGAGAAGGTCGAGGCAATGGGCGGGTGGTCCGACAGCTGCTTGCCGTTTTTGTCGAGGAAGGCCTCGTTCTCGTTGTTCCACTTGTCCAGCGTCAGCGAAACGTACTTGCCGCTCCGGTACATGATCTTGTCCACGACCTCGCACTTGTTGGTCATGTTTGTGGCGTCGCACAGTATGGCGTCGCCGCCCTTCTTAGGGAGGGACCCCTTGCGGACGTACTCGATCCAGCCATCGGTGAGGTTTTGCTCAGCCACGAACTCGGCGATCGTGTCGAGCGAGCGAGTGTAGCGCGTGTTGGTGTCGCCCATGACGATAACGGCGTTGCCGGCCGAGTTCTCCTTGATGTAGTCACCCAACTGCTGCAGGTTGGACGCGCGCGCCTTCTGGTCCGTCTGGGAAGTGCCGGCGTCCGCGTGGAGGTTGTACACGTCGATGGTCACTCCGTCCGCCAGTTGCACGCCCTGCAGCGTGAACCCCTTGGGCGTCATGCAGTCGGCGCTCTCGTCGTTGCTGCACTCGGCCCATCGGACGCGCTCGAGGCCCAAGACGCTGAACGGGAGGCGGGAGAGCGTGTTGAGGCCGCTTCCGAACGGCACGCCGCCGCTCGTGGCCGTGCGGTACTTCTGCGTGTTCTCCTTGTAGATGAAGGAATGGTAGTTGAAGTCCTCCTGCACGTTGACGATGTCCCAGTCGCTGATGCGCCGGCCCATTTCGAGGCTGTTGGCCTCCGGGTTTCCGCTGGAGAGAATCGCCGGCAGGCCGGCGACGTTGTAGCACAGGACGGAGAAGGTGTTCTCAGCCTGCACTTGCATCGTGGCGGTTCGTTATCCGTCGTGGGTCTGTACTACAGACTGTAGTGAAGACGACAAGTTGAGAAGTGAGCACCCCTCAGGCCGGACCAAGTCGTCGACCAGCAGAATACCATAGGTACATAGCGACACGCTCTGGAAACGTAATGCGGGCGCAGCAGATCGCACTTTTAGCTTTGTACATCTCGAGATCGATGCAGATGTCGGCTCGATACATTTGTTCACATGTACGGCGGCGAAATACTGTGGCTAGTCCATCCGGCGAGCATGAACTGGGACTCCCAGTCTGGGAGCTTCAGTTCACCCGATGGAACACTCTGACGCCCAGCTGGAGTTGAGGACTTTCTGGGGAGATTGCGGCCATTTGAGCTTGAGATGGGCTTCCCTATTGCTACGTTGTAGGAAGTCGAGGTCAACGCTACTTATCATCGCGTCAATATGAAACCTCAGCCTGTGGATCGTGCTTTGCAATGATTTTGCCGACCATTTTAGACGCTAAATATGGCAAAGCCTGCTCCTAAATATGTGTGAAAAAAGATACACGACCTGCTAAAATTATGCATAAATCCACCTCCTCATATATATATCGACTTGGGAGGGCCTGTCAGCAGCCATGCATTGGCCCAGTACACCACCGTCCATGATCCCCAGCACCATCCAACCTCTTATGCATAATTGCCGTGTGTGTAGGTGCTTGTGGATAAAAACCGACAGAATTGCAGCTGCACAGCCACAATATGCACTTTCAAAAGTGGCGCTTTTAGTGTAATTCTAGGCCTCCACCCATTTATGCACCTCGATTTATCGTCGCTATAAATACAGCAAATCTCGCCTCATATTGCCAAAATCGTTGCAAAGCACAATAGTATCTTTCGAAGGAAATCGGCCACCAGATCAGTCAGCCAGTGACCAAGTGCCAACGTGGCGATACAAAGCGTCTGCTGGGAATTAACTAAACTTTACCCCCATTTGTTTAGTCAGTGCTACGGTAATGGTTCGTTTTCTTTGATCTGCCACGTTTACCTGAGTGCTGCTGTTGCTGAGTCGTGCCCCCCACCCGTGTGAAGATCGCACCCAGCGCATCGATGTTATCACCAGCACGGCCGTGGAAGCCGCTCAGCTGGAATCCCTCCGGTGCTGTCATCGTGGCTTTGGAGCCCGTGGGGGTTCCTCCGACCACCGACCGGCCTTCGCTCGTTCCGAACTTGAGGTAGAAGATACGAGTCCTGTCATGCTTCTTACCCCAGTGAGCCTCCATGGACGTAATGTACTCGCCAGACGCGAGGCGCAGTCTGCTGAGAGACCCGCCAGTGCCACCGTGAGAGAGGGTACTCTCCGTTGGCTCTGACACCTCCAATTTCACAGCGTCAACGCGGTCACCCGCACGGATCGAGATCGAGCTCACAGTCTGGTCAGCCGCAGCCAATCCGACGTCCGAGAAGCGAGTGCCGTGGGGACCGCCCACTGCGCTACTGAGGTAGATGTCGGGGTTCAATGTCCATGAGAAGGTGGACGAAATTGGCGGGTGGTCCGACAGCGGGGCGCCGTTCTTGCCCATGAACGCCTCGTTCTCGTTGTTCCACTTGTCCAGCGTCAGCCTGATGTAGTTGTTGCCGCGGAACATGATCTTGTCCACGACCTCACACTCGTTCGTTATGTTCTCCGTCTCGCACTTGAGCGCCTCCGCACCCTTCTTGGGAGGCTTCCCGTTGCGAATGCTCTCGACCCAGCCGTCCGTGAGCTTCTGGCCCTCGATAAATTCGCGGATTGTGTCCAACTCGCGGGTGTAGCGGGTGTTGGTGTCGCCCATGACAACCACCGCGTTACCGGCCGAGTTCTCGTCCATGAAGTCGCTCAGCTGTTGCAAGTTCGAAGCGCGCGCTTTTTGGTCTGCGGCGGTCACTCCGGCGTCTGTGTGCAGGTTGTAGATGTCGATGGTGACTCCGTCAGCCAGCTGAACCTCGACCAACGTGAAGCCCTTGGGCGTCATGCAGTCGGCATTGTCGTAATTGCTGCAATCCTCCCAGGTGACACGCTCGAGATCTGTGACGTTCGTGAAGGCGAAATGCGAGAGCGTGTTGAGGCCGCTGCCGATCGGCACGCCGCCACTTGTAGGGGTACGGTACTCGTGCTTGTTCTCCGAGTAGAGCTTGGCGTGGTAGTTGAAATCTTCCTGCACGTTGACGATGTCCCAGTCGCTGATACGTTTGCCCATGTCCACGCTGTAGGAGTTGGGGTCGCCGCTTGAAATAAGTGCCGGCAAGCCAGCCACGTTGTAGCACATGACGCTGAAGGTATTGGCAGCGGCCATGGCTGCGGTCGGCTGCAAATCGAAGACTGAGGGATAACTTTTTAGTAGGAATGACTTGGCATGGGTGCATCGCGGGGCAGCGCTTGTGGCAGGGATAACTTTTTAGTAGGAATGACTTGGCATGGGTGCATCGCGGGGCAGCGCTTGTGCCAGTGGTTGCAGGGGGGGGGGTACAGTGCGCAAGAGTAAAATATAAGATGTGCTCCGTTACTAATTGACCAAAGAATGGTTGCTCAGCAACTTAGGATGCTGTGCGTTGTGAGCATTGGGCCAGGTCATGCACGCCATCATTGCCGACACTTTGTTGGTGAACACTGTATTCACGCCATCATTGCCTGCTGGGCTTCGACACTTTGTTGGTGAACACTGTAGCGGTGGGAGGCTTTGGTGACTCGGCAATGGCGAGGCTGGGTCACGAACTTCGAAGGTGCTATTCGGAATACACCGACGCTGCAAAACCCCTTGACTATTCTGGAGCCAAGTCCAAGCCTGCGTACACTGTACAGTTGCCGTCGACAACTTGTTGAATCCGTCGATCCAGCTGCGGAATCGCTGGCAGATCAACTTCAACTTCAGAGATTTGAGCACACCTTCCACACCTTCTACGAGCCCTGGGGAGAGCCGGGCTCCTGGGCTCTTGGGTGAACCCAAAAAGTCGCGAGCTCGGGCTCCTGGGCTCTTGAGTTCAATAGGTTAAGTGAAAGGAGCCCTCCAGAACTGTGAGCCCTCGTTAAGGGCTCATCCCTCACCTGTTAAATATCTCGCTGATGATTGGCCGTCATTGAAGTATCTCCAGGTTCTAACCTGAAAAGGCATAGGAAAGAGGGCTTCTCCTTGAGGGGAAGGAAGGACGATCGGCGACGCTGGGGTGGCCTCGGAGCGGCTGTACACATATGAGCGGCGCGAGATCTTCTAGTGTGGTGATCTTTGAGCTCGATCTTCTAGCGTGGCGCATCGATCACGCGAAGTTGCTCGCCTTAAGTCTAGGTAAAATTGGCCAATCAGATTACTATGAAGAGCCCGTCATAGATTTGAAGCTAAATTTGGGGAGCCCTGGAGGGGAGCCAATGGGGAGCCCGAACCAAGGGCTCCTTGATCTCGTACTTACCATGAGGGAGCCCATTTTGTGCGACTTTTGGCTCTCGTTTTAGGAAAAGCCCACTTTTGAAGTAGACGGGCTCGTAGAAGGTGTGGATTTGAGTGTTGATTCGGTAAGGACACAGAGCAGAATCACGTCAAGATGAACACGTAATTATTTGAGGAAGTCGCACGGGTCGTTCGTTCACTGCAGCCCCAGCGAGGCAGCAACGATCCGCCATCTACCACACAGCACAGTGAGTTCAACGACTGTAAAGCTACACGAACGGTGCTCTTGCTATTGAAAATTCCAGACCGAAAATGCCGCCTACTTGTTTTAGCCAATTAGCATCTTCTCCTTGTTAAACTCTCGCAGTCTATTGGTAGATTTTTCCAGCGTCACATGCAATTTCCGGTGATGAGCCTCCTAGGATTTGCATAACGTTAGCATACAAAAGTCTCACTCCAAATCAACAAGCTTTTCAAAACAATAACAAGAAGTTCTGCAAAATAGACACGGACCAGCGTGAAGTACATAAATTCAGCCTAATCGCGCAGATTTAGCGGGTGCAATCAGATTTCAGAATGGACAATTCAATGAAAAGTTATGCCACAGCAAGTCCGCAAGCTCGAAGGACGGCACGAAACTGGCAGAAGACCTTACGGTATATTCTTCCCTGCGTCGGGGGGGGGGGGGGGTAAACGTACACATTGAGCTTCTAGGTACAGTATTCAAGAATTGCTTTACATGTACAGTGTACCAATCTGACGCATCATGTCGCTACGAATTGCATTGCATGCAGCACTACGACTCGTATTTTTCGTAGGTTAGGAGGAAATCTTGGTCCAAACCGCTCCCAAAGCGTCAATTGCATCACCGTCACGGCCGTGGAAGCCACTGAGTTGGTAGCCGTCGGAGGCGTACAATGTCGCTTTATCCTCGGTCGTGGCCCCTCCTGAAAGTGTGTTCCCCAGACTCGTCGTGAATTTGAGGTAGAAAATTCGCGTGTGGCTGTTGTACTTGCCCCAGTGAGCTTCGATCGACGTGATGTACTCGCCAGACGATAAAGTCAGTGTCTTTGCCGTGCCGCCAGTGCCTCCGTGGGAGAAAGTTGTCGCAGTTGGTGCCGATATTGTGAGACTCACTGCGTCCACGCGCGATCCCGATCGTAGCGTGATCGAGTTCACAGTTTGGCCGCCAGCAGCCGACCCAACGTCCGTGAATTGGTCTCCGTGTGGTCCCCCGACAGCATTGCTCAGACGAATAGCATCGTTAAGTGTCCACGAGAAGGTCGACGAAATGGGCGGATGGTCCGATAGCATGTTTCCGTCGTCATCTAGGAACGCGGCGTTCTCGTTCTTCCAGTTCTCCAGTGATAGAGTGATGTAGTTGTTGCCGCGGAACAGGATCTTGTCCACGACCTCGCACGTGTCGGTCATGTTGCTCGAGTCGCACACGATAGCGTCGGCCCCTTTGGTTGGGTACACGCCGTCGCGGACGTACTCGACCCACCCGTCCGTTAGCCCCAAGCCTTCAGCAAACTCACGGATGGTGTCATCCGAACGAGTGTAGCGCGTGTTGGTGTCCCCCATGACGATAACCGCGTTGCCAGCAGAGTTGGCTATGATATACTCACTGAGCTGAGCCAGGTTCGCCGCTCGGGCTACTTCATCTGCGGCCGTAACCCCGGCGTCCGTGTGCAGGTTGTACAGGTCGAAGGTGACGCCGTCAGCCAACTGGATCTCCAAGAACGTGAAGCCCTTGGGCGTAAGGCAGTCGGCGCCGTCGAATGTGCTGCAGACCTCCCACTTGGTGCGCGTCAGGTCCGTGATGTTGCTGAACGAGAAGTTCGATAGCGAGTTGAGACCGTCGCCGAACGGAACGCCGCCGCTGGTAGCCGTCCGGTACAGGTGCGAATTCTCCGAGTAGACGTAGGCGTGGTAGTTGAAATCCTCCTGCACATTCACGACGTCCCAGTTGCTAATGCGCTTCCCGATCTCGACGCTGTTCGCGGACGGGTTTCCACTCGACAGAACCGCTGGAAGGCCCGCCACGTTGTAGCTCATGACACTGAAGCTGTTCTCGGCCAAGGAGCGCAGCATCGTTCGAGTAGTAGCTGGGAGACGGTAAGCGTTTGGCACCGCAGTAGAATGCGCGTGAGCCTTTGGTGGCAAGTTGGCGGATGCGTTCGAGCGGAGGGGGCGAAGTGACTTCAACGGATCAAGCGACATCGTGTTCATCTGCAACGTTGCACACGGCTGCGCGGTTCCACCTCGGGGCAGTATCGTATCAACCGCGATCACGCACAGTTGAATCCTGGACTCATCTTTGTGAGCTGCAAACCCTCTGCTGTATTCATTTCGTGGTGTTAGCTTTAGTCTACGCCCATTGGTCTGCGTGCAGACTAAAACCTGCTTGAAGCACCATTGACCTCGAAGAACTATCCAGTTGAAGCCCGTGCTACCTTGGGTAAGTATCAGAGCTGGAAAACCTGTTGATTTTCAAAATATGAATTAGGTTCTGGGTTTTTGGGTAGGTTTAAACTGCTTTTACTGGGTTTAAACCAGACATCGTCCACTGGACGCCTACCAGATATACATTAAGGGGCTGTCATACCTGCAGCAGATATGACAGGGCTTAAAAAGATATATGTTGACATAGCGCTCAAAATCTCCACCGCAATTGTCGTACATGCGTCACTTGTGTCCGCTTGATATCGCCCTGAATCAAGCGGCTTGATAGACGCTTGCTGGGCTTTATGAATGTACCCGTCATTTTGTTCCGGACACCGCCGACGCTGCATCCCTTCTACACCAGTTTCGAATTTGGCGCGCGTCGGACACAAGCGCCGGAACGATGGCCGCAGAGGACGTCGATGCGATGCTGGTGCTGGCTAGCGCCTTCGTCGAGCAGGAGGAGACGCTGCACGAGGTGCGCAGGGAGGTGTACGACAAGCTCGTGGAAGAGGCGTGGAGGATCGCCATGCGGACCAGGCACTACCTGACCACCCAGTGCCTCTACACGCCCTGCGACTCCGCGTGGATGATGTTGTACACGCGCGAAAGCGACATCAACTTCCTAAACGCGACGAGCTTGACCAGGTGCGACCCTACTTACTATCTGAAGTTGCTGCGCTATATCTAATTCATGCATGCTTTCAGGTCGGCTTTCCACCAACTACTGCGGCGCTTCAGCCGCTTTTACTACATCCCACGCAGCACGGCACGCGGGCGGCCCCCGAAGCTCCGACACTACCACCAGATCCTGGGCCTGGTGCTGTGCTTCTACGTCGGGTCGATGGAGCAGAGCTCCCTGTGTATGATGTTTGGGGCTCCGCCGGGCACCATATCGAGGCCGCTACGCCGCGCCGAGGAAGCGCTGTCGCTGGCGCTAAAAGGCTACGCTCCTGCCAGAATCTCTTGGCCCTCGCCTGCTCGCCAAGCCGAACTCGCAAAGCTTTTGGAAGCCCGCGAGCCGCTTCTCATACACACATTCGGCTTCATTGATGGGAAGAACTTAAGGGTGAGTTGTAGTTTGCAAAATGTTACTTGCTATGATAGAAGGCTAACATCAATGATATTGTAGGTTCAGCAGCCGTCGAATGCGGACTTGCAGAACGCCATGTATAACGGGTGGTTGCAAACCGTTTTCGTGACTGGCACAATCTGCTTCGCAGCCGACGACTGCATCATTTGGTGTAAACACAATTGCCCCGGGTCGTGGAACGACTCCGACACCTCCTTGGGCTTCCGTTCCAAGTTGATCGACCCTACCCTCTGCCCGGACACACGTATGAACGTGGTGTCGGACTCGGCCTTCCCGTGTTCGACCAGCATGGTCGGTCGCATCCTGACTCCTCTCAAAGATGGCGATCTCGAGAGGATTCTCCCGTCGCTGAGAAGCTCCGCGCGGGCGCTTCATAGCGCCATCACGTCCGTGAGGCAGGCGGCGGAGTGGGGCATGGGGAGCATGCAAAAGGTGTACAGCCGCCTGAACCTCCCCCTGCCGTACGACCCCGAGCTTCGTGGGCACCGAATCAACAACATCTTCAGAATGGCTAACTATCGCGTCCGCACGGTCGGCATCTACAGATACGCACGACGTTTTCAGGCAAGATGGAGCTATCCAGCGAGTAGGGTGTCGAACTAGCCGTGTTTGTACTGCATGCAACCATACATTTTTCTTTGCCGTTGAATTGAGCTGCTTCATTATCTCGATGTTGCTGGCAGCAGCGTGCTGCAAACGTTTTGCGACGGAGAGCCGAACTCGATGCTCGTGCGTCTTGCACTTGACTTCACAGAGATGTGTACGCAGCACGAGAAGTACATGTGATGATGAAGGCGCTAGAAGATCACGTAACCCATGACGGACACGCTAGCGGATCATGAACAACATGTTTGATTTGAGGCATAGTGGTAAGTGACAAGTATATAGTAACTAGAACGTGAATGATAGCCTCACTTCGAAGAGCATGCGCGCCTTCCGCTCACGCCTTCTTAGTCAGTGCGCCGATCAATATGAGCAGCTCTTGAGTGCGGGCGCGCGCATCTTCGCGCTCTCGGCGCGCACGGTCCTCTCTCTCCAGCTTCTCCTCACGGCGGCGCGCCTCTGCTTCAGCCTTGGCTTCCAGAAGGCGGGCCTCGTTGGCCGCCTTTTCGTCGCGGCGGCGCTGATCTTCCTCGGCGCGACGGGCGTCAGCCTTCCGCTCGATCTCTTCGCGGAGCAGCAGAAGCGTCTCGAGGATGCCTCCTCGCATGTTGCTGGCGTTGTTTTCAAGGCCATCCAGATTTGTCTTGAGAGCTGTTGTTGCCTTCATGGCACGGGTGCGCTTAGCTTTGGCGTAGCTAGCTTCCGCCGTGTCTTTGTCTTCTTCATGAGCGCGGTTGGCGCCCACCGTGTCGCGAAAGCCGGCCAAGTCCACGCCTCCGAGACGGTTCGACGTCTTGTGGAGCTTGGGGTACTTGGCCGCTTCGGCGGCATCGTGGTTGGTGGCAGCGGCGGCACCTAGAGTCGATGGCTGCTGTGAAGCACCACTACTGGGGGCAGTAACAGGCGTCTTACGTGGTGGCGGCAGCCCCCCCGGGCCAGCACGACGTGTACTTGGCGCTGCTCGGACAGGAGTAGGACGCGGCGTGCGTGCAAGCTCGTCCAGATCATCGGTGGTCAGCGGCGACGAGAGCAAGTCTTGGAACGCGCCTCGGCTCGATGAGCGGCTGGAAGCCGTCGACTCGTCCTCGGCCGACTCGTCGGAGCCCGGCGACTCGCCGCAGTCGGACCTGCCCACAGTGGCGGCAGTTGGCACTCCCAAACCTTCGCCCTCGCCGTCGCCGCCCTCGTAGAAGCTGTCGTCCGGGTCGACTTCAAAGCAGAAGTCGGGCTGGTCGTTGTCGGCCTCGTCGTCCATCTCCACGACGTTGGCCTTGTCGTCGATGGCACGTTTGACCTCCATGGCTTTCTTGATGAGCGGGGGAATCTCCTGCACGCCGGCCGGCTTCCGGGTGCTGTGAAGCACCTTGAACTTACGCCGTAAGCTCTCGAAGTCTCGCTCGGGCGAGCCTCGAGGCCTGTTGGCGTTGTACGTCATAGCGAGGCGTTCCCACTCGTCCCTGCCGAGCGGCAGCATCTTCTCGACGAGCGTGAGGAGGCGGTCGACATCGGCCGTCGAGTAGTTGGTGGTTTCAGAGTGCTTCGGCATCTACACACACAGACGAATCAATAAAAAGTCAGTCACGCTGCTCATTGCCACGTTGGACCGTGTTGGCGCGGCGTACCGGGAGTGGTGGGCGGAGGCGAGGCGGCGGAGACGCGCTTGGGGGGGGAGAGAACTGCTTGGAACGTGGTAAAATCAGAAGTGAGAGACGACGACAGCTTCGCCACGGCGGCAGCTTGCCAGGGCGATGCCTTCGCCACCACCAGTTCGCATCGATCTTGAAAGGATGCTAGTAGCTCACAACTTCAACGCTGCGCGCGCGAAATCTGCGCGCGCAAATAGCAAGTCAGTGTACGTGAAAACTTCGAACGAAGATGAGCCCATCAACCCGTCGTTTGGCGCGAACCTTGGCGCCAGTATTTCATGCTTCCCTGCTTGTTGCTAGCCTGCAGCTACTTTGCACTCACGGCAACCACCATCAACAACCGCACAGCAATAGGTTATCTCAATGCAATTCATTTGTTCACAACACGCTTACCTACACAACTACACCTCCTTCACTTCGCTCCCTCCCCCTTCTCGCTGGTCTCTCTCTCTTCACCTTGCTTGCTCTCTCGTCCTGCTCACTCTTTGGCCCTCTCACGGGTCTTGGGCGTCTTGAATGTTGCGGTGGCGACACCCATCCAGCTCACAGCGGCAAACAAACCACAAGTCGTCGCCATAGTCGACTGTCACCTCCTCGCCGCGGTGGATGTCTTGCGTCGACGTCACGACCACGGTGGTACGGCGGCCGTTGGCCACTTCCACGAACTTCGCCACCGGTTGGCACGAGTGGTTTACGAAGCGCATCAGCCCTCCCATGTTCTTGGCGTTGATCGCCACGCAGACTGGGAACGTCGGTCGCTTTGGCCGCTGCCTCATCACCAAGCGGTAGCGGCTATTGCGCGGTCGGGTCGTGCGCGAAACACTCAAGTGCTCCATCTCGCCGAGGTATTGGCCCAGCACATCGCCCGCTTCGATATCCTCGTCAGCGACCACGCCCAACGACCTCGTGCGCACGTTCCTCCCTAGATACACCTTGCTCGACTCGGCCAGCGCGTTGCCACAGAGCCCCCCCCCGTACGGGCAGCAGTTGATATTGCAGTAGAGATGCATTAGCGAATTGCGGCAGGAGTCCACACGGCACGGCGATGGGCAGTCGCACCACCCAAAGTGAGGCACCGACGGAAATACCGTCGCGAGCGGGTTGAACTGCTCGCGAAGCTGAATCACGAGGTGCGGCCACTGCGCTGGAATGAACCGATCCCGTGACCGCGGCCCCCGTAGTTGCGTCCGAGGCGATCCGTCCGCAGTGACTCGCATCGCCCCGCGTGGGTTGATGACGGGTCGGGCATCGCGCTGAGGCGCCGACTGCCGGCGAGCGTAAGGCGCGGCAGCTTCACGACGCGCACGACGGCCCTCGTGGCGAGGCTGAAGCGCCGCTGGGGATCTCGGCGGCGTCTCCAGGAGCACCGGCGGCGACACGGGCGCAGACGTCGACTCCTGGCTTGGCGGCGGGTTCGTTGCCAACTTGGACTTGGGGCGGCTTCTCTCTGGCGGCAGCCACGGAGGCGTTGCTGTGCCCGTAGCACTGGCGGACTCGCTGGCGTCTTTGATGCGGCGCTTGCTGTCGCGGTCGTACTGGTGGCTGGGCTGGATGTTCGGCGGCGTGTTCTCTTCGTCCTCGCTGGACGTGTCATTGATGCACCGACGCCGCCAGTGAACGGCGGAGTGGGTTAAGCGCACCATTGTCCCTGCAATCAAACACGAGGTGAGTCCTCTTATAGAGAAGTGCATACAAAGCCATCAACCACGCTCACCTTTCGAAGTGTTGGCTGCTGTCGACTTCGCGCCGCCGGCGGCAAATTCGCAACTGAGCGTCTTTTCGATTTGGCGGAAGATATATGATCATCGATATGCCCGTAGAGTGAAGGATGCATATGTTAGAATGATGGTCAGCATAAAGTATACTAACAACAAGACAAAACTTATGATGGCTACACGGCATATATCTAGGGGTTGGGCAGTTTATCGAGACGATATCTGCGTCCCGCGAGATCTATGCGCGTATATGACGCTGCATATCAGCTGCAGGTATGACAGCCCGTTAATGTATATCTGGTAGGCGTCCACTGTCATACTCACTCTGATGTATCACCCTCTTCACCCCAACGCATATATAAGGTGCTTACCTTACTACTTAATATGTTGTTGTTCGTTCCGATGTGCATCACTGATGCAGCATCCGTTTCTTTAGGCCCGATACGCATGCACGGGTTCGCCTTGGCTAGTCGTCATCGTCACTTCTATTATGTACGACGAACCCGTATGCATCGTTGCTAATGCACTAGCGTCGACTTTGCAAGCCTCGATAAAGGTGCTCGTTGTCGCGCCGAGGCGCACGCACAACTCATGAATGCCTTTGCCAAATGCAATGGATATGCAATGGATGCACGCACAGAATGCAATTATTGCTGATTGTGTTCATGGCTGACAGATTTCAATTGAAAATCACCAATTTTCCCCCATATTCCTCTTCATCCAGATTAAGACACAGGTGCGGATGCATCTCTTTAGCCCCGTTCTTCGTTGCTGGTTAAGGCTTCATTTGACTGATAACACAGTGGCAGCGTCATTCAATCATAAGTCAGGGGCCTCTGGCGTTCTCCCACACAGGGCCAGTATGCCCTGTGTGGGAATGGTTACAACCCCACGTAGATCGTGCTCTGTACAGAGCTCTGTATGCTGCTATCTCTTGGATATACGATTGTCTTCTCCATTCTAAACTGTTGGTCGATGATATATGGCTCAGTACTAAGGTAGAGTGGAGAAATCATGGGTTCCTTTGTCGCCCCATACAAAGTCCAAGTCGTATCATTTGTAAGGGGTTTTGGTTAATATAGGATTTTGTATGGGGATTAGCTGTCCATAAGTTTTGTCACCTGGGCAGAACCAGTGATTTGTATGTGAGCTACCTGAAGAAGCGCAAATGCGCGCATGTTAGCAACGTGCAGATCTTTATCAGCGTGTTCTGCAACTCTAGTCCAAACCGCACCTTAAAACGATAAAAATTGACGAAGTTACAGCCACTTTTGGTGGTGTCCATATCTTTTTGTCGTGGAGTGTAATGGTTAATCCCAAATTGCCAGCTCTGGTAAGTACTTATCCAATACTATGTGCACCACCTACACCCTTTCAAACCCGCTACTTTGAAGCCATCCCCACTCGAGCATTATCCGCGGACCTGTGGCAGCATGGGCGTGCAGAACCTGTGGGTGCTGCTGGCCCCCGTGGGGCGGCAGATCGAGATCGAGTCGCTGGCGGGGCAGGTGCTGGCGGTGGACGCGAGCATCTGGCTCACGCAGTTCGTCAAGGCCATGCGCGACGACGAGGGCAACATGATCCGCAACGCGCACCTGCTGGGCACGCTGCACCGCGTGGCCAAGCTGCTCTACTACGGCGTGCGCCCGGTCTTCGTGTTCGACGGGCAGACGCCCGAGATCAAGAAGCGCACCACGGCCAGACGCCGCAAGCGCCAGGAGCAGCAGAGCGCCAACCTGCGCCACACGGCGCAGCGCATTCTACTCAACCGACTCAAGCAGCACCGACAGGAGGTGCGCACGTAGAGCAGGCGTATGATTAGGTAGAGTGGAAGGGGTAGAGTGAGTTAAACTGATGTGTGTGTGTTGTTACTGTGAGTGCTGCAGATGAAGAAGAATGGTGGTGCACCAGCCCCGGCAGTTGCACCAGGGTTCACTCTACCCGAAGCGTCCAAGAAGAGGGACGAGGAGAAGACGGAGGAGGAAGAGAAGGTCGACGCTGATGTTGAAGAGGAGAAGAAGGAGGAGGAAGAAGAGAAGGCACAAGAGAAGGCTAAGGTGGAGGAGAACGATGGCGTGCAGCAGGTCTGGGAGGCAGCAGCGGAGCAGGAAGAGAGCGCGGACGAGGACCTGACGCTCGACGACATTGATCTGGACACGTCGCGGCTGTCGAAGATCGACCTCCACGCGGTGTTCTCCTTGCCTCCGCACCTCCAGAAGGACATGATCCAGAAGATCCTGCGCGACAGACGCCAGGAGGTGAGGGACCAGTTCATCCCATTGGCGGGCAATCCGGAGAAGTACTCGCACACACAGATTGCCGCCTTCTTGCAGACGAGTGCGCTCAACCGACGAATTGAAGCTGCTAAGAGGCAGAAAAGGGAGGAGGAGATGCAGGTGCAGGGCGGTGCGGGGCTGGGGCAGGGACATCGGATCGATTCCAACAGCAACCGGTTCTACATCTACCAGAAGGACGCGCAGCGCAAGGAAGAAGAAGACCAAGACGTGGACGAAGTAGTCGCTGAAGTCGAGCGAAATGACATGGTAGAACGAAGATTGGCTGTTGAATTGGACCAAGCAAAGGGCAAGCGTCATTCAGGGCACGATGCATTCACGGCGATGGAGAAGCGGCCATTGTCTGAGTTTTCGTCGGGAAAGGCCGGATTCGTGCCGGATGCTTCGGCAACTGAGGTAACTGCGGCGTGGGTGACACGGCACCAAGTTCGAGTCAAACAGGAGCCCATGCTCGCGATTGAGAAGCTCCGCCTCGCTCGACTCAAGAAGGAATTGCCCCAAAGTGACGAGCCTTCTTCTCCTCATAAAGCTGCTCCCACAGTCGCAGCGAAGCAACCCTCTGTGAGTGCAGTTAGCTTCTCGTTGAAGCTGGAAGACGTCGATCCCAAAGAGATGGAGCAATTTCAGAAGTTGTTCCCAGCTTCTATTGCTGATTCTGTCCCTGGGAAGACGGCACTTTCCAAGGACGATGACGATGACGACGATGATGTTGACTGGGAAGAGGTAGTGACACCAGCAACAGCACAGCCTTCAAGTGTGCCTTCACATCCTGAAAGTATTGGCCAGCAGGCTACACGTCAGGTAACGGTAGATTCCTCTGCGGATACAACTCCATCGGGTGTGAAGGTTGTTGGTGACGAGAAAGCAGAGAGTGATGAAGAAATGGACTGGGAAGATGTTCCTACTGCAGGTGTGCCAGCTAAGGACGTTCCTGCCGATTCGACCGGTCCAATTGTCGTTGATTTAAGCCCGCGCCACGAAAAGGAGGAAAACCAAGAGTCTTTTGGTGGAGGCTTCATGGTTGAGGAGGAGGAAGGAGAAGAAGAAGCGGCTGGCCAACAAGAGGACGAGGAAGGCACGGACGAGTTGTTCCTGACGCTCAAAAACGAGATGGAAGATGCGAAGGCTCACGAAGATCTGGATCTACTCAAAGATGAGGCGCTGCAGTCTGCAATGGCAACTGCTTCCAATCTTACTCAGTGGGCAGCCGGTGCTGTACGCAGGGCATTGCAGGCGCATTCGCAGCTCCATGGTGGAAGAATTGGGACGTATGGAAGTCCGGGTGGAACACTGAGAGAAAATGTAACAACTCACACTCCTCCTGGCAAAGGTACTGCTGAAGCGCCAGTCGAGATTCCAGACGAAGAAGAAGTCGAACCCAAGCCTTCGTCGCCAAGCATCAGCCATGCTGAAGTGGTTGTTATTGAAGATGAAGAAGAGCAGTCAAGTGGCGGTACGACTCTCACTGAAGAAGAAGAAAGCCATGAGCAGCTGCAAGCCGCTCTCGCAGCTTCGATCGCAAGTGAGCAAGAGGAGCTGGAAGAGAAGCCTGCGGGCTCGCGCGTGCGTTATCTCCAGTACTCGCAGCCGAGTGAATCTCCTCGTCCCAGTCCGATAGGAGATACTGTGGCGGACGCTGCACTCCAGGAGGTGGTGGATACGGCGGCACTGCAGAAGGAGCAGCTCGAACTGAAGAAGCTTCGTAGTCGGCAGCTACGCGACACGGAAGGGATCACTGACGATATGGTGGCTGAAGTGATGGCCTTGCTGCGTTTGTTCGGGGTCCCGTTCCTCGTGAGCCCCATGGAAGCCGAGGCGCAATGTGCGGCGTTGGAGCAATTGGGGCTTGTGGACGGTGTTATTACAGATGATAGCGATATCTTCCCGTTCGGCGGCCAGCGTGTCTACAAGAACATTTTCCACCACCAGAAGTTTGTCGAGGCCTTCTCGGCGCGTGACATTGAGCGAGAGCTGGGTTTTTCGCGTGAGCAGATCATTGCGTTGGCGCTCCTTCTGGGCAGTGACTACACGGACGGTGTCCGGGGTATTGGCATCGTGAATGCTACGGAGATCGCAGCTGCTTACCCAGGAATCGAGGGTCTTCGCGAGTTCAAAGAATGGGTGCGCGAGTTTGACGTCGCTAAGGAGGCTGAGCGTGTGGCGTCTGCTGGATCGAAGAAGAAAAAGAAGAACAAGAAGAAGACAGGCGAAGAGCTGGACGGTGACTCGGAGGGAAACAGTGAAGAGGATGACGTGGAAACAGCACGAGAGCGATTCCAGCGATCCCATACGACTGTGAGACGGAAGTGGGAGCTAGGCGATGAGTTCCCAAGCAAGCAGGTGGTGCAAGCGTACATGTCTCCCCAAGTGGACCGCTCCGAGGCTCGATTCTCGTGGAGTGCTCCGGACCTGTCGGCGCTGCGTAACTACTGCGCCAATGCCTTCGGATGGGATCAGCAGAAGAGCGATGGCGTGCTACTACCCCTCGAGGAGAAGGCCAAGAAAGCAGCAACTTCAGGGAGCCGACACATTCAGACGCGCTTGGATCGGTTCTTCACGAGCTACGATGACCAAGTGCACTACGCGCAGATAAAGAGTAAACGCTTGCGTTCAGCCGTGAACCAGCGCACGGGCAGCAAAACGGTCAAGAGCAAGAAGCAGAGAAAGTGAGACCAGCGCCTTTGGTGATGGTGGTGGGTGATATTTTATTCAAATGGTAAGTATCTTGCTGTGGTTTTCTTGTCTACTTATCGAATTGTAGCAGTTGAGCCGCCTCCAATCGAGGACATTGCCCCCCCCGTGTGACTTCCGTCTCCTATCCCGGCTGTGAAGATAACTACGGCTCCTCCTGATTGTGCTGCGGCTGCAGCAGCAGCAGCCGCCTTCTTCTGAGCTCGTTGTGCGTCGATTCGACCTTGTACAATAGCAGTGAAGTCCATCATGTACGCCGCGACGACGTCAAGATCGATCATCGCACGCTGGCCGTGGTGAATCACATCCGCCTCGGAGATCCCACTCGCTGTCTTACCACCACCAGTATTTGCAGACGCAGCGGAAGACGCAGGAACTCCTCCGCCACCAGAGCCTGAGCCGTCGTGACTGTCATTGCCGGACTGGTTGCTGCCCTGGGCGTGGTAACTCCCCTCGACGTGCTTGAGAATCTGGCCGTGGATGCCGCTGGTACACCGCTGCAGGAGGTTGCCGATCGCCATGATGATCTGACCTAACGCCAGTGTTTTCTGTGTAGTCGCTCGAAGACTCGCGTCGGTCTCGTGCTGCAGTCGGACGCCCAGCAACTCCTCCCGCTCAAGGGCTCGTTGAAGCGCGGCGATGCGGTTGTTGAAGGTAAGGATCTCGTTGGCGCGCTCCTTCTGGAAGGCCGCGAACTCGAGCCGCTTGGACTCACTTTCCTCTTCGTGCGTGATCTGGTTCTGGCTCAGATCGCGGTTCGTCTCGCGCAGCGTGTGGTAGCGGTTCACCAAGTCGCTCACTTCCGGGTAGTCCTCGGGCACGGCCTCCTGCACCAGCTCGAGGTAGCGCGTGTACTTGAGGTGGTGACGCACCTGCGCGCCGAGTGCGTCGCTCTCACGCTGCAGCGCCGCGAGCTGCGTCTGCAGCCTCGCCACCTCCTGCTCCTTGTTCATGCGCTGCTTGACCTCGTCGCTCGCGCGCTTGACGGCGCGGTTGCGCTTGGACTCGTTCTCCTGCAGGAACTTGTTGAACTTGATGAGCGACTCCTGCAGCTCCAGGTCCTTCTTGCGCAGCCCCTCCTCCCGGCGGTGGAAGGCATCCTCGCGGCGCGCGAACTCCTCCTTCTGGGCGTCCAGCGCCTCCTGCACCTCGAACATCTGCCGGCGCTTCTCCAGCAAGCGCGTGGCTGGCGACACGTGATCCAGCGTCAGCGTCTGCGGCATTTTGGATCTGCAGTCAGAGAGAGAGAGAGAGAGAGAGCCGCAACATGAGCTCAACCAGAATACCAAGCGTGGAGACTGTTCTGAACTACGGACCGATTCATGATCATGGAGGCGCCGGCGCTGGTCAACGCGCTGCTGCGAGGCTCCATCTTCTCGGGTGTGTCTTGGGGGATGACAACGCCTGCTCTCAATGTAGCCATCTATTCTGAGCATGTGGAAGTTGAAGGCGTTGAAGTGGACCGATCCTGCCTTGTAGCATGGATATGCCACAGCACAGGACGGATCTTGAAGCGTCGCCGACCGGTGGTGGTGTTGAAGTTGCCTTGGGCTCAGTATCCAAGCCGGGAGTGAATTCCGAACAAGTTTGGCTGGACGCGTACCACCGCCATCGATAGCGTATCAGTCAGAGCCCCCCATTTGACCATGACTGGAAAGGAAAATGCCGCGTCTCATGACGCTCCCAGGGAGGACGGCAGCGAGTGGACGAGCTCGCGACGCAGCGGCCGACGAGCGCGGACTGCTGCCAACCGGCGCCAGAACGGGGCGTCGGCGGCGGATGGCGAGCAGCTGCGAGTCGATACGCGGCCCAAGGAGGAGGTGGAGAGGTCTGCAGAGGAGGACAGAGAGCGTATGGGTCGGGAGGAGCCGCGCGAGGCTGGACGGGGTAGGAGCAGCACGGGGAGCGAGCATTCGGACCAGCAGGAGGAGCCCGTGATCCCTGTGACGGTGCTGACGTCCATGGAGGCGGAGACCAAGGCTGCCAGCAACAGAAGCGGTGGCTTTGTGCCGGCGGAGCACGTGGCTGGGAAGGACGAGGGGGACGAGACGGAGGATGACATCGCGTTGCTGGAGTACTTGTCGGGTGCCGAGAGTGACTACTACGAACTGGACCGCGCGAGTCGCAAGCGGGAGGACGCAGATGACCCAACGCCGATAATGTCGCTCTCTCCTAGGTCGTTCGACGAGAGTCTAGGGACGCCTGGAAGCCCGGAAGGTTTGCTGTCAGTTGAGGAACATGGCGGCTTCGGACGCTCTCCGATTCGATACACGACTGTGACTCGACGCATGATGGTGCACGCTCAAGAAACTCCGCGACAGGCGTCGACGCAGGTGGTCGAGTCTCCTCCAGGCTCGAGAGATGATGAAGACACTCACACGGTACAAAATACCGAGGCGAAACAAGCGGCGACATCGCCAATGCCAAGACAGACGGCGCGATCGAGACCTGCGGTACCAGAAGGCGAAAGTGAGTGGGTAGCGTGCGAAACTGAAGACGGACTGACGTACTACTACAACCAGCGCACGCAGGAGTCGCAGTGGACGATCCCGTCCCCTCCAGGAGCTCGGTCGTATACTAGCGAAGAGCTGTTCGCAGCGGTGTCAGCTGAAGAGCCATCGGAGTCGGACTCCAGGCAGCTGAGCATCATGCTGCACTCAGGTTTGGACCTCCAAGTTGTTAATGCCGACGGCCTCACGCCTCTGCATGTTGCGTGCAAGATGGGGAACGAGCAAGCTGCGTCGTTGCTAGTTTACTACGGAGCCAAGTTGGACGCCAGAGCTATTCGTGACGACGCTACGCCGCTCATTTTGGCTTGTCGAGCAGAGAGCGAAGGCATCGCTAAGCTTTTGGTCGACTCAAATGCGTCACTATCAGCGCATGACAGCAGTGGAAACACGGCGCTTCACGTGTCAGTTCTCGCTGGAAACGAAGGCCTGGTGATGTTTGTTTTACGCAGCAGCGATCAGTCCTTACTGAGCCAGAAGAATAACGAGGGCGAGACGTCCTTGCACATTGCTGCGAAGCTAGGATATTTAGGAATTGTACGGAGCCTGCTAGCGTACGGTGCAAGCGCAAAGGACGAAGATTCTCAAGGGCGCACGCCACTAATCTTGAGCATTTTGGAGAATCACGTTGAGTGCGTCCAGCTTCTGCAGGGCATCGAAAGCAGTGAGAGTCCTGCTCCAGCTACGACTCCCTACTACAGCGCTACCTATTCGAGTGATCGTCGACAGGGAAGTGGTGCTGAGCGTGACGCTTTGACGGTCTTGCACTCTTATCTCTTCCAGATTCTCCCGAATCACTCAACCTCGGAGTCACAAACGGTGTATCAACTCGTCGAAGAAGTGCGAGGACAACTTGGAGCCCTCAGTGCAAGTCTGCAGGTAACATTCGCAAACTTTACAAGCGTGGGTGAGACTTGATGTACTGACGCTAACTATGCATTGGAACTTCAGGCATCAAACAGTCGAGAAGCACACTACCGAGCTCAGGTGGAAGAAATGTCCTCGCATCTGTCAGCCAGTGCCGAAGATTTGAAAAAGGTTTCGATCTGTTGCTGAAGCGGTTACTGTGGAGAAAACCTAACTCGTTCTTTGTATGTCTTCGTCTAGGAGCAAGCGTTACATGCCGACACTCAAAACCAACTATCAGTACGAGAACTCGAGTTGGATGCTAGCCGAGTGTCACATCGAGCATTATCATCACGTTGCGAACTACTGGAATCTATTGCCCGTAATGCACAAGAAAAACTTGGAAGAGAGCGCTTGGAGCATACTCGCTACGAGGAGAGCATGCAGGAGAAGCTCCACCGCAGCTTACAAGAGAATGCTAACGTTATCGAGTCGTGCAGACAACTCCAAGCAGCCTGGAGCGAACGACAGCAGCAGCAGCAGCAGCAGCAACAGCAGTATGATCCACGACTCGGCCGCCGTGATAGCCAGGGGTTCTATGAGATCTCGGAGGATCTGGCTCATTTGGAAAGTGTGCAAGAATCCATTGGAGAAAACTACCATCTCCTGGAAACTGAAGGATCTATGAGCATTGCATCCGGGAATCAGTCACGAGAACGAGCTTCGAGCGATTATCAGCAGCAGCAGCAGCAAGAGCACTTGGAGCCCTACCGCCACTCTTTTGAGCAGTATCAGTACGACACCACACCCGAGATTCTAGACGCTCCTCCGCCGCTTCTGGATGACCCAGACGAATCTCCTACGCACAAGAGCAGCTCAACTCCCCCGATATCTCCGTCACGCGTTGGTGCTGTCTGGAATCGGTTCTTTGAGAACGTGGGGCATGCCGCAGAAGCACGCGACCCAAATGATCCGAAGTCATACGAGTCATTTGCAGGATGCCAGCCTGCGCGTGCGTATCCGTCAGGCCCGCAGGCTTTTGACGCGGTTCGAAAGAATGATTTACGAAGACTGCAAGAAGTTTTGCTGCGGGGCGTATCTCCAAACCAGCGAGATGTCGCCGAGAAGGGCACGCCTCTCCATCTGGCGTAGGGATCCTGCGTTCTGTCGTGTATGTGTTCCGATAATGGTCTGGAATCTCATAACTTTGCTGTGGTTGTACGCACGCAGATGCGAGCTGGGTGACATTGACTCGGTGATGCTCCTCAGTGAGTTCGCTGCGGATCTCGAAGCTCGAGATGAGTCGGGAAACACGCCGCTCCTCGCCGCCTGTTTCCAAGGCAACTTTGAGTGCGTCAAGTTCCTCTTGCAGAGTGCCGTCAGCCTCCGAGCTGTAAACGACAACGGCGACTCTGCCCTACACCTGGCTGCATGGGACGGCAGCATCCAGTGTGTCATGATTCTGCTCGAGTACGGAGTGGATCCCATGGCTACCAACCGGTTCGGGTTAACGGCTCTGGGGAATATGAGGACTCGCTCTCCGATGCGACACAAGTTTGACGATTTACCGGAAGACCACCCTATGCGCAGGACTCTTGTAATACTGGACGAAGCGGAACGCCAGAGGCTACAGGTAGGCAACCTTTGTACAACTAACTGTACGCGTACTATTGCCTACGCTGACTAACTAACGATATTCACACAGCAGGTAATTGAAGACCAGTCGACAAACACAGAAGACGCCACAGAGCATCAAAGTCAGCCTCCGAAGCAAGAAAATAGTGGCACTCCAGTAAAAAGAGCTTCGTGGACGGTAAGTTGTTTCGATGCTTGGGTGCGACCTCAAATCAGCGAACTCACTATCGTTTGTGCGTAAACTACAGCAATGGCTTCTTGGCTTCCGTGGCTCTCACCCGGGTGAATCAATCTCTGGCAAACCTGAGCAAGATCAGAAGAATGAACTCGGCGACGCCAATACATCGACTACCTTGACCGAAGACAACGAAGGCGACAGCGAAGACGCCGACGACTTCGCATCGTACGAGCAGTCTCGACTGATGCTGAGCGAGACGCAGTACGAGCCGTTGACGCCGCCACCAGAAATTGAAGAAGCGCTTCGACGCGCGAAGGCAGGTCAGCTAGGTGATTACTATGAGCCGCCGAGCCCCGCAGCGTCGGCCCCCACGCACCCGGTCACGAGACACGACCTGTCCAAGCACGTCAACTTGTCCCCGAGCGTTCGAAACCCCACAAAGCCCCACCCACCAGCAGCTCCGACCAAAATTCGAGCTCGCTACGTCGACACCTTCAACTCACCGTAACCTTCAACTCACCGTAACCAAGAGCTTCATCAGGGTTTCTACAGTACAGGTCGCCCGCCAGTGCAGTATAAAACTATCACGAGTTCACTCGAAGACCTTTTATTTTTAAAGATAAGTAAAACTGAGGGTGCTCGCACGTGTAAAAAGCTTGGTATGAAATCGCACGAGCAATTAAATAATCTAATGAGATTAGAGGCGTTTAGTCCAAACATAAGTATGTAGATAGATGCACTACTTATAAGTAAATTCGGTACATCTACGCAAGCATCGGTGTAACCATGATATATTGATAACCTGCTCTGGCAAGGACAACAACAGATTCATCTGAACCCGAGCGATGGGATCATAGTGTAAATGGATTAGCCCATGAACATTTTCGACATAGACTCCTAAGATGCGCCTGTTTGATATTTGACTGCGTATCTCATACAGAGATTAAAGCAAAATACCCAAGTACTTGAGTATTGGCTCGATGATAAGCTTTAATTGGAGGGTCTCAACCAGCTGGATCAAATTCGCATCGGTCACTTGTGTCAAAATATTAACCAACACCGAAAATCAGTCGGATAGAATGGCAAATTTGTACAGTGCTATAGCAAACAATAGGTGCTGTATCATTGCTTCTTTCAGATCGTTAAATAGCCATGTTCTCTAGATACAGTTAATGCCTTGAAAGGCCCTCTACGCGCATTTTCTACAATTCTTGTAATTATTGCTATGCAAAAGTGAGTAAGTATGTATTTCTGGAACAGGGAACAGTCCACACTTTAGAAATAAACCTCCAATCTCATTAAATAGTTTAGTTGCTCGAAATCGCGCATGTGTTGCCGTTTTTACGTTGAAGTGGAGTTCTATGCACCGATTCCCAGCGGGAACTGGGCTCATGAATTCGGCAAGTTGCGCAACATATCTCCCTTCCGTTGCCCTAACGTTGCGTTCGCGTTGCGCATCGTGTGCATTCCCACCAAGTGCAACTTGCCTGATTCGGCGGAAGAATCGAACGGCTTCTTGCGGCTGCTGGGCACATTCGACCGAGCCAGCCGCGCGCCTCCCGAGCCATGATGGCGACTCCGTCCAGCCCCATCCTGCGCGCCAAGAGCCGCTCACTGACGCCCGACGCCGCCGTGAACATCAGCTCCAAGCTGCGGCGCAACTCGCTGGTGAGCGACCACGAGGACATGGTCCTGCTGCGCGAGAAGCTCACGCGCATCGCCGTGGGGCGCCACCGCCGCCAGTTCGACGCCGCGCCAGGCGCCGCCCAGGCCGCCATAGACGAAGAGGAACGAGAGGAGGAAGAGGAGCGCGAGCTGAGACGCAGACGCAGCAGCGGGGCCGCCCACGAGCACTTCAAGGTGTTCCCGCTGCTGCCGCCCGAGCGCCCAAGCACGCCGCCGTCGTCCCCGCAGCCGCGCGACGTGCTGCGCAAGCAGCTCTGGCTCAAGCAGCAGGTGGCTAAGACAAGGAGAGGAGGAGGAGGGAGAGACGACGAGGAGGAGGAGAGGCACGACGCAGGTCTGGACGCCATGATGAGCGTGGACGAGGTGGAGATCACCCCCATGGAGGACGTGGAGGAGGACAATGCCGTCCACTCGCCCCCTCGAGGACGCAAGAGCCCGCAGGCGAGACTTTCCATACCTGGCCACTTGAGAGTCATGCCGTCCTTCAGTGTCCTCAACAAGTATCCGGAAGGACTGAGGAAACGCAAATCTGTCCATGTGGACGCCGCAGGAGACGGAGAGGACGACGCCCCCCGCGTGAGCTTGAAGAAAACGTCCAGTCAGATCAACCTCTTGGCCACCGCCAGCGGCAAACTGTCCCGCAGCAGCAGTGCCGGTGGAGACCTGTTCCAGAAATTTGCAGCCAGGCAGAGGCGCGAGCAGGACCAGGAGATGGAGGACGGCGGCACGACCCAGCCGCAGACACCGCAGAACTCGCTGTTCGGCAATAAACACGGACGACTATCGGCGTGTTCCTGAAGGGGAGAGGAACTCCTTACAGACTTTGATACTCGACGACCTGAGCTGAGCTAAGCTGAGCTCAAGCAGGTCAACATTTGGGATGAGTATCGTGGATGCTGCTATCTCCTGGCTGTTGTTGAGCTCAGCGGTGAGCCATAGCGAGAAAGATTCCACCGCCGATGAAGCGGTAGTTCGCGCGGCCTGCAGAGATTGCGGTCGAGCCCCGTATCTTTGAGGAAGACATAAGGGGAGAAGCAGTTAGTGTTAGTGCGAGTGTCCCAGCAGAGGGAAGGATGTCAATTGAGGCGTTTTGGATTCTACACAAAGCGCCAATGATCATTGTGGGGGTTTCTTGCTGCAGGCTACATTGTCCTGCAGGTGTTGCTGGTCTGTAGTCAGTTGACACAAAGTCGACTTGACGCAAAGGAAAAAGGTATCAAACAAAGCTTGAGAGCTATCCACGCTTCAGTTCTCGCACATGCACATCAGCCATTCTGCCGAGCTACCGACGCTTCTTCGCAGTTGAAGTATCTTCGTCTACTGTAGTGTCACTCTCGTTTTCACCATGTGCTGGACACTGTCTTCATGCGTCGAGGCTGTAGCGCTAATTAACAACCAAAGTGGTTGGTCCCCTCTCTCCTCTCTTCAACTAAAATTGCCAAACGAGCTGAACGCCTGCTGCTGCTGCTGTTGTTGCTGCTGCATCGCTGCCATGTTGCCGAAGCCACCTTGGTTCATCATGCCACCCATACCAGGCTGCTGCATTCCCATGCCCGGTTGCTGCATGCCCATACCTCCCATCATCGGGCGAGGCTGCTGCATGCCCATGATGGGCATACCACCGGCGCCCATTTGCATTTGGCCGTACGACTGCTGCTGCATGCCCGGCTGGCCCATTCCGTAGTTCATTCCACCCATGCCACCGCCCATGGAGTTCATGCCGCCAGCACCTCCCATTCCAGGCTTGCTGGGCATACCAGCGAGGGTGTCCAACCCGCTGAAGCTGTTGCGGCCTGCATTAGACTGCTGTTGCTGCTGCTGGCCCGGGCGTCCTGCGTTGCTGTTGTTGCTGCCAGTAGAACTTGCCAGGTTGTTGAGATCGAAGAGAGACGATCCAGCTCCCCACGCATCGTTGCTCTTCTTCTCAGGCTGCGGGCCAGAGTTCGTTCGGGACTGACTGGGACCAGGGTTGGAAGTGGTCCGACTCGGAGCTTGGCCCTGCATGTTCATGCCACCTTGCATAGGCTGCTGCTGCATACCTCCCTGCATTCCGCCGAACTGACCGAACTGCTGCTGCTGGTTGAAAGCGGGGGCCGGAGGAGCCGCAGCGTTGCCTTGCTGACCGAACGCATTGAAACCCTGCTGCGCCGGCGGGGCGGGGAAAGCAGAAAACTGTTGGGCGTTTCCTTGAGCTGGAGCAGCAGCACTGCCGAATGCGTCAAAGGACGATTGCTGTTGCTGCGGCTGGGCTGCACCAAAAGCGTTAAACGACTGCTGAGGCGCAGGTGCCGCGTTGCCAAATGCAGCAAACGAAGCGGTCTGTGGGGCCGCCGCCACGGGGGCGGCAGGAGCCGGCGCAAACGGGTCGAAAGTGTTCGCTGCGGGAGCAGTTAGGGGAAAAAATGATCGTTAGCTCGTCTAGATCGATGTGTTGGTAGAGGAAGCGCAATGCATACCTGGTGCAGGGGTGCCGAAGAAGTCGCTATCCAGTAGTGACGGTTCTGCAGAGGGCGCCTTCGCTGCAGGCTTGCTCTCCGGTTCCTGTAAGCACCCAACATTTGTTAATTACCATGCTGTAACAAACTCAGACAACAAGAGAATCCGATGCAACGCACCTCTTTCTTCTTCGCAGCAGCCTTGCGCTTCGACGACGCCGTTCGTCGCTTCGAGCGCACCTCCTCCTCAGACTCGGATTCATCGCTACCGTCATCTGCTCATAGACAGCGATCGATTAGCGTCACCAAGTACTCCCACGTCAAGCTAGCGCGAACCGACGCACCACGATCATCGTCAGCGTAGCGGCTGGAGTAGCTCTTCTCCTTCTCCTGGTAGCTCTTCGAATCATTGTCGCCATAACCTCTGCTGCCGCCACCACCGCTGTAGCCACCACCACCGCCGCTGTAGCTCGTACTGCCGCCGCCACTGTAACTGCTGCCGCCTCCCCCGCTGTAGCTGTTGCTGCCTCCGCCATTGTAGCCGCCTCCACCACTGTAGCCGCCACTTCCGCTGTAGCCGCCACCACCTCCTCCACTGTAGCTGCTGCTTCCGCTGTAGCCACCGCCGCCCATGCCGCCGCCAACGCCGCTGCCAATGCCCACGTACTTGTTGCGCAGACGTCCAGCCTTCTCGCGCTCCGTGCGGATCATGTCATTGTCGTTCAGCATGTCCACCAACTGCTTGGCCTTGTCGCGGACTGGTAAACCACATCAAACAGTCAGCCATAACTGGAAGCTCTTCGAGTGTATCAGCAAAGTGGTCTTACCTCCGTTGCCCCTGTCGACGGATCCGTCGTGGTAGGAGAAGCCCGAGAGGTGGCGCAGCTTGAACATGTGGTCGCGCGCGTTCTCGATCACGCGCTCTGTTCCGTTCTTGACCAGGTGCTCCAGCAGACTGAGCGCCTTGTACACGGCGCGCCACTGGCGGCCCTCGGCGTCCAGCGCCTCCCAGATCTTGCGCATGATGACTCCGTAGGCCTCGCTACAGTTACAGAGCACCACATCCGTCAGCAACGACAGCCCAGCGACTGGAATGATGCAGCGGCATCGGCACACGCACTAGTCGTAGGTGAGCTGCGAGATCTCGTTGAGCAGCGTGCTGGACGCGCCCCAGTTCTTGTTGGACAGCGCCTCCTCCATCTTGCGCTCCACGTCCGTGCCCATCTTGGCCTTCACGGCGCTCTTCCTGCACACAGAGAGCACAAGGTCCGTTATCAGCGCTGCACAAGCCCCGGTGCGATCCGCGGCTGCTGCTTACGCGTCGTCCATCACGTTCTTGAGCTTGTCCAGCGCGAAGCGATCCATGGTGGCGACTGATTGGCTCTCTCTCTCTCTTCTCTTCTCTTCTCTTCTCTTCTCTCTCTTCGCTCGCTCGCTGCTGAGCTCGGCGCGTGCTGCGGCTGCTGCCTCTTGCTTTCGGGCGGGTCTCGGGTCTCGGGAGTGCGGAATGCTCGACGCAGGCGCCCCCACGTATGTGATTCGGACAAGCGAAGGGACGCCGCTCCACTTGGACTTTGTATGCTGTATCTTTGCGATTGGCTGGCCCAACCCGCGGGACGGTTGAGAACCCACGGGACGGGAGTGGGGTAACAAGGTCGAAAAAGGACTATTTTGCGACAATTTTGTCAAAATCAAGAATTCGCCAAATTTAGATTTATCGCTATTAATAGTGCGTAGCATATGAATGTCTCATATGGGCCCTAGATAGAGTTTGGCGTAGGTGCTGTTTTAATTCATTTAACTGGTTTGCGGGTTTGGCCCGCGGTGTTCGCAGTTCGGTCTTTTTTTACTGTATTCCAAAACCTGCACAGTAGAAAACTTTATTTACTACTAGTAGTACTATGTAGTAATAGCGCTATGCTTGCCGCAGGAGAGAGTTGCGTGAAGACGTTCTTGAATTTTAGCGCTTGCTCTTATTTTTGTACTGTGAAATATCATGCGTCCATTTGCTGGATGGCTTACGCTGCTCAATCTGCCGTGGCGGATCTACGTGAACTCACACTATTGGGCTGCTACCGCGGGAGTCCCCGTATGCGGCGCTGCAGCAGTGCACGGCGACGGGTGTAGTCAGCCGTCATAACCGCAAATTTCATTTCATTCCATGAACTCACACTAGCGTTACTGCTATTCATGGTACATACTGCACAGCTTCAAGCTGCCAGACTGAGCTTCGGTTCATATTGAATATATAATGTGTTTATTTTCTGGGGTTATTCGGTGTATATGTCCAAATTTGACGCCTCCAACTTGATTTTGTAGAATTGCTATACTGATTTCAATGCCGTTTAGGTCTCCTCACTTGAAAGTCGACTCTCAACAAACAGTCTGCACCCACGACCATTAATCAATAGCGATACTTTTGTTTTACTAAACGACGGTTTATAATTGCTGCTGCTGTGGCGTCCGACATGTACATACAGATATCGTATCTTAGAAATGACAGTCACATGCCTAAACTAACTTAGCCGATACGACGGCGACCTACCTATTGCTCGCTTGCTGCCCCGATTCGGTCGATTCCTCACAAATTGCATTGACTGACTGATCACCCCTCTTTATTATTGCTGCTGCCTGGTTAGCTTGTCGCCGAAAGCATGCCTTGAGCTGTAATAATGAATCGGAGTTTGCGCTGCTGTGCTGTAATACAATTGCTGTACAACTGTAATTGCTGTTGTTTCAAATAGCTCTTTAACCGATAATGCAACATAAAACCTTATGTTGCATTATCTCAAACACCCGCAGGGGCGCAAACGACAGTTCTTACGAACTGCGGATTTTATTACATGAAGTTGGTTCAAATAGGTAGCCTAAAACCTGGTCAATGTGCTGTAATGCCACCGAAATAGTGATTTTCTCATTATTTGTGAGTCGCCTTTGATGGCCAATAACTAATTAACAAAGAGAGTTTGAGTGCTCGAAGGAAACAACATCAAACACTTGCATTATTGTGATCGGCACCCCGAATGGCTAATCGGAGTAAATCGGTCAAGGTTATGGCTAACTTAGACTTCGAAGTCCTATTTATTTCGACTGATCTCCTAATTAGACCCCGCCTCTATTTTAGACTAGGAATTATCAGAGCGATTAGCAAGCAGGCTTATGTGGTTAATCCGATTCGCAACAAATTCGTTTGTAAATAAGGCGGAATATCGCCGTGGAAGTCGACATTCCGAGCTATTTGAGCTAAATAATTATAGCACTGTAGGTGTCGATGTGAGCCACCAGCTTTATAGCGTGCAATATGAAAGGTGCCAAAACATTTGGAGGCAATGCACTAGATAGTCAACTCGGTCGGAGCCTTATTGGCATGGACAACTCCAAAATTCGGGCTATATTGGCCCAAAGACATCTCGGTAGCTCTCAGCCGACGCTACATTAGACAGAGTCGAGTCTCGCGAGCTTGTCCAAGCAGGATTACACACCTATTTGCTTACCGATTTCGCTTTGTAGCTAGTTCTATACCCTTATGTACGGAAATTCAAATCCGATTAAGATAAAATTGATAGCTAACAAGGCGTGGATATTCTAACCGCGTTTCATAATAGTTCGTATGCGCGTATATAGAGAAGAGCAGTGTAGAGTTCATAATTGCAGTTTGTTCTGTGAGTACCCGCTATTTGGTAATCGATGACGATAATTAGGGCTTGTGGTGCCGATTGACAGGGAAATACCAAATTACCGACGCACCAACAGTACTTTTTCAAAAATAAAATGGCTTAGTGTTCTAACTACAATGGATACTACTTTGACAAGCTACTCAAAGAACCTTGGAGGTCTTCTACGTGCCTTCATCAGTAGATCGCCTCACAAATGTGCTCATTGTTGAATCCTCGCTTACCTTCACATTCACTTTGACTTTTCTTTGGTATCCATATGTCTTTCTATACAAAAGTTCATATAAACGACTAATCAATGCGCGTACGGGTAGGATTGTACCCATGCTACCCGTGCGCTTTCGACCTGGGGAGAAAAGATTAAGTATTAGGGGGACCAGAACATACCGCAATCCTCATGGCAAAAAATACGACTGTACTGCTGCTCTACTTCAATTCGCCTTTGACATGAGCGACACACTTATTACATTGAGACTCAAAATAGTGTGGTTGGCATTATTTAGACAACGACAGTGTCGATAATATCATCCCAGCCGACGACAGCAAAAGAATCAAGGGATTCATGTTGGTCTACAACTTCGTTCATCAAAGTCTGCAACTCCCTCTTCGGCGGCGGGATCCCCGGTCCCCTCAGTAAGCATACACTTACGAAACCCTGCAATCACAGTTGTCAGCGGTAGGCCCTGTCACGCCCGCATCACCCACTCTATAATTGTAGCACGGCGCGGTGCCGTCATCTTGAACTTGTTGCTAGTTGTAGCGGCTGAGTAGTGCTGAAGCTGCTCACGTAGATATTGTACCCAAAAGCCTCGCAGCCTATCCTTCATCGGCTTGATCCACACGTCCGCTGGCTGGCTCAACCAGGTCAACCCTGCGGGTACCTTATCCAGGATGATCTTCAGAGATCGCGCGTACTCGTCCACGCCATCAACCCAATGCCCACTAAAATCGTCTAGTAGCAGCATAATACGGGGGCTGACAAGATTACGATCACCGAAGTGATAACGTAGGAATTCCATGGTCATGGAATTCCTACGTCACCAGTCCACCAAGCTGACTCATTGCCGTAGATATGAACGTCGTTCTGTTTTGGGATCGCTTCAACTTCTTTTCAAACGAATCGTCCAAATCCGTGGCGGATGCGCGTGTTCTCGGCGCGCACGTCCAGCTAGTGCCGCTATAGATAGGCGTGTGCTCACATAAAAATACGAACATGTGGCTGATTTTGATATGGATTAGACATTCCGGCGGGTTTTCACAATTTTACACGCTTACACATATCAGACAGAGTATACACACCCATACAAAAACTCAGCGTAACATTCTTGTGTGCAAGCGATATGCGCAGTCCGTACAGGCAAAAAATACACATCCATTGTAAAAGCCATATAGAATACGCGGGAAGATTTGTTGTGCATTTTCTTTGTCTGTAGGCCATATCTTCCGTCGATATGTGTAGCATACCCGGGAGGATAATTATACCCACAAAAGAATTCTGGCTTAGAGTCAAGATGGGGGGATGGCGAGATCTGGCAGTTCTATCGTCCGAAGAAGCGTTCGAGCAGTTAAGAGAGGCGTCGATGTGCTGCTCTTCAATATTTCACAAGGTGCAGTTTGACTCCTGCAGCGTGTACGTTAGCGAACACCCCATGACGGAGCGTCTCTTGCGCTGTATGGGTAAAATCTGCGCAAAGTACACAGAAGTGTTGTGTGAACTGGAAGGTACATCACTCCAGTGCGCAAGAAAAGTGGTATGTCAAAGTAAATGACAAGCCTCGCATACTCGGAGCACTACTGTGCGATGCTTGCCCCTGACCGCGAGTAACGAAGCACATGAAAGCTTTCATCGCTCAGTAAGACGACTGTTGTATCCCTCCCAAAGGCATTCTCGCGAATATGATGATGAAACCGACAATGACTCCTTCAGCTGGGGGCTGGCCTGATCTATCCCAGATACACAACCTGCTTAAAGGGATCCGGCGCGAGCAAGGGGGGAAGAAACACAGTCGAAGCCGTGAGAGAGATTGTGAGGGAACGATTGTACCATCCAGGAATCGCCACCGACTCATCCTTTCTCTTCAGCTACAAGGTCGACCAAAGTGGTAATGTCTGCATGGGAAGGGCGATGAGGATGATCCTGTGGTGTAGCGGGATCGGCCAAAATCTGGTTAAGGCCTGATCGAGCTTCCCACCAGCGCCCAGACACCGACTAACGGAGGGGGCCCCCCAACGATCCGTGATCGGCTGAACTTGTTCTCACCTTGTGTACCCGTCGACGGGCTGGATCTGCTCTCTCGGGGCTCCGAAGATGCAGCACTTGGTGAAGATCGAATGTCTTGGCGTGACGCGGGGATAGGTTGTGGAGCAGCGCGGGAATCTTCGCTCTGCGTCCGAGTATACGCTCCGATCGAGGGTTGTTCGCTCCGATCGGTCGGCCTGGAGTTGATCTAAGGCCTGTAGTTGCCTTTCCGGGCGTGTTTCTTCCTTTCCTGAGTTGCTTGCCGCTTCCTATAGCGGGATCGAGGTTGATCGAGAGGAGAAACGATCGCCGGCCAAGCACTAATATCCGGTCGATCGAGGACTTGCACAGAAGAGATAGATCACTAGAGTAGGTCAAGCTGGCCAATGTATTAACCCCTCCAGACCGGGAGCCGAAAAGATCATGTAAACTGCATATGCAGCGTAATTAGACTTGATGTTTGTATACAAAAATGGTTAGGGAAGATAGGATTCACGATGAGGGCCAACAAGGCCGTGCTAATACTGAATATAACCTGCATATTGGCTCCAGTGTGGCATACCCATGCTGAATAATGCTACTTACCACGGATAGTGACAGGGTGCCCGCCGAACAGAAACTAGGGCCTAGCGAGTCCCGATTTTCAAAAAATCGGAATTTGAAACTTCCCATACAAAAACTTATATACAAAGTAGGTATGTCACCTCTAGGTGTTCTGTAAGCTTGTGGCACGTCCGGAGGCATTCTATGCACTATACAAACATCAAATGAAATGGACATCCAGAAAAATATCCAGGGGGTAATCAGGTGAAACGTAACCGTTGTGTACATAAGACAATACCTAAGATGCAAGTTATGATGTGTCGTTGCAGACAGAAGCATGGCATTCTGTAGTTGAAGCAACAAAGCAACGAGGATTACCACGTTTGATCACTAAGTCAAATTTCACTGACTTCAACACCGAAGTAGTTCGTTGCCTGGACCCTTCCCAACTAACAACACACACTAAAGCGCTACACCTGCATTCATGCATGAGGTGGATGTAGTTTACCACATGGTTTCTCCATGGGTGCAAGAAGTTCAACAGTTGAATACTTCAATTAGCTGCTGCTTAGATTGATCGATGCCAAAGCCATGCCTTTGCCAATCCAGTCAACAGGAAAGCAGCGATTACAAGCCGTTTCGCTAATTGGAGCATACAAAGGCAAAGCTGGATCTACAACTATGTGTGTGGGTATCCAAAGCCTCGCTATACTGGGAACCGCATCGACTGCAATTGCATTTATCCAAATCGCTTATATTAGTTTGCGAACGTTCACGTTACTACCTCTCGCCCTTATCATTAGCAGCACCAGGTTTCGGCTCGTTTGCCCATCGGTCATACAATGAACACCAAAGCGGCATCTCCGGCTTGGCCGGAATTCGTCTCGGCTCGTTCTTTTCGCTACTACCTCATTCGAGTCGTCGCCTTCACTCAGGCCAGCTCGTTTTCGGGCTGATCATGACTGCTTGGTCGCCGTAGTCTCCTTCAACAGCATCAATATTAATCTGGTTAGCTCATGTAGACTACGATACAACATCAGTATAATAAACTGCATGCAATGCCGATATACAGGACAACATGATATACAACATACCATTGTTCGGAGCACGCCATACCGCATCAACTCCTGCCGTCGTCTTCGCCGCTTACATCAACGCGGAAAGATGTCGGAAGCCTTGAGCGCCGGAATCCTGAGTGGGTTTCTCCCCCAGGCCTTTGAACGCCAGGTACGAATGCAGCGGGTTGAGCAGTGCGACCGAGCCCAACAGCTTGACTGAGTACGACAGCTTGTACAGCTGCAGCAGCAGACGCTTGCCTGTAAGCAGCAAAAACAACTGGACCAAGAGTAATCCAAAGTCTTGTCACCAAGCATGAATCTCGCAGACATCTCTGACCAATGACCACACTTACCAAGCGCTAGAGAAGCACCACACGCAGGGGAGTGCTATCATGAAGAACAACACGTACCAAATAGAACAGGTTAGCAATAAGGTATAGCATTCGTTCGCTACGAGCGTACCGTTAGCGCCGTACTCGAGCGCCGATGTCTCGCACGACCATCCGTGATTTCTGTTTATTCTTCTGCCGACTTGAGCCCTGGCCGCGCAAATTCTCGAATGAGGCGGATTTTGCAAAAGCGGCAAATGGAAGTCGCTGTGAGCCACCCAGTCCGACACCTTGCAGATTTTGTTCAAATCATACAGTGGGTCCCGCGCCCGTCCCAAACATTATATTCCTAATTTTGACAAACGCTGGTCTTTGACATCTGGAAAAATAAAAAGGCGCGAACAGAAACTAAACGTAATTTTATCTTGACGTTTGTATAATGGTGTGTTGGGAGAAAGGACAGTCATACAAATTTCAAGTCAAAATTGGCTTAAACTGCATATATGCAGTTTAAGCCTTCAAATCTAAGCTGCATTATGCAGCATCCGGTTTGGAGGGGTTAATCCAGTCTTAACCGTACCGCTAGTTCACTACCCAAAGTATCGACCCTGCCGAGGCCAATGTAGTTCCTGGGACTTGGTGACTTGAGGGGACTTGTGCTCTTCGGTGCAAATTCTGCTCGAGAGCGACTTGCCGGGGCTTGGTAGTCTTGGATCACGCGTGGGGTCAAATCTGTTCTCCACAACGCAAGTCGATCGAGGCCAATATGCTCTTCCTCCTCGAGATTCCAGACTACTTGCGCTCCACGGTGCAAATTCGACTCTGGTTTATGTTTAGCTGGTCTCTCCCTAATACTACCATCTTGCTTACCCTCCTACAACCACACAATTACTGGATTCTTGCCCCGACTTCGTCCTCCATGTGCGTCCCATCCTGGTCGATCCACGATCAGCCCCGATCGGCGATCGACACCGATCGGCCCCGATCGGCCCTGATCGGCGACCCACGATCGGCTCCCGATCCACGATCGACCCCGATCGATGACTTATGCCGGTTGCCATGCGCCGCCGATCTATCACCTTCTGTCCTCGGCCATCTCAGATCCGCGGGTTCTGTCGTCGATCTGGACTTGGGTCGGCCACGAATTACGCTACGATCACCCACAATCCGGCTTGCCACATGTCCTGCCTTACGCGCCGGCGTCATCGGACCACCTGAGATCTCCCGAAGAACTCCTTCTGATCCGTAGATCCTTGCTGCCTCTCGCTCGATCGCCGATCTCCCACGCCTCCAGTCGATCGGCCCTGCCGCCTTTCTCGGAGAACAATTCTTATTCAGCACTTCTCCACAATCCGTTCGTGGTCGATATGACCTCAATCTCTCTAATTGACAATGTTCTCAAGTTTGCCTCCGGTGACAAAGTTTCTGAAGTTTCACGCCGACGCAACATTCGAACTAAGCGACATCCACTACTCAATAATAACCTGCTGATTTATTGATCAAGCCCGGTCGTACCAGCGCGCTCCTGTATTCGTCGTGAGTTGACGCAGTGTGACGGAGTATGGCCACGACTTCAGAAGATTCGCTGACCTTATCCGAAGATTCGTTGGCAGAATTTGTTCGTTAGTGCTGCAGGGGGTGACACCGAAGCCACTCAGACCAATGCACGCAAAGTGATTCCCGTCTTGCCTGACGCGAAGGTATTGATGTGCTTCTTTCATGTTTTGTACAACGTGAGAAAACGCATTCACCACTTCTCACGTGAAGGCCGACAGCTTATTATGTCTTCAGCTACGGACATGCACTTCTGTGAGATCACCAATGAATAATTACATTGCCGAGAAGCAGAAATGGCAAAGGGGAGCGGTGTAGAGAGTTTGGACGATTTTCAGAGGTATTTCAAAGAGCAGTGGATCGAAAAACAATCGTGTGGTTGCCTTATCAAGGCTACCCGTACAACTGATGATGCTACGGATGGCGGCAGATCGCACGAGGTTCTCGATGCGATGTTCTCATTCCCAGTATCCCTGGCGTGGTTTGATGGCGATTGGGATCTCGACGTCTAGTCAAGTTGTTGACGATGAGTGCGGAACGAACTTTACGCGTCTCCGAACAAACACTGAAGAAGTTACATCAAAGAAACACGCACCTTACACCAACGCTGTGAAGTGATCTCTCCGTAGGTCTCACCAGCTTGGTATGCCTAAGGGGGGAAGTCGACATTGAACGTCAGCTATGCTTTCTGATGGTAGCGCTGGTGAGAATCTAGATAGTGCTTGCACCGCTCGGAAAACATCAACAAGTCGTGCCGCCACTGCCACGAAAGCCTCCTTAGCGAGCCCACGTATGTCAAAAGTAAGCGTACACACTCTAAGAAAGTAAGCTGTGTCAACTATACTATAGTGAATCCAAGTATAACGAACGTACGTGTGTACATATTACAATACCTCTATATCATGTAAGATACATAATCTATAGCATAATAAAAACAAGTACATTTATCTCCATGCTTATCCAATCAATTATGCATAGGTACATAAATACCGGTGATGCACGACTGCTACAAAATAGTCAATCGTCCTCTCGCCTCGTCTGACCATGCAACGCGCTAACCACCGAGCGCTGTTTCGCTCGACGTGCCTGACACTCCTGCGGCGCCAAAATCGGTATATCACCGATGAAGCATGTTTTTTCTCCGGGCATGCGTGCTCCAGATTCCCCCGAGCCTTCGCGTGAGTTTTTGCGGCCTCCATCAAGTCGCACAATGGGCGCTTGACCGTATTCCCGCGCCACGCATAGACCGGCGAGTGCTAGACCGGTTCCTGCAAGCTCACGATCCGCGGTACCGCGCTGTGAAAACACACGCTCTACATGCAGCACCCAATGTGGGTGCCTACTATTGGAGCTTCGACACCAGCCTGCATAGCCACCTGCCCTACCACAACCACAAGCCCCGATCGACGAGCACCAGCAGCCGCGAAGTGGTGGCGTCAATTCGCCGCCGCCGTGACCCCCCCCCCCCCCCGGATGTACCCGGCTCGGCCGAATGCGTTGTACGCATTGTGTCCCCTGGTCGATTGGGAGCCGACGTGGGAGCATGTGACCAACGTCACTCGTGATGATCTGTACGAATTACAGACAATACAGCGGGAGCTATGGCTGCAGCGTCGTCAGGCTCACTAGCGTCTTACAGATGTAGCGAGAAGAGAACAAAAAACGTTCAAGCCAAACTGATACAGTTAAAATGAATCCATGGCAGTATGTAATAATATATATTCCACGTTTAGTAGGCTCTCTACTAGGACAGCACACCACACCCGAAGGCAACAACCCATATTCGCAACACTAAAATGGTTACAGATCGTTGTTAACCACACCCGAAAACAACATATACATACATGTACAAACTCCCTATGAGGCTACAGACGCTGCGGCTCAGCATCGCTACACCGACGTGGCTTCGGCTCCTCGTCACCACGCGCCGCATACACACTAAGTGCTTCCGGAGGCGCTAATCCTGTCGAAAATCTCGAAATGGAGCGCACTGTTGCGGGCTCCATAGTCTGGGCCAGGCTAACTGGCCCTCACGGCTCGCGAGCACCGAACGGGGATCGGTTAGGAACACGTCTGCGACAGCATCCATGAGTTTATCGCGAACTGGCACGGAAGTGACTAAGGAAGATACAACGACGGTGGAGCTAGTGACGGGGGGGGGATTACTTCTCTTGAGACTATACTCATTCGCTAGAAGCAGGTGACAGCCGACGCTTGAGATCGGAGCGTCTGACTTGACGCTGCCTAGCCGTTTTAGTTAACGTCTTAGTCCGCAACGCACTCGCGCGCCAGCTAAGCAAAGTTACCGGCATAGCAAGTAGCCTTCCCGTATGACGCTTCTTAAGCTACATAATAAATTCTGCAAATTCTTTTTTTCTTACCAACTGGGTGCCCCAAATCCATTTATACGAAAAACAAGCTCCCCTGTTTTTCCATGCCAGACTGGATGACCCACTGCGGCGCTCCTCGACAGCAGGACATGGCGCATTGCAGTACTACAGTGTACGGGTGTGAACTTAAGCGGATAGCACAGCCTACCTCCTTGACCCGCGCGGCGTAGAAGCGCCCGGAAGTGCATCACCGCTTGCTCTCTGCAGGCACGTGGAGGCGACGCACGACAGCTTCAATAGTGTAAATCGACGAATATACATGTAAAATGCATTTAACAATAGATTACTTCTCCGGTCCGGTAAATAATTAACAGTTAGGTTTTATCATAAAAAACCTCGATGTCTGATTGGTCGAAGCACCCTGCTATAACAATTCTGATTGAACAGACTACTAGCATCATCGATTTGCAAGGAAAAAATATATCAAACGTAGTTGGCTGTTATTCAGGCGAAGGATGATTGCATTGTTTAAAGCTGATATATTACAAGAATAAGTTCTCTTTCTGATTTCTTGAGAATATTTATAAATTCAAATCTGAATATTTTGATAACGCTGCGCATTTAAACCTCACGCCTACCAAATTTGACCATTTAAACCGTTCGATACCAACCGTATTGACGGGGAAACGTATTTAAAAAAATATGGCGCGATACAGCAGATAAACAGCTTCATGTCAAGGTCAATTATAGTTCTGTTGGGGCAGTTGAACGTAAGTCATGACCCGTTATGTGAACTGTGAATTCTTTTCCGGACCGGATAAGTAATTTCTAAAACCCTGTTCATCATTTGTAGATTATGCTAAAATACGCAGAATATACCAAAATGTGCTGGCTGCTATAACTGATATTTAACGAGTGAACTATTAAGCATTAGACACACCGAGCGACTAGCCTGCAGATAGCTTGCTGGGCTATATCCACGATGTAAGCCGTTATCTCGAGCCAGCCGCACCGTCTGAAGACCCATGTAAGTTTGCTAGCCGAGTGGACGTGGTAATGCTTAGAGTTGACCATGATTTTCCGACAGAGTCAAGCTTCGAGGTTGATGATGACCCTGCCGTAGTTAGTGAGTCTGTGCATCCCTTATCGCGATTCTCCTCAGCTTCCGAGAGAGCATTATAATCGGTTGTCGGTCAGCAACTCCGTAACTCGTCAGTGTTAGTTAACCTTTTCTAGAGCACATTTTAGCATATTTCACACCTGTTGACATAACAATTCTTTAGCACCTTTTAGAAATTGCACAGGGAAATACATTCAGATTGAGATTTACACTGGGAAGTCTAGGTTTGACCCTTGGAGTCCGTAAGGTCTACGGACTCCTACGTTCTGGTATTTGAAGGGCTATCTTAAGCTAAGGCTCTGGAGTCTGCTACGTCTTCCTCTGACGAAATGGCTATGGCAGCGCCGCTGCAGGCTTTATTGACAGGTGCTCACCAATTTGGTGAGTTTTCCAAGTTCTACACCCTATATCGATGCTTCTGTCACGACTACTGGCTGATTTTCTGCCGGCGTTTATGCTGGCTCTTTTTTGGTTTGCTTGGTGAGCTGGCTCCAGACTTTTGCTGTCCTCCTTATCAAAGTTGTGCGGCAGGATTCGTCCGCTCGCATTTTTGCGCCTGGTCTTATGGGCAACCCCCGCTGGCAGCGTTATAATCCCCCGCCACATCATAGCACGGTCGTGAAGCTATGTTGCAGCATGGTGCTATTCGGGCAGCCCATTGCACTCGAAATACGCCAACCTAGATTATACATTCACGCTCGATAGAGGGTAAATCCCACAACTGCTAAAACCAGCAACCCGGTTGCTGCCCAGGCATCCATAGCGTTACGTCAATACTCCTAAAGTAGTCTGCTTATCAACGTTGGTCTCGTCGAGTATCAGTAGCAGCTTTATTGAGAAGGAGCTTGAGGCTGATCCTGAAAGTAGATAATATCTCGACGCCCAGGGGCCGGAGAAGATGGCGCTATTTACCGGAAAGCAAACAACAATGATGTTTAGGCTCTCCTCAGCATTGGTAACGCGTAGGGAAGGTGCTAGGCACATCCGATCATCACTAGCAGCAAGGACCTCTTATTAGGAGTAGGAGCCGTGTCCAAAAACATTGCAACCATCGCGCAAAAATAGGGTATTCATAAATCCCTTGGTGTACTCAGTATTTACCCGTCTATTTTGAACTGAGGAAGGTACGGGCATCGGGCTGTCGCAATGCCTGCCTTTCTTCCAGTCATTACATGCAATCGGAAAATACTGTTTTATGAGCAGCTCGTTTCGTCTGATTGGATAGAACTATGCTTTAAACGAATAATTAACCAATCGCCAATGTAAATGTTTTGATTAGCCAATTGTATGCGGAAACACTCCCACAAAATGATCTGCTGCTTTTCATTTCCGTTTACAGCTTTTACTTTGAGGCTGGTGAATCCTTTTCTCAATAGTACTTCTACTTCCAGTTGCCTAACGTCATTTTTTTGTGCTTCCGAGATAGAGCTTAGGTGACATTTAATTTAAAGTTTGTGTGCAGCGCTACATGCTCCCTTCGAGCGTTACCGTAAGCCCCCCCCCAACTTACTGACAGATGCATAGGCTCCGTAAGCCGTAGATGACCTGTACGGGTTTTATCCGTAGCTGCACTCAAAAGTTGACTCTGATATGGACGCAATGTCGCAACTGATTTTTGCGTCCGGTTCAGTTCCAGGTTACGACTAATTAATTGTTTTTTGAACTGAAGACAGTAGAAATGAATTTCCACATTTCCTTACAATTATTTGTCCAACGTTAAACCTCAATTTTCTGCTGAACTTGTCCTTAACTGCAATCTGAACTTATCTACGAGTTCATTCAGAGCTTTGATTCAAATGTGACAGGACCGATGTTGCAAAGTCAGCGGTAAACTTACATGTCCCGTCCACCAGACAGGGTTTGCGTGGGGTGGTAGCAGCTGCAACAGTACGTTTATTGACGCCGTATACAACTGGACACTCGCATTCCAGCATACGCTGAAACCATCCCACAAGAGCTCACATGGGCTCTACTACAGCCTTGCCCTTTGGCCCGGCAACAGTTATAAGTGGTAAATACAAATTCTAAAATAGGTATAGCGCATGCCTTTAGCTTTGTCGTACCGTTCAAGTTGGTCCAGCCATAGGACAAGCACTTGCGCAGGAACGAAGATGGGGAGCGGAGCGAAGACTCAAAAGAAGGATAGTTGGAAAGTGAGTGTATTTAGCTTAGAGAAGGAGAGAGGGACAAGACAGGCAGCACCCTGGAGAGGACGACGCGTGGCCAACCATCTAGATCCTGCCAGATCTTGTACACCAGAACGGGTCTAGATGGGGGGAGGTAATTACCCATGACTTTTTACAGAGTTTCGTGTACAACTGATGTTCAAGTGCAATCCTTCACCCTCCCCTCCCGCAGCAAACAGGAAGTTATTCGTGAGGGACGTCTTCTGGTTTAGGATTCGTTCTAAATTTAAAATAGTGTCAGCAGCTCGAATACTACTGGACCTTGTTACTCTGTAAAGGCCCGGTGACGTTGATTTAGAGAGATCAGAACCGTTCTAAATTGAAGAGTAGTCTAAAGCGGACCATGGTGAAGCCCACGCGGTTCCCGTTTTTTGAGTCGCCCCTTTCGTCCTCTGAGGAACTTTCGGACGATGAATACGTAGGCAGCAACGATGTCTGCAGCACGGACCTCCGTGATACCGGTTTTGCGGGTGAGGGAATGTACGATGACTTGTTCTCGTCGGACGAGGAGCCGGAGGAGCGATACCGGGACTCAGATCCTGGGACGTTTAGCAGATCGACGGTTTCATCATGACCGAGATGCCCAACGAGGAGACCGGTATCCCTACGAGTGAAACCTTGTCAGTGTGCTTTGGGATTGGCGACCAAAGCCTGCAAGTAAACGCTACCGCTTGTTGGAGCCTCTATAGACTATGTTTGAGATAATGACGGTTGCGGCAAGCGCACTAACCCGGTCCCGCAGAAGGCGATCGATGATTTCTTCGACGAGGCTTAGATCGAGCTCGACGTGGACACGAACTACGGCTGCAATTGGAAGCAGGTCACAGCGTTCTTGCGCAAGCTGCGCCAGCATGGGAGTGCGCTAAAGATTAACGAGATGATCAAGAACAGCTACGTTCAAGGAGGACGTCGCAGGCCGCGTGCGTTGAGCGAGCTGACTCTCGATAAGGGCGTTACGGATGGACTGTTTGTCGTGGCGGCATACAACGTCCGATTCGTGGGTCATGCAGTTGTCCTTCGTGTGACATACGGGTACCAGCGCAAGACCATTAGCGACAAGAGCAAGGAGAAGTCTGGGGACGAGTGTAGCTGGATGATCTTCTTCGCATTTGTGTGTCCGTTCATAGTCTGGGGGGGGGGGATTTCACGGTGGGTTTTAAATCTCCAGACAATAAACTAAAATGATCTCATCATTAAATTGTTCTTTTATTTATTATCAAATGCAAAGTCTTTTATAATTTTCCCTCCTTATTGTGGTGGGGACACACGTAATAGCTGTCTCATTTTCTCAAAAAGTGGCTTCGCTAAAGGTTTAGTGAAGATGTCAGCGCACATTTCGTTTGTGCCGCAGTAGTTGATCGTGAATTCTTTTCTCCCTACCTTCTCCTAGACGAGTAAGTATGTGGCATAGTGCTCCGGGCTTCCGGGGACCGATCGACCTTGAAGATGCATTTCCCCGGAGAATGTACCCATCCCGGGGGTACTGGGTGTGTCCTACACAGAAGAGCCCAGGGAGCCAGCACGGGACGAACGACGACGTCAGAAGAGCCAACCCCGGGAGTATCCGGACCAGACCATAGTGAACTCAAGTGATTAGCAGACCTTAGCAGGAACCCATAGTTAAGCACTTTACCAGGACCAGTGGCCCTGGGGGGCTCAATTCAGTCTAACTTTTCCCCCAAAGAGCTCAAGTCGCCTCAGCTTCAGGAACTCCAAGATACTAAGGCCGCGGTCACTGGGACCCGCGCTCATAGACTAACCCCTTGTAAATCGATAATATATTTACCAGGGTTTCCCTCCAGGAAGCCCCAGGCATGTCATGTTTGTCCCCCCGGAGTGCGGTCTAGCCGGCACGGGTAAGGACATTCCACATTCTCAAGGTCTCGCCCGTGGGATCTCGCCCCGAAAACTATTGAGCCGTCACCGAGGGCGTTTTGCTTCGAAAGACCTGATTGCATCTTCTAGTTGCGTGTTAATTCCGCACCGGGAATCAGGGAGCGTTACCGGGCGATTGATTGTATTGCTACCAAACCAGCGTACTGATAAGGTCGGGGCTCCTAGGAGATCCTCAGTGGTTGATCTTCCCTCTGATCCAAACAACTGATTCGAAGGGGTTCACAAGGTGAGGTTACTGACCGAGTCCCAGAGTCCCTTGCTTTCCCATAGCGAGTAAAGGTCCCGGGAACTCACGACCCGGATAAAACCCTCGTCCGGGCGGGCCGTCTATCCACTAGGAGACTCGCTTTCTTTAGTTCTCTAGATCCTTGGTCTAGGAATCGCAGCCCGGGAACTGGCGGGGTGTCGAGGGCGGAAGGTCAAGGAGCTACATCACAAGTATTTTATGCTTACGTGCTTACTTCTTCCGTGGACTTAGGGTTGTTGCAAATTTTAAAGCTGCTTCGGTTGTCTTCCAAGATCACCGGTGGTTTAGAGCTGTCCTAGCCAATTTCTCTTAGCAGAAGCTGGATGTAGTGAGCTCTTGCATACAGTAGCAAAGCGCGATGTAATCCGCTTTTGGTGTAGAAACCGCTACAGTGTGGTTTCTACGTGATACCCAGTTGATCGGGCTGTTGCAAAACATGGTGAGGTGCCCATGGATGCAGCGCCTAGTGTCCTCGCACAGGGCATAGTTCGAGTCCGTGTATGCCATGAGGTATTCTTCAGACTGTAAGATCTCTAAGTTTTCAACGCCACCTAGAGTGGTGCCATGGTCAATAGTACCATTCAGGTAGTGCACGCCCTGCTTGACGGCATTCCAGGGCGGCTTTCCTGGGTTAGCCAGATATTGACTGACTTCGCGAATGAAGTAGGCGATGTCAGGTCGTTTGCCGGTGTTGAGGTACATAGAAGCTACCCACCGCTTCTCGGTATGGTTTGCTAGCCATTTGAACTTTCGTTGCGCCATCCGTAGGACAGTCCTTCATACTGAGTGATTGCGCGATAGGGACGCTCTTGGGATTGCTGTCCAGCATTGAAAAGCGATCGAGTACTTTGGTAGCATAGCTCTTTTGATGAAAGAAATAGAGCGGTTGGTTCTGTTTATCTCAATGGCCCAGCCAAGGAGATATAATACTCTCCCTAAATCGGTCATGTGGAACTCTGAGCTCAGGGCCGATTTGACACTAGCAACGACTTGCTTGGACGGCGAGAAGATCCAGAGATCATCGATGTAAACGGATATGTATCATGGTGCATTGAAAATGACTTTGAAGAAACCATTCAATTAGATGCAATAAGCTGCATGTCCAAAACTCTGCCGAGGAACGTAATAACTGGAGAAGAGGCAGGCGTCGAGAAAATCCGATACCCGTGCCACGTTTCGTCGAAAAGTACGCCAATAAAGAAAGCGCCATTTTTCAAATGCAGCTAGACTCCTGGTCCAATATGACTTAGAGCCCGAAGCCCAACGCTTTGATTGAACTGGAGTGCTTATCCAGGAGTTCAAAATGTGGAAGGATAAGGTGCGCACGCACTTTGATGCCCTGGGCCAATCGTATCTATAAAGTTGGTAGAAAGGAGCAACCTGACTCCGGGGGGGGGGGGGGGGAGGGTCTAACATGGTCAATGCAGTTAAATGCACTAAGCTTTTAAGGTTTAACGCTATGTTTTTTGATATTGCATACCTTTCCAGTCCGGAAAAGCATTAACAGTTCATATAATCGACCATAATTCACGTTCTACTACGCCAGCAGAGCTGTAATTGGCCTTGACGTAAAGCCCTTTGTCTGCTGTATCGCACCGATTGTTTTTTAAATGCGTTTTCCCGCCATTGCGGTCTGTATCGGTCAGTTTAAATGGTCGAATTTTGGGTGTGTTAGGTTTAAATTCGCACCGTTATAAAAAAGGATCAGATTTGAGCGTAAAAATACTCTTTAGAAAGCTGAAAGAGAGCTTTATTCGTGTCTTATGTCGCCATAACCAATCGAATCTTCTAACGCCTGAAAAACAGCCAATCATGTTTGAGGTTTTTTCCATACAAATCACTGATGTTGGCTTTTTGCCCGATGAGAGATGGTACATCAGTGCATAATAGGGTACTTCGACCAGTCATAAATCGAGGTTTTTCGAGGTTTTTTATGACAAAACCTAACTGTTAATTCTTTTCCGGACCGGAGAAGTATGACCCTAGGTGTTGGAGTAATCGTCTCAGTGGGCACTACTTGGTGAAACATGGATTCAATCATATCCAGTCTGAGACAGGATAATTCCTGTACTTTCTGGGAAATGGTACATCAGTCAGTGGTGCTGCAGGCACGCTTCGCACAGCAGCAGCTTCGTGCCCTCTTCCTCACTCATCTCGTCTTCTCGGCGTGAACTGGCGCACTTCAAGCAAACTTCAAGTGGGGGCGAACTCGGGAAGGATTGCACATGTTTAAGTGTCCGGGTACATTGCAATTGTATCGTATCAATGGTGGCGGGGACTAGATTGTCCGACCAGAGATGCTAAATGCAATTTGTGGTGGAGCATATTTAGGATAAACCAAATACTATCAAACAAAAACCGACATCTGCAGCAGATATGTCGAGTGATTAGGCCACTTTTGGCAGGTATTCGAAGCGAAGCTGCACGAGGCCCGCCGCGATGTGTACGACGCGTTGACGGAAGGGGCGTGGCGCATTGCGGGGCGCACACGCCACTACCCGACCTTGCAGCGCCTCGACTCGCCGTGCGAGGCCGCGTGGATGACCTTGTACACCAGCGGCCACGACTACAACTCCCTAAATGCCACTAGTCTCACAAGGTACTGTATGAATGACACTCGCATTGTGTACACTGTATTGACTCAATTCGATGCATAAACGCGCAGGGCCGCCTTCCACCAGCTTCTCGGCCGCTTTGTAGCTTCTACAATATAACAAAACCGTCACCGACGCTCTCCCTCCCCCTGGTAAGCTACGCTATCATCACCAAGTACGCGGCGTAGGCCTATACTTCAACCCATGGAGCAGAGCACTTTGCGAATGCTTTTTGTAGCGCCACCCAGCACGTTATCGAGAACGCTGGTAAGAACGGAGGAGCGCTTGCTAACGAATGGCTACGCACCTGCGTGCATCTCATGGCCTTCGCCTTCTCGCCAGACGTAGCTGGTCAAGCTAGGCGGGGTACGCACGCGAGCCGCTTCTGATGCATACCTTTTGACTTCATAGACGGCAAAACTTCTGCGTACGTATGAATACTGTTAGTGTATTAGTTTGGTATCTGTTGTCTTCGTCAACGGGACAATCTGTTTTGCAGCCGACGTTTGCATCATCTGGCACAATCATATTACGAATTCCGGCCAAGTCTACCAAATCGCGGCGGTTTGGAGACCCCGCTCGAATCGCCAAATACAAAACTCAAGTCATTTGCCCAATCTCCGGGCCCAAATCATATGGTCCAAGTGCCCGCATGTCAAGCCCAATTCGTACTTAATCGGGTGTCTATAACCAATCCTAGTGGCCCCGGAGATTGGCCGGAGAATTGGCTCGGGCGGTTCAACAAACTGCCCGCGGAAATTTGGAACAGAACACACAATAATTGCCCGGGGTCGTGAAACGACCCCGCCACATCGCTCGAGTTCAACACGAAGCTGACGGACCCGATTTTCTGCCCGGAGGAGCGCATGAACGTCGTGTACGACTCAGCCTTCCCGTGATCCATGCCATGGCCGGCCGTATCCTCACGCTGCTCAAGGACGGCGACTTGGACAGGATCTTGCCTTCGTTGCGCAACTCGGCGCGCACGCTGCACAACGCGATTACCTACGTGAGGCAGGCTGCGGTGTGGGGCGTGGGCAGCATTTAAAGGTCTATAGTTGTCTAAATCTACCACTACCTTACGATCAGCAGCTTCGAGGCGTGCGGCTGAAGAACATGTTCCGCATGAAAAACTTCAGCGTCCGCACTGTCGAAATCTCTGAGATTCGCACCACCTTCGCTAACGGCATGGTGATGCTGCAGTAAAAAGAATATTCGCGTGTACAGAAGCTGAAACTTTTCTTTTGAATAAAATTGCAAGGGATGTCCATCTAAACTCTTGCGTTCTTGCATGCTCACAGCGACATGATCATCGGTACAGGACTCGTGGTCGAAGCTCTCATCGCCGGCGAACTCGAAGTAGAAGTCTGGCTGCTCGCTTTCGTAGTCGCGCTCGCCAACGTCACAGCCGCGGTAAGCGTTTGAAGCGACTTGCGAGGCGCTCTCACTCAAGCGGGAGATACTTGGCGACAAGAGCCCGAGGACGGCGAATCTCCTTTACCTTGTAGTTAGAGCTTCCTGTATGTTTAGCCATCTGTAGAACATGTGGTCATAACGTCGTAGCCGGCGCATGCATAGCGGCGTACCGGGAACAGCGGTGGAGTGCTTAAGGGTGGGAAGTAGTTGTGTTCGGGGCGGAGGCCTTGGTCGTTGCTTGGCAAATGCAATCATCACATCACTATGGCGGCGGTCTTAGCAGCATTACGGCCAATTGACCCTCAACGCCACAACCACCAATGAAGCTCCAATCCAGGGCGCGAGTTCACGCGCAAAGGACACGGCAGCCTCACCTCAGACCGCATTTTATTTCGGCGTCAAACCAGGCTCTCATCACTCGCTGTTTGAAGAAAAATCTTCCATTTCTAGCAATAACAGTCAATTTCAATAGGTTCAGCACGGGTTGCACGGCAAGCCTCGCTCGGGTTCACTGTCGGTGAAGACAGCGGCTGCGGCTGTCCTCCGCGGCGTGCGTACGGACCAGCAGCAACTCTGCGCTCCTGGCGCTGAGCTGCGACGCTCTCGAAGCTGGTGCCTTGGTCATGTACGTGGAAGGGGGGGGGGGGGGGGAGCGGCTGCAGTGTCGCCAGCAGGACCGGAGATGACGTCATGGGACTGGCTTCATGTCCGCCTTCAGCACGCGAATGCCCTGCTGCGGGGTCACCACGGTGCAGTCGCCGTCCACGTCGAGCTGTCGCTCTCCACGGGTGGCATCTGCTTCGCGCTCGGCGGCCTTTGCTGCAGCTCGCCATGGACGCCGCCTTCAAGGCGCTCGCCTGGGCCTGGTCGCTGCCTTGGTCCACGTTCGGTGGGGTGACCTCCTCGTCACTCGAGCCTTGGGTTCAATCGTTTCATTTAAAGAAGACGAACAAGATTTTTAGTGAGTTTAGTACGGAAGTATAGACCAGCGTAGCTGCTAGTTTTGCGCTCCTATAAAACGAAGACTGTTCGGATCGGCGCCAGCCCCTACGTCAAACCCGGCCAAGGTTCAGGACAGCGCAACTTTGTTCCACTATCGGAACAGACCTTCTCGGCTCTGTTGGCAACCGCGCACACTAACTATCAGAGGCGTACAACCTCGTTGGTACGCGACGTGCTACAGCTTCTCAAATTTAGGAAGCGGCCTAAGAGCATCTCCACTCGTGCGTGCTATTGCTATTTGAGCGAATAAATTACCGACCCATCTGTTTATAAAAACCCAAAGCGACCCACTCGGCGCTCTATTGCTATTTAAATCGATAAATTACGAGCTTGTGCGCTATTCGACCCGTGAATAGCACGCGTGGGCTATTCGGCAGCTGTTTCTAGACTGTGAAACGCCGCCCCAGGAAACCAACAGAAACTCCCCAAAGGACTGCTCACGAAGCCCGAAGCGGTAGCCCGCCAGCACAATTCCAATTGCCAACAACAACAACAATGGGTCGTGGTCGCAGGTGGGAGTCTTCGGAAGATGAGACACTGGTGCGGGCGTATCTGAGCGTCTCCGAGAACGGAATCACCGGCACGGGGCAGAAGTCGGCTACCATTTGGCAGTCCATCTTATCCAGATTCAACACCACGACGAAACCCACCAAGGACGAGGCTCGTTCTGCCCAGGCACTTCGAAATCGATGGACGATAATTTCACACGATGTGGCCAAGTGCACCGGGTGTCACGGTATTGTGAAGGCCCGAAACGAGTCTGGGAAGAGCGCCGCCGACAATATCAACGATTCGAAGGCTCTGTTCAGAGCTCAACAAGGGTCCAACTTCGACTTCGAATGCTGCTGGGAGATACTAAAGGGTTGTCCCAAGTTTATGGCCGTATTGACAGGTGGCACCGGAAGTACCATCAACGACCGTACCATCGAAGGTGATGAAGAAGAAGGCCGCCCTGCTGGCAGGAAGAAGTTAAAAGCAGACCTTGCTGGTGACCAAGAAGACTCAAGCAACTTACGGCAGCTTGTGGACGACAACAAGCAGCGCAACACAGCACTCATGGAGCAAATGAAGAGAAAGAACGATCTAATCGAGGAGCAACTGACGGTGGATTTGTTCAAGATGGACGCATCCTCCGAGGAGTCGAAGGCATTCTTCGCATTCATGCAAAAGAAGCGTTTGGCTGCTGTTGTTGGACAGGTCGCCCATGCCCCTGATGGTGCTGTTGCTATCGGTGAGGTAGTTACCGCTGGTAGTGTACCTGGCGCTGGTGTTGTTGTGGCAGAGCCACAGCTTCCTCCCCGGCTTCCTCAAGGCCATGTTCGTGGGGATACGAATGAACAAGATGGCAAGTGTAGTGTTACTGCTTTATTGGGTCGAATGCGCAGTTATTGATCTGCATTCCAGGCCCAGAAGTGGCGGCAAAGCATGTCACGCATTGCTAAAGCTGCGATCGCGTCTTGTAGCAGCTTGAGTCGCTTGCAAATTGCCAATATAGAGCCCTCTTCACACTCGTCTAGTGTACTCTCAGCGCTAAATCCCAACGCACTGCTGCTGTGGCTCGTTTCTTCTGTTATCGCGTCTGTACCGTACGGATCGGGTATGTAGTCAGCGATGCCTTCTTCGTGTAGCTCAATGATCATGTGATGCAATATGATACAACAGTTGATCACGTATTTCATTCTGTCCCGGTACGCTACCCAGCATGCGCAAAGCCGCAGTTAGTTTCTGCTCTGGTGAAGCACCCATCTTTCCAACGGCATCAGGCTTCATCCGGAAGTACGAGTTGGCTGCAGGGATATCGCTGAGCAGTCGTCTAAATAGCACTGATGGGAGTCGATAGCGACGTTGGAATAGCGTCTCATCAAAGACCGGATTGGGGCCGAGATAGTCGCGCATTATCGACTCGTGGCCAAGCCGGATGTCGCGCTCTCTTGTCTTCTTTCTCCCTTTCACAGAGCCACGGCGCGGACGGGAACGACGTCGTTCGAAGTGGGTGTGCAGTATTAGCGCCGACGTAGTCTATGTGTACGTATTGACTAGCACATCGTCGTCATCGTCTTGCAGCTCAGCTTCAAGTTGCATGGCGATAGCTCTGGAATGGCTCTAGCGACTAGTTTGCCTCTGATCTATTTATATTGCTATTTATATTTGACCAATCGTTGCTCACATAAATTCCGCGATAGAAATAGCATAGCACGCACGAGTGGAGATGCTCTAAGCTATCGATACCTTTCTAGCAGAGCGACCGAAAGTTCAAGTCGGGGAAATTGCACGCACTCACTGGTCCATTTCCCATGCTCGACAGCAGGAAGGGACTGACCGCGACATTTTCTAGGCCCAGCACATTGCTGATATGCGGGCTACCGAAGACGCTGAAGAGAAATCAACGCGCCAAATCATTACAGTGAGTCTAAATGGATCGGCTCCGCTGGCTCTGACGATAAACGTGGTCGAACTACGGCACGTACTCGGTCTACTCATCCCCAACCGACTGTGTACAACGCCTTTGTCCCGCCACAAGGACCCGAAGAAGACGTATCCGACGAAGAACACGCTTTAAATTAGGCTCATTAGCTGCTTAAGTTGCAGATACATATATTACTCGGGACAGAGGGGAAAGACCAGGTTTGCATGAAAAACCAGCCACTGCTTCAGATGCCCAAACACCACCTCGACGGGATAAAGTTGGGGGCAGTACGGCGGTAGATACAGCAGAATTACCCCGCAACGGTGGACCACTTCTTCGAGATCGCTATAGATGTGGATGCGCGTGTTGGCCAACACCAAGATGGAGCGAGGAAGTATCCATGGGTTCCGGTGCTTCACCACCTGATGCACAGACGCCCTGCGAAATAGTTTGCGCGAAAACGTACCACGCGTTGTCTCCCACGAATCCTCGAACATCACAAGCCGCGAGTATAGAAACTCGGCTTCCTCGCGTGAACAACACTCGAATGATGGTCTTCTTTGCTTGTTCAGACCATACGTAGCAGAGTATCTAATCCAGCCCGTTCTCGGAGGCCTCGTCCAGAAAACGAAGCTGTTCGGGTTAGCTCTAGAATGACTTCAACTTGACCACGTACGGGTCCACCTCCAAAGCGCTGCTTCCCGCGCTCGCATCTCGAGAATCTTCCTGGACAGATTCAACTGAAACAGGCGTAGTCGTTGAACGCATGTAGCTAATAGACCTTGGTGTTGCTCAGGGAACCGCGCTTTCATCTCAGCAAGGTGCTCTTTTATGTAAAACAAAAAATGCTGCTTGACGTACGACGAAACGTAGTCAACTAGCTCATGTGGGTACACCGTACACAAGGTGCCGTGTGCCTTCATCCGGAAAGACATACCCCGTCGTCTTGAACTGAGCGTACCAGCGCCTTACAGCACGGCCCACACCCAAAGTAGACCCCCCCCCCCTCCCCGCTCCATCTCACACGAAGTTACGAAGAGTCACCGTTCGCCACCTTAGATCTACGGAGTACATCGTTCTTCATCTGTCGTCTTGCGCGCTTTTTCAACAATGCACACCATTGACTTGGCGCTCCCTTTTTACGGGAGATCCCATTTTATACGGCTTTTAGCGATTTTTGGGACCCCCATTATTTGAGGCAATAGGGAGTGCACATATTGGACATTCTTGCCGGTTACTACAATTGCTCATATAGACAGCATCATGTTCGGAATTTCTGGCGTACGCATCACCACGTCAAGCCGTTTACCCTCGGCATCAATATTTTCTAACTGAACCAAACGATTTGCAATGTTGACAATGTCCATCTATATAATTGGTGTCATAACAATCCATTTGACCACCAAGAAGATCTGCGTTCGCAAAAACACTAACTGATAATGCAGAATTCCATTGTGGATGAATTATTCCTATATTATACCGTACCAAATAGTATACCATTTCGGCGTGAAAATAGCGTAAATGCTGATTTAATACACAACGTTTTTTATTATAACAGAATAATCGTAAAAAACTAATTGCGATGATTTTTAAATTGATATTAACGTGCTTGACTACAAATTACTAAAACCAAACTAGCATTTAAACACGTTATAACCTAAACTTAAAAATGGATTGCTATTTTTACAAAAAGTTACAAATAAAATCGATTTTTAGATATTTGGATGTTAAACCAATTCAACTGGGGACTTAGTATACTGTACCAAATTGAATACCTTGTCAGATTTAACGGTATTCTATAGGAATAGCACACCGTATACTATTTGGCATTATCCGTTAGTAATCGTTGTCTCACTAACGCTATCGTAAAAACAAGGACGAAACATCTTAGTTATCTGGGGTTCGTTTTCGGGCATTGACCCAGGATGTCCTGGACTATGCTGCGTCGGTTAAAGTCACACTGATGAACATGCCACCACGGTATAATACTACGAAAGCTGTGATTCTGCTTCATGGGTTACACCGCTAGTACCCTTCCTGACCCGTGGCACTATTAAAGACTTGAAATTCTACGTGTGAGTCGCGTTCAGTAAGGGCTAGTCTTAATCCGTTTGTTTTGAGATCAATCTCTCCGATGGTGTCGGTGAACGCCTTGCTGTCCTCAGAGTCGATCCTATTTAAAACAACATTTATCTTTCCAATCCAGCAGGACAACGCCCACCGCATATCGCCACGACCGACCCTGAGTTCCTGTAAAGCTGTGCTAGAGTCAGGGCGAGACGTTACCCTGCGGTTTCAGTCGCCTAACAGCCCCGACCTTAACTGCTGTTTGCTGCCGAACAAGCTCATCAGCGCCAGCCCCAGACACGCACCATTGATGAGCTCATTAGAGCGCGGAAACCGCATTCTGGGAGCTACATCCTTCGAAGGTCTACGCAGTGTTTGTCGCTGCTGTGCTTAATGATGGGTGAATTCGCGACAAAGGCGGCAACAGCTATCGTATTACCCACATGACAAAAGCGAAACGCGAGCGGGTGGGGCAACTTCCCGAGAGCATCAAGTACAGCGAGGTATCCGACTCGTTTGTGCAGATGATGTCTATTAATAGACAGGCTCCATTTTCAATGAAGTATAAGATCAGACCTATTTTTCCGGAACAAGCTAAAGCGTTGTACTTAGCGATAATTACGGTCCGGAGTGTACTGAGGTTGGGTTAGCTGATATAGTGGGGTATCGGACCGCACATAGATGTTGTGTTGGTAGATGTAGTGCGCACCACTGATGGCCCGTATTTGTACGAATTTTATGGCAATTCTGAGATTGAAAAAGTAATTGTAGGGACTAACGGTGCGCGTATTTCCCGGTCAAATTGCAAGTTTTCCTGAGCAAGGTGAAAATGCCCCTTTTGGGCGGTGTCACCTATTTTTTTAAATTTAGGCTACAGAAATTGGCAATTTACAGGGAAGGGCCACGTTTTGCATGATTTAAAGAGACTGCCAGAAAATCGTTGCAGCCAAGTTGCATACTTCACCAAAAGCATACATGAAGTGTACATGCATGAGTTAGTACAGCACTACCTCTTTGAATCCGATCGATACTGAGAGCATGTGATCAGCCAATTAGTTTTATTTATGTTTTCTACTTAAACTGATGTACTTATATAAGACAATTTCCAAACAAACTACTGATGAAATCATCTCTCGTCTCAACGGAACCGCATTTATTGCTGACATTGATGCTGTCACAAACTTCTAGATGCCCAACATCTTCTTGCTACCAACATTGTTTTGTTTTGCTCACACTGCTTTCATTATCGTCACTGTGCATCTATCCCAATATCGATCACATAACGATTGGCACAAGCGTAGATCTAAGCCTTACAGAAGTGCATATGCTATCGCACGACAAAACCATAAAGCTGTCGATTCACATTGGGTCTTGTGCGTAATGCTCCTCTTTTAACACCTTTCCTGGATATCGTACTGCGTTCACACGAGAAACACCTGTACATACATATCGTGTAACAACGCCACAATATTTGGCGGATGCACTACCCCTTCCATCACAAAATTTCAACCATTCTTGCTTCTTGATTCGGGGGTGGGCTATCAAATGGCACAAAACTAAGAAGTTTGTATTGAAGTGCCTCTACGACCAGGGAGTAGTGTGGGGGAAGCCCCAACATCTCGCTTCAAACCAGCCTTTGCAAGCCTCTCAGCTGCCAATTCCTCCATGAGACGCCCACCGAAGCGAATGTAGCCTTCGACCTCGTCTGACCTACAGCATCTAAACCATTTCACCGCTAACATGTTGTAACCTGCGTTGAATAGTGTTGTGGCACAGCCACTCCGTAGTGAATACGAACCTTACTGCTCGGCCACTCCGTAGTGAATACGAACCTTACTGCTCGGGACTTTGGCTAGCGAGCTTGATCGCCATCCCCACTTAATTCACTTCGCCAATATGTGATAGTATCAATCTCGAATAGTAGTGAGGCTTTTGCGATACCAAGGTTTTCATAATTCTTCGCCAAATCCCATGCTACGAGCGCCAGGCTGCACCAGCGGACATCTGAGCGTTACAGTCTGCGACGGGTGCTGCTTCCGAACATGTATCACTACAGTGGACACCCCTTGAAATGTTTCCACCACTTTCTCCTCATTGGTCACAGCAGTCATGTCCGCGCGCCGAATCGCATATGGCTTCATGGTCGAGACCAGAGCCAAATATTCTGATCGCCGCACAAAAGAAGAAGCCCAGCATAGGAGCCCCCATATGACTCGATGCTGAGCTGATGAGAAGTGATATTCGTTCTAACTGGGGATTTTGGGCTGCCGATCGGGTCCGATCGTCGAATCCCAGTAATTATGGCCTGGTGTTCGGGCAGCCGCTTGACGCTGTATGCAGCGAAGCTGCTGTAGATTTAGCGACAGAGGAAGCGTAAGCGACTCAAAGAGTCTCACCTTAAGACAGCTTTTCTAATTCCAGAACGTACGAGTCCGTACACCGCATGGACTCCAAGAGCTGAGAACCACAAGGTACGTGCGCATCACGGACACCGACAGATACCGGGCTTCTAGACACAGACGCTTGCGATACTCTGGGACAATCGTAGACGGTAGGACACCCCGCCATCTCCAACCGCTTGGGCGAAGCTCGGTCCGAGCAGATCGCACCGCCAATAGCCCCGTGCATTCCTAGCGCCCTGCGCAGCGGCCTCTGCTGAACCACAGCGTCGCTAACTACGGCTTCCGGCCGCACGATCCCGGCGAAGCGTTTTGCCTGGCGTATCAGCAGAGTTTCGGGCAAAACGTTACTGGGTCAGTGGCTCGTACTCCGGAGGAACTTGTTCAGCGAACGCCGAGAGCCCGATGGAGGGCCGTGTAAATGGTTTTGAAGTCCGCAGCAGCTGCCGCGGCTTCGCGCAGCTCAACAGACAACGGTTCAGCCGGAGAGCGAACTGGGACCGGAGCGTCCTCTTCAGGGCGTGGTGAGGGCGTCGGCAAACCGTCACCGGGGTTGGGGGGGGTTGCGTTGGCGGAGATCCGAGAACTAGCCGGGGTCCCAGCGTAGTTTACTTGGCCCTCCTCCTCCTCGCCAAATAGTTCCTAGAAATCGTCCGAGTGCATTGTGCGATAGTCGGACGCGAGGGGAGCTGGAGCTGGCACATGGTAGTTGTGGTTGAGGTGGTGTGTCATGAAGTACTCCGACAGTGAGAGCCCGGAAAGGTCGAAGGTGTACGCAACGACGTGGGCGTTCTTATGCGTTCGTAAGCAGGGGATGCAGCAGCAGGTTACGAGGTGGGTCTCGCGACTGTCTGCGCGGCAAACGGTCAAAATGTTTTATGACGTGGATTTACCAGGGCGGACTATAATACAGTCTCCAAACAGGTCTCAACCAAGGTCCGCATTTTAGACTTTGTTAAGCATTACCGGTTTTGTTTAATTTTTGGTGTTATTAGCAATAAATCATGAATATGTGTCCAGTAAAACTGTTGCCCCCATTAGTGCGTTGACGGTATAAAGAAAGTCGCGGATAAGGAAAGGACCGGAGACAGCATAGACGATGCTAAGCTCCGTTGATAGCTTTTAAAATGAAGTCACCCAACTTCCCGAATGGTATTAGTGAATACGGTATTCCAATATGGATTCGGAGCACACTAATTGAGGCAGCAGCGTGGAGACCACCATGAGATACAGTTGTATAACAACGCGACGGGCAGGTGAAATGACGATACAATTTCTACTCTAACCCTTTTGGCCCTGGGACAACACGAATTGCTCAGCTGACTTCTTTTATGTTTTTATTTAAGATTGGGGGGGGCAATTTCCAAATTCGCGCCGCCTTTGAACGCGAGACGCAAGCCAATGCCAGCAGGCTGCACGTTTGCATGTCAGCTGGTTGATGTATGGCTCAAGTCCCAGAAAGATATACTACTGCGCAAAACTTGGAAGGTTTACATGCTTTTTCAGCTATGGAACGCAATTGTAACAATCCTGTTTTGTTACAGCTTCACTAAAAGGTTGGACGAAAGCTACCTCGGCTATGAAATTCTAGCATGCTATGAGGAGCGGGTGTGTCAATGCAAAACTCATTGAAAGTGCTAGCGCCCATGTTATGAATCCTGGGTCCTGGTTGGCTAATGAAGCTCACCTTTAAATACCAAAATATGGGCACAATCTGACCGTAATCATGGGCGGTAGCACTGTAAGATGGGCTTGGACGTTTCATCTGTCTCATCAGCGTTGAAACTCGACTAGAGCTGAAATGAGAGAAACAGCTGCATGATTCTGTTGAAATATGAACCTCCTGCTTCAAGCGGTAGCAGACTGTATCAAGGGCAAGATGTAGAATCGAGTACACATCTAGAGCTAGGCTTAGGCATGTACAAGATACAAGCACTGTAGAGCTCAACTCAAAATATACCTCATCCCGACCAAGTCTACCTTTTCCTTCCGAGTTTCTAACACATTAACAGGATTGACTCAAACATTATCAACAGGTACCGGCAGTAATTTACTTGGCAATATGAACAAAGTACGATAGTAGCAGTACTATTACTCGAGCTGCCAGTAGTTTATCAGATTACCAAATTACTAGTAATTAGTAATTCGCTCCGTTGCTGTGGTAGTACGTTCAAGGTATGCTTGAGTTTCAGAGAGTTTACCAGCCGCCGCCACCGCCGTGGACGGTTGGACGAATTGCTCAGCACGTTTGTTCAGTCCCGGACCATTTTTCCGTTCTTCACGTCGCCCCTTTGGTTGCCGCTTATGAGACACGCACTTCACTATCTGCACTGCGGTGCTGTATCGGTAATCTACATTTTCTATTGTCCAATATTGCTCCTTGAGTGCGGCTGACAACTCGACGAGATGCACGTGGACTAGTTCGCCGTTAGAGCATTCGTATCTCATAATGCGGTTTTTGTTGTAGCCATCAAGCCTCCCTCAAGTGTTCTAAACACTGAAGCTGATATCACCGTTGCGGAGGAAGTGCGTGTTTGTCGACTGTATCTACCCTGCGTTGCCCTCCGTGGGCCAGTACTCCACGTGTAAGTGTGCCGTACACCGCCTGTCCTTGAACGAACTCTACGGTTGACACAATCATAATACAATACCAGATTCGGTGATCCTAACTGCGTGGCCAAGCGGAAAAAGAAAAATGCACCTGTTTCCTCGATCGCCTCTAACGTCGAATCGGTTACGTTAAAGATCGTTCGGTGGGCGCCGACTTCTTAGGTACGGTAACAAGCGAGCCAAGAATCGGCAAGCACGGCTGGGAAAATGGGGACGAGCTCATTCTGTGCTACCCGCCGGTCCCCGTACGGGTACCCGTGCGCGTCCAAGCCTATGGAATTTCATTCGTCGTTTACTGTTACCGACCTCTCGGAAAACGTGGTAACGTGCGAGACGTCGTCCAGATGCAGTAAACGTCATACGTCACAAATACGTTAATTTCGTTGGTGTTCGTATACCATACAACACCGTGGTGACCGACGACTTTCGACGCTTCAACAAGCAAGCAACCGGCAACTCCGAGACGAGTATTTTGTCATTCACTACATTCAACGACATATCGACATGTAGAGGTCTTTGGGCTCTAGGGTTTGGGAGAAGGCTGGACGCCTGCTACTGTTGGTGTTTCAATTGGTGTTTCGCATGCCGTTCCCAAACCCGATGTAAGACTTGTGGACTACTGGCATGTGTAAAACAAAAAGCGCTGTCGACGTGACCGAGGCAATAGCGGAGACGGGTAGCCTTGTTCGCCTCCGTGAGCTCCGGCTTGGCCACACCAATTGCAGGGCGGATAAGCCCGTCTTGGAAGCGGCGGTAGAGAGAAGTGGGGTGGGGGGGGGGCACCTCAGACCGAATGGTGCAGCGTTGCGCAAGCGGCACGGCTCACAAGCGCTCCAGGTCTGCATTGTGATTGACCTTGGGCCGCCCGAAACGGTCCTTCATTCGGAATGCGGTGATGTAGGCGCCGCCGGTCCTATCACTCTCATTGGCGCGGTGCCAGACTCGCCGAACGGTAAACACCGTGATGGGGAACATGGCGGCGACTTAGACGAATGCTCCTTTCTTCGGGAAACCGATCGATGAGAGTGCCAGCACGGCGGCGACGGCCTTGGCATGCGCGGTGTCGGAAATGTTCGTCTTGTCTTGGGGGTGGTCGTGGCGAGGTTATGGGGGCAAGTAGTTGGTGTTGAGAGGTTGCGTGGACGATCGAAAATATCGAGTGATTGACTTGCGGCAGTTATTGAGCGGGGAGCGTGCCGGAAGGGCGACATAGTCGCCAGATTGGCAATCCAGACCATTCATTTTGCCGTCGTCGCTCAGCAACATGGAGCTGTCAAGTCGCAAGCACACCAATGAAAAGAGCTCGCTTAGGAACCTCGTCTTTAACCAATAATATTTCGATCGACGTAGTTTTGACGGATCCTAGTACGAGCACGTCCATAGTAAGCTATAACTACGGAACGGAGTGGTATGTGTTTAGATCTGTACACTGTATGTAGACTATCTGTGCTTAGATACGCTCCCCGTCCGCTTATTTACTACTGGTATGCGTTTTGGACCACGTATCAAGGAATCCAACTGTTCGTCGTTTTTGCGAACAGAATTCCGTAGTAGGAACCATCACACACGCAAGGACAACCATTTTATATACTAGTAGTGTAGCATCTCAATCGCGTTCCTCAGTTTAGTTGCTTAGGGGCCGACATCCCGCGGGGAAACTCCACTGCAAACCGACGTCCCCGCTCTCCAAATGGATCTAATGAAGCTGTCGATTAATTGGGTCTAAGCCATCACGGCCAGGCCAGTGCAGCTTCCCTTCCGAGATCACACCTTCAACAAGGAACACTATTATCATTGAACGGCATCACGAAGCCGTCATTACATGTGAGAAGTGCATTGCAAGCTTTACATCCTGGGGGTTGCACCCCCAGACCCCCGCAATAGAAAACTAACTCCGCGTTGGGGCAACGGGCCCGTTCGCTAGAATGCTCGTCGCTGGGGCTGCCTACGCAAATACCGCGTGTCGCTGCTTCACGGGTACCCCGCGCGGGTTTGGTGCGGCTATGCTCCTTACAACCGCTTCTAGTGCTGATTGTTCTCGAGCAGCTCTTCGCTGGTAGGCACATACTTGAAGCAAGAGTCTGCCTATTCTTATTTTCTTAAATAAATTGTAGGAGACTGAGTCTGATGCTCCTGTATATAAGCTTGCTGACCGTGTTCCCTCCGATCTAAATCAGGGTACGAACGTATGCGACGAAGCGTTTAGTCACACCATCAGAGCCGATAAAATGTAGCCTTTTAGCTAAAGCCGCACCCATCGTCCCTTTGCTGAGCCAGATTAGCATTTATGTTTGGAAAGTGCCCTCTAAATCCTGTACCTCCGATTTAATCACATATGGCCACTAAAATCCGCATCTTTATGCAGTGAAATATCAAATCCTATCCATGTCACAATTCTAAAATGTCAGTAAACACAGGAATTTTTTGGTCAAAACTGGTCCTTGGCGACTCAATCACAATGCCAGCCCTAACCCGTTCCTTCTAAACTAATATCAGGTAAGTAAATGAGGGTATGGACCTTTGTAAATGCTAAGTAAAAGTAAGTGCATCAATGTAAGGGGGACTTCGTCGCAAATTAAGAAGATAATGTTGTCAGATTTGCGTTTATTGGACATATACATCAGTAAGTTTGCATGAGGAAGAAAAATCATATTAACGTACTCACCCGAACATAAGATCCCTCCTGAACAGAACTCCGTTGCAAGCAATACCTGTATTTAGCGGATGATATATCTGAGAATTACAAGCGTGTAGGCCCGCACTATAAAACAAGGTTGCTGCGCTTTGGCTGGGAGGCCATTTTTCTACTTAGTAATTTTTATCCTGGAAGATAGTTTACATTAAAGATGTTTAAATGCAGTCCTCTCACAGGGCCCCTCTGTGATGCCACGGTCACCCAGACGAGCTACTACCGTGATGACACGTACACCATGTTTCACCACCACGCGACGGTCTCTGGGTTAACGCCTCACACCAAGTGCTTCTACAAGGTCGGAAGTAAGGCAAACCCGAAGTTTACCAGCGACGTGTATTTATTCGTGACGGCACGCGCTGCAGCAGACAACAGTACGTTCAGCATGGTGGTGTACGGCGACTTCGGCCCTGGCGACCAATCAAGGAACACTATCGCCTACGTGAACTCCTGGTCTTCGGACAAGGTCGATCTCATCTACCACATTGGTGATGTCGGCTACGCTGACGACGACTTCCTCATGCCTGGCCAAGCGACCGGATTCTACTACGAGAAGGTGTACGTACAACAAGTGGATGAACTCGTTGACTCCTGTCATGAGCTCGCTGCCCTACTTGGTTCTCGTGGGGAACCACGAGGCCGAGTGCCACTCGCCAGCGTGTCAAGTGTCGCCCACCAAGGCCAGGGCGTTGGGGAACTACACGGCGTACAACGCGCGCTTCAAAATGCCCTCGAGAGAGACCGGCGGTGATCTCAACATGTGGTACTCGTTCGAGCCCGACCCGATCCACTTCACGTCGATCTCGGCCGAGACCGACTACCCCGGCGCGCCGCCGAATAAAATCACGCTGTTCACTCACAACGGCAACTTCGGCAACCAGTTGGCGTGGCCGGAGGCTGACTTGAAGAAGGCGGCGGCGAACCGTGCCAAGGTCCCTTGGATCATCGTTGCCATGCACCGCCCTATCTACGACTCGTCGAACGCCAATAACGGGGTCCCGGTAGAACAGGCAGCTCACATTCAGGCGGCCTTTGAGGCGCTCTTCATCAAGTACAAGGTCGACGTGGTGCTCACGGCTCATGAGCACTGCTACCAGCGCCTCACGCCCATCCGCAATAACCAGCCTGTGCTTGATGGTGTGTCGAGCGACCGCAAGACGTACAACAACCCCAAGCTCCTGTTTAAATTCTGTCCGGTGCGGGCAGAGGCATCGATGGCCACGACATCAAAACCAGCAACACCGCCTAGTGGAATGTGTTCTCGAACTACGTTGACTACGGTGTGTCGACGCTGGAGGCGAACCGATCTATGCTGTCATGGAAGTTTGTGAGCACTGCCAACCAAGCGGTGCTGGACCAGTTTGTCCTGCGGAAGAACGCTTCTTTGGGAAGTGCCCACTAGAACTGCGATCTAGAGACCGTCGATCACCATCGGGTCGTTTTGAATAGAGAATGGAGCGAACTTGACGAGTTAGGTCAACACAATACAAGGAAACGTTTCCCAGAATTAACACATGCATCGCATTAGGAACTCCTTCAGTGTGGATCGCATAAAAATCTGGACGTTACTGGTACTGTATGGGACTGTGAAATACGGCCTGCTCCAACAACATCTCTACGAAGTACAGTACTTGTATTATATATTAAAACGCAGCACCAGTTTGCTCCTAGTTCACGAGGCTACGGCCAGCCACTATGTATACGACATCCCTGCATTATTTTAGCAGTCCCTTAATCTAGTCGTCTCTATAATATTTGTACTGTAGTGTTGTAGACACACGGAATTGAGATAGAATACGAATGCTCAAGAAACCTCCTCGGACGTGTTGACGGCGATGTGCGGCTGGCACAAGGAAGGACTTTGCAGCATGGGAGACTGGTGACCTCTCATGTGTCCAAACATACCAAGAACCACAAGAAAATTGGCATCAAGCCACCCGAAACCCAGAATTCGGCACAAAGCCATCATAAATCCGGCATCAAGCCCCCAAGAACTGCGCCCGCGGCCAAGAAGGCACTGCCTATAATCGAGGTCTCTATAGTTAGCAATTAACGTAAATAGAGGATCTCTTCACCACCGGTAAAAAATGTTCAAGACACCGTATATTTGTTTCGTTGAAGAAGTCGACTCACCGAGTGCAACAATCGGTGTTAAAGAGTTCAGCGCATGCATGGATCGTAGAGTATTCAAGTTTGCCTTGATACCCAGGATCAGCGCTACTGATACAAAATACAAAACTGTCGTGTTGCAATTGTGCGGTGCATGCTTCTCCTGAACACGTACAGACATCATAGCACATGAGCATGAGCTAATGGTGGTCGAGAACGCACAGAGCCGAGTGAATTTGTCGCGATCGACAACTACGTACCGGTAAACATGGAGCCATAGGGCAAGATTATGCAGTGTGTAACATCCCAAAGTCAATCCCTGCTGCTCCCGCTCGTCTTAATTTACGCAGGCTCTTGCTGCTGATACCGCAAAAAACCACCCCCAATGCAAATCGTGTTTTTTTATCATGGCCATACTTTGGCCCAGTTTGGCAGCTGGGCGGGGACGGAGTCACCCACGCAAAATTCCCAAAGTTCCACGAGTGCTCTAGGAAGTGGAACGGCCTGAAGGCTGCACGAAATATCATTAAGTGAAGTTGGCCTCGTTGGAAAGCTAAAGAGCAAGGCTAGCTCTCCGATGAGCCCAGACTTGCCTATAGCTAAGGGGGCCCCAGGTTCGGTAAGGGGGAATTTGTGAAATCCTGGAAATCGCTTTCACCTGCCCCCTCCTCCGGCTTGTAACCCTAACCCGCATTGAGACACATAGATAACCATACAACTCACACAGTTCGTGACACCGCAAAACACACTTAGCGCTACAGTCTTGCGGTATCTGCAGAACTTCTCATTTACGCAGGTGTTATCGAAGATAACGCCCTGTCACCACCGCATTTCATGCATTCCTGTAATCACGACTTGTCGATGAAGATTATTCAAATAAGAACAACAAAAGTACATGTATCTACTTTTCCGACGTAGCGCGCGGTAAGCACAGTGCATTGGTGTTGGTGCAAGCTGCACGTGTAGGTTGGATTTGTATTGGGGTTGTTTGCTGTTTGTTTACTAGAATCCTGTGCTGCTCTCACACCGCCTCTCTTTTAGTTCTTGGCTATGCCTCGTAGCAGACGAGTAACTGGACAGTTTAGAATTAACCAGAAGCTCCACAGCTGGAACAATGCTGAAGGTGATCGTTCTTGGTTCTTGCCACGCGCTCTGCTCACGCAGCGGTGACTATTAACAACACCGAGTGCTCCTGGGTGTCGCCTACTTGCCTCCTCACAGCGCTGTGCGAGTCCACGGGCGATGCCGCCCAACCGTGCCGGATCAAGGACAACGTCGACTACTACCCCCACCAGCTGCACTTCGCCTACGCCGGTGCCTCTGCTGGAACCGCTATGACGTTGTCTTGGTCAACCTACGCAGAGGTTCAAGACAGCTCGGTCTGGATCGGAAACTCCGAGGGGTCCCTGGAGCTTGTCGACACCCCCGTCACTCAGACAAGTTACTACCACGACGAAACGTACAACATGTTCCACCATCACGCCACTGTGTCGGGTTTGACACCGCGCACCAAGTACTTCTACAAGGTCGGAAGCAAGGCCAACGCGACGTATACGACTGAGGTGCACTCTTTCTTTCACCACGGCACGAGCCGCGTCCGACGACAGCACGTTCAACGTGGTCATCTACGGAGACTTCGGCGTCGGCAACGAGTCCAAGGAGACCCTCGCGTACGTGAGCACGCTCAACCCGGAAGAGGTGGATCTGATCTACCACATCGGTGACATCGGCTACGCTGACGACGCGTGGCTCATGCCGGGACAGCTCGATGGTTTCTTCTACGAGAAGGTCTACAACGACTGGATGAACTCGATGACCCCAGTCATGAGCTCCATCCCGTACATGGTGTTGGTCGGCAACCACGAAGCGGAATGCCACTCCCCTGCGTGTGCCGCCTCAGCCGATAGGATGATCATGCTGCGCAACTACACCGCGTACAACTCGCGCTTCCAGATGCCGTCCAAGGAGGTCGGCGGCACGCTCAACACATGTGGTACTCGTTCGAGCACGGGCCGATTCACATTACCTCTCTGTCGTCGGAGACGGACTACAAGGGCGAGCCGAGCAACGAGTTTGCCGACCCTCCTCGTAATGGCAACTTCGGTGACCAGTTGGCCTGGGTGGAGGCGGATCTGAAGAAGGCGGACGCTAACCGCGCCAACGTCCCATGGATCATCGTCGGCATGCATCATCCGGTGGAAGGACTCGACCCGTTCCCCGACCGCAACAATGCTACGTGTGTAGTGTTGCTTGTGCTGAAGACAGGAAATTGCAGAATGAATTGAATCGTAAGTCCTAAGCTCCGCTATCACTAGCGACCTACGTCTTGTGAAGATCAGTAACATGCATTCATGAAGAGGGACAGCAGGCTGGAAACCGCCGGTGACGCGGACCGCGTAATCTGTCATTCTCTTGCTCTGCGTCGCGCACGTCGCCGCGATCACTGCTATCCTCGTGCTGCCGCGCTTGGCCTCCGTGTGATTGGTAAGTACGCGTGCTGACCGACACGCTCGCAATCCTCCCGTAGCTCCGGTACTCGTTGACGCCCCGCGTGGACTCGTACTCGAGCGCTTCATTGGCGTAGAAGCCGGTTGACGCTCTTGGTGTCGACGAACACTACAACGTGGAACGCGGCATCCAACTACGTCGATTACGGCATCTCGACTCTGGAGGCAAACCGCACCATGCTGTCGTGAAAGTTCCTGAACAGCTCCAACCAGGCGGTGCTGGACGAGTTTGTCATGTGGAAGACCGCTCCGACCGGTTGCAACGAGCCGTACTAAGGCCAAGCCTAAGGTTCATCAACGAGCTTGACGTTATGCAGCCAGTGACTTCGAAGGTGGCGAAGTGATCACGTTGTCATGCACGCTTTCAACCCTTAAGCATGATCAAAAGATCAATACAGGCTGCAGAAGAGTAAATCCAAACATTCCTACAGATTAGTCCAGTCTGGGTTCCAGACAGACCATCATACTAGTAGTACTACTAATTTACGCTTTTATATCGGGCGTTCTTGGGTAATTGAAAAGCTGACTTCTAGGGTAACCTACAGTTGGGGTCGTATACGGTACAGATCTGATATTGGATCTGATGAGCTAAAAGGTGTTCTGGGGGTTGCACCCCCAGACCCCCGCAAAAAGAAAACTAACTCCGAGTTGCGGCAACGGGTCCGCTCGCTGGAATGCTCGTCGCTGGGCCCGCCTCCGCAAATACCGTGCGGCCCTGCTTCGCGGGCACCCTGCGCGGGTTTGCTATGGCTACGCTCCTCACAACCGCTCACTGCCGAAACATATGTTTTCCAATACAAAAATTAGTATTAAACACCGATCCATTCTCTGATCTCTGATCTGTACCCTGTATGATCCCAACCGGGTTTTACCACTTCAAGTTTGGCATTAGAACCTAAAATCTGGCACAAATTCATGCTGGGTTCAAAGTTGCGTCCAGAGCTTGCCAGAGCTTGCCGTATTTTGCGTCGCTCGAAAAGCATGAACGTCTTTACGTCTGCCAGAAACAGAAGACTTGACGAGGGGCGAGGCTGGCTGCATAAGCAAAACTTCGTGACAAGATGTGTTGATCCAGATTCCATCTCGAGCATCGGTATCCGAGCTTGAAGTGCTCCTTCCTCTTGTAGCTGCTAGCCTCGAGAAAGGGTCGCTGATCCAACACCACACTGAGAAACGCGACATTTATTTCCGTGCCGAGCCCCAGGTTGATCAGCGTGTTGTTGCAACTCCAAAATCGCTCTCGGTAGTTTCGGTGCTCCGACGGCACCTTCACTTCAAAGTACTGAATGAACTCATTCGTATCGACAAGGAGTAGCAGTGCGTCCAGAAAACGAATAACCTGTTGGCCGGAATAGAGAATACGACGACTCTCATCACGCGCGGTTAGATCGATCTTCAAACGCCGGACGTACTTCGTAAGAGGGTTGTCCAAGTCTCTCAGAGTTGCTGCGAGTGTTTCGACATTTCCCCAAAACTGCGGCATCGTAGGAAGCGGCAGATTTCGAGCCCGATACTGGCAAAAGTGTAGCTGCATCTCCACCGCGCCCCGTTTGAGGTTCAACTTGTGCAGATTCGGGCAGCATCGCATGACCACACTGACATCCGTTGTTTGTCCGGGATTCTCGATAGCCAAGACCAAAAGCGACGAACCAATCGCCGCTAGGAAACGTAAGAAGCCATCCTCGACTGCCTCTTCAGTCAATCTGAGCGCTAGCACCGTCAAGGCAAGAGGGGATCGTTTAATGGCTCACGCTGGTTGAAACACCAAGTCACAGCGCCGAGTCACGCAAGTACCAAATCCAGGTACCATGACACACACAACCGCGCTCTCGCCGTTGTCACGGAATGTGCGCACCACAAAACAGCTTAATTCAACTCTCAGACAGCGAATCGGCTTCTGCTGCAGGTCGTATCAAAGTTGAGCGCCAGGCTTCAATCTTGCATCTCGCCCCTCCACCGAACCTCTCGTAGATCCATACAGGGCCTCCTTTGCTCAGTCGCAATGGAACATCGCCAGAAATGCCTCCACATCCGGAATACTAACCTGTTGATACCATTAATTTCCAGCGACTGAAGCGACGAGTGTGCTCGAGCTCGCTTCGAAAAGCACCCGTAGGCAACCCATTTCCACCAAAACTGCGTCTTTTCCAGTTCATCATAGGACATTCATCCACAGTATCAGCCTCTGCGTAGTCTGATTCCGCACCAATGCCGAAAAAATCACCTCAGTCCTGCGCGTCGTATGCGTCTTTCCTGTGTAAGACTAGCGTACCCAGCTGCGAATGGCTTGCTTCGTCGCTTTTCAGTAGGTACCCAGCATTTGCTGCAGCCGGAACTCGCCCCGTTCCATGAAACACAGCCATCATCAACCTGCGGAAGGACGCGAGAGCCTCTCTTGCACCATATTTGTGGCAAATCGCAGTATTTAGCGACAGCAGCGAGAACCAGATTCCGTTCTGTAGGAGCCACTCCGTCGTTCGAGTGGCTTGGACAACATTGCTAACGTCTTGAATGTTTGCCGCCATCGGCTCCATCACAAAGGTGCATCTCAGCACACCAGGAGCCACCCTGTCGTAACCTGGAGCTTGAGTGTAGTGCTCCCAGCTCTCACAAATATCCCTCTCTGCGCGTTGAATATCTTCCAGTCCTCGCTGCAGTACCTGTTCATAAGCAGTCGAAGGAAACAGCACTCTGTCTCCGACGATGTACCCCACCTTAACAGAAACTGTAATCTCGATTCCAGGCTCGTCCGGCTTTAAGTACTCGCAATAAGCTGTAATTTGCCCCATGGCCTCAGCATACGCTTCACATGGCTGGCCAGGCCCCAAGAGCGTGACCATATCGCTCCCCGCCTTTTCTTCCAGCAGGAACACGAAGTGACCAGGTAAATACTGCGGCAAGGATTCCTCTCCGCTTCTTCTCCACCAATTGACGTGGCAGTGGCTGTTCAGCAAATACTTCCACCGTCGTGGTCCACATGGGCGACGGCTGCCAGAAGGCCCAACGCCTCTCGGATATGAGCGATCTCGCGCTGGTACGCCGGCTCGTCATGGTTCGCGCTCGTTGGGAAGTGAACCTCGAGGTGGGGCGTCCAGGACTCGTACGCGTCGCCGTCGTCCTTTCACAGCTGAACCCAACGTAGCTCAGTTGAAGGACTCCGCACCAAGGAGCTAGAAAGCCCCAGCGCTCCTCCATGTCAACGTCCGAGTGACCCCAACGTGTTGCTTTCTGGAATGACGCGCGTTGTGCAGTGTCGGTCGATTGTTGTGCAGCTAGGCATACAAAACAGAAGGGGGATTTTATAAGGCGAGGCCGATGAAACCTTTGTCGCCCAGGGGGGGTCGTATAGCGCAGCCCAAGACTGTTCCCCAGGATTAGACCCAGAGAATCGACTTGAGAGTCAACAGCAAGAAGATAGACCCAGAGATTCGCAGCCGCAAAGCTTTAAACCCTGAGAATCACACTCCTTGGTTGGCGTGGGTACCTTGTGTAATCCCTGTCGGCTCGTTTGTCTTCGACGGAACGGCACTCCACCGGTTGAAAATGTAGCTTCGAAGAAGTGCGGGAGCGCACGTCTACTTCAGAACGCACCTCCACACCAAAAGGCAAACCCAGAGAATCAGATCCCCTGAAACCCAGAATATCACGAATTCAGGGTCCAGGATTTCAGTCAACTCTGGGACTTGGAACTCAGAAGACACCTTACCCAAATGCCCTCCTAGCTCGATAAAACCAACAAATACAGAGTATACAAACACTACAACTAGCCGTCACTTATTCTTTTGGACCCTTGGACGGTGGGTCACACACACACTAGGCACACTCGAGTCTGAAATTCAGGGGCCTAGCTCCCCTGAGACTCACACAAACGCGCACCACCTCCAATAAAGGAGGAAAATACAATACTATCAGTTACCTTCCCTACACACAAGCAGTCAATACAAAATCCTGGATGCGACTACCTAGCACCCCCAGAATACCCTCTGGAATAATATGAAATGGGCTACCACGAGCACAGCAAGTGACCCAACTAGGATATGGAATAGATGGATCACTCCAGGAAGCTCAAGGCCGTCGCTGGTCCCCACCTAACTGGACTTGAGTTGATGGAGTCCACACAGACGGCTGTCCTTCGCCGTTGATGTGCCCTTAGCGTCCCGCGGTCGTAGTCTCGGGTCCTCCGGATTTCCGTCGGCAGGCTTGGCCGAAGTCACTTGCGCAGTACAGGGAAAATTGAACTCTGTTTGGTTTTTATCAGCTACTTCTCTCTCTCTCTTCTTCGGGCAAATATCTTCTGTTCACTATGCTTGGGGTCAAAATATCTTGTCTTGAGTATACCTTGGGATCAGCGGTCCAATCTTGCGATCGGCTTGCGAATCCATTGTCGCACGGCGTCGAAAGTGCCAATTGTGGGTCCTTAGACTTGGTTTAGTATGGTGCAGGACTCCCTCTCGACTCCTCGAAAGTATCCAGTCTTTGCATCCACAACGGTTCTTCAAGGTCACGCATCACTTTGATTGCAGACTGACTGCGAACTGACTCGAGCCCCTGAGAATCAGGTGACACTCAGGGTCATCTTCTGAAATCCTGGGAATTCTGAGGAATCTTGGGGAACTGTAGGGATTTTTGGGTGTTGGCTTGGGAAACACTTAACTTCAGTATAGAGAGTCTGGATTTATGGTCCAAACCCAGAGAATCATCTTTGGAACTCTGGGTCACCTGTACTCAGGGAGGTGAACTCTGCGTCATCGTGTGGCACTCTGGGTTTCCGTGCAGCACTCTGGGTAACAAGTCTGCTGCATTGCAGGCTCGTGTGTATCTCCACAAAGCCACACTTTTAGCGGGTTTAGCGGTCTCCTGCGCATGATCATGGTAATAGTGGGTTGATTCTCAGGGTAATTTGATCCTCTGGGGCACTCTGAGCCACAGCAAGATGAGGTGTACTCTGGGATACATTCTCCAGAGACACTTTCCGCCAGACTTTAGGCACTCATCGTAAGGGAAAGTCCGCGGCTGGACTGAGTGTTCTCTGAAATTCTGGGCGTGCACTCCCAGGATTCACACTTCCAGCCAGTTGGGCCCATCTGCAGTCAGAGGCTGGATTCATCCCGAGAAATCGCTTCTCTCCCACAGTCGCCATCCATGTCACACGGGTACAGCCGCGCCGTATCCAAGTCATCCACCAATCAGCATCCGATACAAACTCCAAGTCACAGAGGTGACGGCACATCGTCGGCAATTTTCTGGTGACCGCCTCGTGTCATTTATCATCAACAGAATGATGGTCCAACTTCAACTTGGAAATGAATCATTACGAAATATGTATCCCCGTAACTTTGTTAAATTCCCATGAACTCTCAAGCGTGCTGTACATCAGCAAGCTACAGTGGCTAGAATAACTCTTAGTGCTCTTCTTGGACGCCATACCACTCCTAATCATAGAAACTTTGCGCAGAATGGGAGGGGCAGCAAACGAAAAAATATTCGCCAGCACAAACTTGTAAAAGTCCAGAACCAAACGACTGGCTGTGTCAACCCCCGTTCTCGGGATCTAATTGCAGCACCATGTAAAGCTCGTTGATATTCAACGACACTCAGCAGCGCAATATTATCGAAAGCGGTTCGGCTTGTCTACAGATCGGTTTATTGTGAAACCCCAAAACTTGCGAGGCAAGTTTCGAATGAGGTGCCCGCACCTTCAGGCGCTCGTCCATCTTTAACATCCGCACAATCGCAGCTATCTTGGCCGCAAAGCTCGATGCATCCATAGCTTCTAAACTAGCGTTAGCATTCAACGATATACGAACACGTCGAGCAAAAATCGCGAGTGGATTTGCTGGCTCACTCAGATCGTGCTAGCTGTGCCACATTATACCAGGGCAATGTCAGCTCGGGAATAGGCAGCATGCGTGCGAGGAAGTCACTAAAATGAAGCTCCACTTCGACAAGCTCCCTTACGATGGTCAGATTCTGCAAGTACGGGCAAAATCGAATGATCGCGTTCTCGTCAATTTCATAGATCAAGCCTCGCCGAGGAGGGCTGAGCGTGAGCTGTTTTAACGAAGCTCCAATGGTCTTGATAAATGGGAGTAAGCCGTCCATTTCATCAGCGTCAAGACAAAAAATAAAGTCGAGAGTAAGAGCCAGCAAAGGACAAGAACCTTGCGCGAACCCGACATCATTTTCGATTTCCAAGTCGCAGCGCTGAACTTGGCAATCTCCAATTCCCGGAACAAGCACATTTACCCATTCACTTGACCCATCGTCGCTGATAGTCCGAACAAAGGGTATTGAGGAGGTATGGATCAAGACAGGAGAATTCATATCCGGTTGGCCTTCTCATCAACGGCCCATTGAGTTGGAGCGCCGTCAATCAAAGTCGCGTCTCGCTCAACTAGACAACCACGTGGACTGCGCAATAGCTCCTCTTCAGGATGTTCTAATAGTAAAATGGATGCAAAATCGTTTGCATCTTGACACACCAATGTTTCAATCGAAGAGCTAGTTCGGGCTCGTTTCGAGAACAGTGCATAAGCCACCAGTGGCTTCTACCAGTATCCATCATGAGCTCCATGGAGAAAACAAGTTTGGTTGTTGAATGGGCAAGCACTAAAGCCGAACGCATCGCCTTAAAGGCGCGTTTCTGCATCGATTTGTTACACCTCAGTTCCAGCGTACCAAACTGAGGTGGTCCATTTCTTCCGGTAAGAAGAGTGGTAGGTGGTGTTTGGCGGGCCGTGGGGACAACGAGAAGTATCACAAATACACCTCAACCGTTGTCAGGTAGCTTCCACAGAAGCATATGCATCCTCCAGATCCATGCCTAGATTTTCAGCAAATTGAGTGAAGCACACGCCAGCGAATACCAAGTTCTCGACTGCGTTTACCAACTCCAAGGTCATGTCAGCATAGCGAATGCCCACAACCATCGGCTCCGGCACAAATCGGAATGTAACGACTTGATTGGCTTCGTTTTCTTTGGGAACGTAGTTTGACCAGCGCGTTTCAATCTCCCGTTCAGCCTCTTTAATGACCAAAAGTGCTTCAACGTAATCGTTAGCGGAACCACCTAAATCCACAAAATGAACCCTCAAAGGGATCGTGATGGCTACGCCAGAATGGCCTAAACTTTCTGTGAGAATCGCTGTGATCTCGTTGAGAGCCTTCGTAAACTTTTCGCTGCGTTCTAGATGTTGCGGCCTGCATAGCCGAACCCGATCGTGCTCCATGGTACCATCTTCATTTGCACCAACTCTGTCTTTCCCAGATCAAACTTTGTTTGAACGACAGCAGCAAATAGTTCCTCTCCCCAGCCTGACTCCACAGTGATCGGATACGAGATGCTGGTATGCTGGGTAGTCGATATGCGCCACTGCTGCCAATAACATAAGCCCTCTTGTAGATCTTGGAGTTCCTTACGAAAAACAGTTTCATCGTTCTTCATTCGCGTGCTGTGGTCTGAGCGGCTCGGTAGACTCACGTGGAGAACTTGTCATCGACGCACTCTACCACGTCATGGATACAGGGCTTCAGTACCTGACACCACGGAAACAGAAAGCCCCAGCGCTCCTTCATCGCCGCGGCCGCGCGATCTGCCCTTTCAGCCATAAAGGGCGTGGTGTGGGAAAATGGTCAAGTAAACTAAGTAAAAATAAACACAGCGGGGTAAAAATTACGTCGTTTGAAGAAAAACGTTATGAATGCATACGCTTCGTTGTTATTTCACGTCTGTGTTTGGCTTTCCAAACTCTACATCTAAGTTATTCAGATCCCGACTCATCTGAGCAGCGGAGGCTACAAGAATTCAGACACATGTATCCGAATAAATGGGAGCCTAACAGGGTGCATGTAATGTGCAGGCGATTGACAGAGTCCAGCTGCCACACCAATCGGATAGAGTTCGGGATGTAATCGAAGGATTTCTCTACAGTATGGACGCGGGTTCATTATCATACATGTGGTGGCAAGGTGCGCAGCCTTCCACCCACTTCAAGTGATCGAAACGATGGTTTGACGTTTACGTACCTGGTCGCGTCATCTTACGATAAGAGCGTGTTACCGGCCGACGCAGTTGAAGCCACCGTTTCCAGCGCTATGCAAGCCAGAAGGCAGCTCCGATCACGGGACGCAGTCCAACGCATATTAAAACCGAAGCCATGCCATCCGTTGCGACGCTTCCAAACCAGGATCATTTTCGTTTTCCCCAGCCAAGCCACAAGTACAACAAGCCATGGGAGGAGCCTGGGAGATGGATCAAGTCGCCACTGTGCGCGTGAAAGTCCCCGAGAACGGCAAGCCCGACCTCGCCTCACGTGAGCCAACGACACTGATCGAGACATTCGCGACCACAGTGGCCAAGGCGGCCAACAGCAGGGCCTTCAGCATCAAGAAAGATGGCGAGTGGGTCACACACACGTGGCAGCAGTACTACGACGCTAGCAAGCAATTCGCTCGGGCGCTCATCCACGTCGGCGTGCAGCCCCACGAAGCTGTCAATGGGCTCGGCAACAACTGCCCCAAGTGGCTCTTCGCCTACATGGGCACCGTCCTGGCTGGTGCGGTGATCGCCGGCATCTACGGCACGAGCAACGCTGAAGCGTGTCAATACGTCTCGGCTCACTGCGAGACCAAGGTGGTGGTGGTGTCTTACAAGGAGCAACTGACCAAGTACTTGTCCGTGCTGGACCAACTGCCGAAGCTGAAGGCTCTGGTCGTGTGGAACGAAATCGACGTACCCCAAGAGACCAACCACAGTGTTCCAGTTAACTGTCACACAAGTCGATGCGAAGACCCGAAGCTTGATGAGCGCAGTGGCGAGCGCTCGAAGAACACTTGAGAGGAAGTTGGAAAGTTGAAAAGTGATTGATTGATCCGTTAGTTTAGCGTCGGCGCGCCGCCGCCGCGCAACCAGTAGTTCTTGGCGACCAGGACACGCAAACAAGTATCCAGGTCCCATCCTAAAGTCTATCAATCTCAAATCCTAGATCAATCCTTATCTACCAATGAAAAACTACTAATCCTATTCGTAGCTTGGTCAAAATTTGTGACTTGCGTCCCATAATCAAAAGTCCGGCTGGAAAACTTGATTGTTGCACATCTCAAGGATTTACAGCCAATGAGGTCGCGCGAATGTCCATCTTTACGCGTCCCATAATCAAGTTTACTTTTGACACCAGCCAATAGAATAGCATATAATGAATATAAACCACTGTCCAGCGTAAACTGAAGTCCTGTGCAGCAGCACTTGACGTGGGAGTCCTCTGCCATCTCATTGGCAGACGGACGTCCACGTCACATCTACGCGTTCAGCGAGTTCCTCAAGCTGGGTGATCAAGTGGAGGCGAGTGTGTTGGACGAGCGTATGGCGGCTCAGCAGCCTGGACACTGCTGTTCACTCGTTTACACTTCTGGTACGACGGGACCACCGAAGGCTGCCATGATCTCTCACGACAACCTTACGTGGATCACAGCCGCTGCCTTGAACGCTCATCCCGAAGCTCGAGAAGCAAAGCGAAGTGTGAGTTTCTTGCCGCTCTCTCACAGTGCAGCACAGCTTCTCGACATCCACGTTCCTCTGAGTATCGGCTCCGAGGTGTATTTCGCTGGCCCCAATGCACTCCGCGGCGGTCTATTGGCCACGCTCCAGGAAGTTCGGCCTCATTACTTCTGCGGCGTTCCTCGCGTCTGGGAGAAGATGATGGACGCACTCAAGGACAAACTCGGAGCTGCCCCGGACGGGATCAAAAAGTCCTTGTTGGAGTGGGCCACGGGCACGAGTGTCACATACTTGGACCAAACTCAATACGGGTCGACCCCGACCGGCTTTGGTCTACGATACTCAATCACTGACTATCTCGTGCTCAGCAAGATTCGGTACGCCCTCGGACTCGATGAATGCACCACCTTCCTCACAGGCGCCGCGCCGACTTCGCTCGAGGTCATGCGTTTCTTCCAGTCGCTGAACATCCAGCTGTACGAGCTCTACGGGCAGACAGAATCGACAGGACCACTCACCTTCAGTATGCCCGGCACGTGGAAGCTGGGCAGTGTCGGGCCTCCGCTCGAGGGAACCCAAGCTCGAATCGACCCAGCCACTGGTGAAATCAAGTACACCGGTCGTCACGTCTTCATGGGCTACCTGCACGACGAAGAAGCCACTAAGAAAACTGTTGACGAAGACGGTTGGCTGTCTCGGGGGACATCGGCGAACTCGACCAGGACGGGTACCTATCCATCACTGGGCGCCTCAATGAGCTCATCATCACTTCGGGTGGTGAGAACATCCCGCCCGTGCTGATCGAGAACGAGATCAAAGCCGAACTGCCAGCTCTAGCCAACGTCATGGTCATCGGAGAGAAGCGCAAGTACCTCACCTTCCTCTGCTCGCTGCGCGTGGAGCCTGACGCTGTTACAGGAGCACCGACCGACAAGCTGGACAAGGTGGCGTTGGCTGTGGCGAAGGAGATCGGCAGCGAAGCCACCACCGTCGCCGAAGCTCAAGTCTGCGAGAAGTTCCGACAGTACATCACCGAAGGAATGGCGCGAGCCAACACCCGAGCCGCGTCTCGCGCCCAGCACGTGCAGAAATTCTTCATCATCCCACGCGACTTCTCCATCGGCGGCAATCAGCTCACGCCCACGATGAAGGTGAAGCGCTCGGTCGTCGAGGAGACGTACCAGCAGGATATCGAGAAGATGTATTCATCGTGAATATATACATAAACATTGGTATTTTTGTTTGATGGACTGGTATGGTACTTAGAGGTCCGTCCTGACGCCGGCTGAGTGGGTCACCTCTGTCGCCTTGAAGAACGGAGTGTGCAGCGCCACAGGCACCGCTTCGATTACCGACGGCGGGCTCCGAGGGTCCGTTCGACGCCAGTAGTTGTCCTGCTCCATGTGTTCTCCTCGCTCCACGTCGCGCTCGTGGCGCCGCAGCAGCGCATCGCGCATCGCTCCGCGGTATCCGCGCCAGGCCCAGTAGCCATAGCCGACGACCATGAGCATCGCCAGCACGATGAGGCAGTAGACAGCGATGTACACGCCGCTTGACCCCATGGATGTCGTTGTCTTTTTGAAGAATTGTTGAAGAAAAAAGACGAGAAATGGAGAAAATGAGACGCAGCGTATCTTTGATACATGAATGGTTTAGTCAGGATATCAGAGTATAAAAGTAATTTTGAAATGATTTTCAAATCGGATCACTCGACATCCACAGGTAATAAAGGTGTGAGAGCTGGCGAATCACTGATTGACAAAAGCTGACAACTTCAACAGGTATCATCAGTTGAGATTTTGGCGAGCCAAGGCAAGCAAGTACTGTGAGGTGTCACTGATGGCATGGACGGTGGACGAGATCTTGCGGCTGGTCGGCGCGTGGGAAGAGAGCCTCAAGGCTCCTGCTCCTAGAACCGGCGGCGGGAAGGCGAAGAAGGGGAAGGAAATGAGCGTCTCGGACCTGAACAAGCTCATCTACCGGAAGTTCGGGGCGCTTTCTGGAGGCTCCTGCAACCGCAGCATCCAGACAGTCGTGGCCAGGAAGGACCTGCTGGAGCACTCGTACGACTTCATCCGGGATTTCCTGGACAGCCAAAGGGATCAGCACGGCGACGTGGACTGGTTCTCCCTGTCCACGAGTGAGCAACGGGCGCTGATGAAGACGGCGGGGGGCACGCGCGTGGGGCCGATGGAAAAGCGAGTGTTCTGGGCTATTGACAAGTTCCTGCCTGAAGAGGACGAGGGCGAGGCGGAGTCCGTGAGCTCTGAGGCGACTGTGACCGACGGATACACCAGCGACGGCGACCAGTACCAGGAGACGATGGCTTTGAAGAAGAAGAAAAAGCCCGCGCCAACCAAGAAGACATCAAAGAAGAAGGCCGCAACTACGCCTGGGGGCCCAGCGAAAGCGAGAAGCAGTAAAGTTCGCGGCAAAAGTGCGCTGGAGGAGGAGACTGGGGAACTGAAGGAAGAAGCGACGCCAAAGCGTCGACGAGTGACATCGCCCAAGGCGTCTCCACCCTCCGTGAAGGAGCTTATGGAAAAGCAGAGCAAAGGGCTGGTCGGCTTCTTGGAGAAACGTACCGAAGAGCGAGCGAAGGAGCAGGAGCGCAGCCGCAAGGAGCGAGAAGCTGACCAGAAGTTCTGGGCCGAGCAGACGGAGAAGGACCGCGCTCTGCTCCGAGATCTCTTCACGCACGACTAGACCGAAAGCTTCCGGTCTACTCCAACGTCACTGTCGATGTGTCGCCCACAGTTGAAGCGTTGGGCCATTTCTTACTGCATTGCATGGTTCAAGTCTAATACTTGCATTGACCGTCCTCCTCTCTTTCTTGTTGATGTTGCTTGTCTAAAGTTCGTAGTAGCAGCGATCGCAGACGCGAACTGGCACGTTGATGCCAAACTCCGGGATGGACTTGAACTTCTCGGAGCAGCCTTCGCACACGAGGGCGCCGCAGCGTCGGCAGTTGTGCTGGTCGCGGTTCTGCTGCGCCTCGCTGGAGGACGTCGAGTTCCACGTGAAGGGCGAGTCGCAGCACATGCAGCGAGTCTTCGTGCTGAACGGAACCCACTCGGGCAGCGTTGGCTTCGCTCGACGAGCATCACGCACAATGCGGAGCGCACTTAAATAATTGCGTCCAAGGTGGTCGCTCAGCATGTTCTGCTGCACTGGGATGTGCGACAGCTCTTCGCACTTACGGTCGACGTGCACGGCCTCGTAGATGCCCTTGTAGAAGAAGATGTGCGTCACCTTGCCCGGAATATACAGCTCCTTTGGGTCTCCCACGAGCGTCGTCGCCAAGTCAGCTGCAACTTTCTCTTCCTCGTGGAGCGTATCGGCCGGGGGCTCGAGCGCCTTGTCTTCACCGCTTTTCTCTCCAGCTTTGTCGAGTTGGTCAATCAAGTTCGTCCGCGTCAACGTCCAGGACGACACACCTTCGTCCTTGCTCGCTTCCTGCGCCTTCTTCTCTGCCAGCGTCAGTTTGTTTTCCGGTGAGGGGTCTTTCTTCTGCTCTGCCAGTTTGTCTCGGTTTGCGAGCTTCCCCTTCCTCTGGTCGGCGGCTTCGGTAGCCCACTCCCGCTTCCTCGGCGCCCACAGCGTCTTCGCTCGATCCTTGAAGGCCTCCAGATCCTCCGACGCTGTGTCACGCCAACAGCCTTTGAAGTTTTTGAGCTCGGCGACCAGCTTGAGGACGTTTGATGCCTTGGCACGGGGCACGATGTCGTCACGAAGCACGATCGAATGCACGAAATCATTACACGACTCCGCCACAGTTAAGTTCACGCAAGCGGGGATAGCGTACGCAAAGCATTCCAGATCCTCGAATTCCTTTTGAAGCATCACTGACAGCAACGCGGCACAACCTGCACCCAGCGAGTGGCCAGCGAACACGATGTGGTAGCCTTCGTTGTGCAGAACCCGAAGCGACTTGACGATACGGTCTTTAATCCACATGACCGCTTTGAGCATGCCATTATGCGCAAAAGCATCGACAAAGCCACCCGTTGCCTCGCTTTGAGGCGCACCTGCCGACGAAAGACCAATCTCTTCGGGGTATGCCTGGATATCTGTCAGCGCATCTTGAACGGACTTGGAGCCTCGAATCAAAACGAGCGCGGTCTTGTTTTCCTTGTTGCCAAGCAGTGCGAAAGAAGGGTGTCGGACATCCTGGTCTTGCACGTGTGCGTAGATAAGCGTGAAGCCTTGTAGCCTGCTAATACGCTGAATATCTAGAACGTCCAGCTCGTAGATACCATGAAGCGCTAACGGGGCGTACTTCAGTACCTTTGCGAGGAAATCATCGGAGACTGGCTCGCAGCCATTGTGGCTTTGCTTTTCGCCTTCGGGTTCTGCTCCACGGTCGCCGCGGTTCATCGCCATGAAGTAATATGTGCCAATCGCAGCATCTTGAAAGCCAAGGTCATCCAAGTCGCCCAGTAAGCCTTTCAACGTCGAGAAGGACTGCATGAACTCGTTGCGCAGGATAAACCCAATCAAGCCAGCCCGGCCGTATTTGCGTAAGAAATCAGCGCTCACGACAGCCATCTTAGCCGCTGCACCAATCGGTGCAGACTTCGCCGCGACGAGCGTGCCTCCAGCAGCGCGCATGATCTTGTCAACGGTTGTGTCGGTGGCCGTGTTGAAGTACACAATGAGTTTATCACCGAGGAAATCTTTAACACGCTCAATGCGCCACTGCACGAGCTGCTGGTCTATCTTCTCCATCAAAATGTAGTGGCAATTCTTGCACAGCTTCGACGGAGTCGTGTGGCCATACGCACGGATAATCGCCGACTCTGGCAAGTCGTCTCGACAGAAAGACTCGGAGCAGTAGCCGCACTGATACCGGAACTTCGTCATGCCAAACTCCACGTTGCATTCCTTGCAGTGTTTCGACTCGATGATCTCCGGAGGTGATAAATACTTGGGAATGTTATCTTCGCAGCACGTCACAAGAGACCTCTCAACTGGTGATAAATCCGGGAACCTCTTGGACAGCATGGACAGCACCTCTGCGTCACCCTCCTCATCCGAGTCTCTAGTCGACCCCTTATTGCTCTGCCTCCGTCCTCTGTGGGCTGGAAGCAGCGGCTCCGAGGAAATCGCGGCTGCAGTCGCTGCCTGGGCCATCTCCAGCCCGAACAGCGACGCTTCCTTAATCGACTGCACCGTGCCATACACCGCCTGCTTCGAGGACGACCCCGCCAAGTTAATCGCCGACGACGGCAGCGATAACGCTGCCGACGAGATCCTACCGAAGAACCCCGACGACCTCGCAGGCTCTCCGCGCTTCGGAGAATCCTTCTTCTTGTCCTCTCCAGCTGCAACCGACGTAAACAGCACGTTGTCCCCCTTCTTGTCGTCTTTAGCCAACGGGAAGAGCGTGTTCGCCTCGTCTTCTCCATTATCAGCATCTATCTTCGCCTCAGTTGCTAAGGACCCTTCGGCCTCCTTAACCTCTTCACTGTCGTCGCCCTTCTTGCTCGACGGGAAGAGCGTCGACCAGTCGGGGCTGCTCTCGGCCGTCTCCGAGGCTTCTTCTCTCCCTGAAGTCGATTTATCAGCTCCGGAGGCCGCGGTTTCTGCTTCTTTCTGCTCGTCCGCCTTGCGCCCCATCCACACGCGAATGCGGACGACGCTATTGCGCGTCATGGGGCCCAGAGCGTCCTGGAACTTCTCCCCGTAGAGCCAGCCCTCCTCGTCGTAGTCTTCGCCCTTGTAGACCTCCCAGACGAACTCCTTCTGCTCGTCCTTGCTGGGGCAGGCCTCCTGCTGAGCTGTGCACCAGGCGGGAGGGTCCTCCGCGTGCAGCCGCGCCGTCCAGCCCTGAGTGTAGCAAAATATTCAACGAAACGTTAGTGAGATAGAAACTTTGATTTTGACGCTTGTAGAGAAGGTAAGGGGGTGAGAGCTACTGCGATGAAAAGAGGAGACGCAGACGCACCACGATGGGGTACCACCGCTGGTTCTCGATCACCTCCGGCATCACCACGCTATCCGCAAGGAAACGCTCTTTTGAGTGCGGTTTCTTTGGGTGAAAACTGGGGAAATGAGACTGAACGGCTTCTGATTTAGGAAAAGATCGGATTCTAAATTATGTACGGAGCTAAATATTAGAAACGGTACAAACATAATTTGAACCTACTGTAATGTTAAGTTCGCATGTACCAGTGGTGCGTTTGTGAAAGTTGAAGTGTTGAAGTGTCCAATTTCTGGTCTTCCTTCGTTTGTCGATGAGCGAGCCGTCGTGCGCTACTTGGCAACCTGTGGACTTTCCTGTCACGGCAAGACCTACAGCGGCGACCATCGTAGAGGCCGCAGCACGTCGTCGAAAATGCGAGCAGATCACTACAGTAGTTGCAGTAGTTGCGCTTTTGATCTCATCATGCCACAAAATAGCGTGGCGAGATTTTAGCCCATTAATGCAGTTGGCGCTTTGCTCGCACCGTGGGCCACGGTGCGAGCAAAGCGCCACGGTCCGTGGCATGGACCAAGTACATGTACAGATTTTACGTTCCAGCTCAGCTCACGTCAGGTCTGTGAGCCAGGCGACGCATTCCCTTGAGCAGGGCAAGGCCACCCATCGCAAATGCATGTAAGTTTGTGATGAGTTGATCGCCTGGCAACTGATGATCATCATCAACTGCTTTGTCCTAGTAGTATGATCGTTGAGTTAACCTTAATTTTCACACGATGAAAATGTTGTGATGAAATGTTGGGTAACTAGTGACTGCGCTCTACGCATCAACCTTCTAATCTGATCAAACCAGCTAACAATGGCATCGTTGAGGTCCAACGAATGAAGCAGCTCTCGTAAGTTACTTGTAGGTGCACCCGCCAGTAAAAGCTTTGGCCTGTGTCCTGATATTGGGCCAGAGCAATGGCAGATCCTGCAGAAGCTTAAGTGGGTGCCACCATGTAGAAGTGAGCGGTCCAGTTGCCAGAAGGCACGCGCCCACATTTCACGCAAGCAACCACTTTGGTTAGCGATCAGCGAGAGCGCGATTAGGCACGCGTTCTGTTGTAATACTGTTAGTTCTGTGACGTCGACTTGGGCGGGGGTGCCGCCGGCAACAGAAGTTTCTGTCAGAAATGTTAGTTTTGGCGCACCGACAATCCTTACGACTTGCTTCGCGCGAAAACCTCGAAAATCACGACAGCTTTCCGACAAGGTTGTGCTAATAGGGGGTCAGAATTAGCTTTTTCGCCGACATTTTTCGGCCGAAATGGTCACCATAAAAAATTTGGTCAGCCGACATATCCATTTCGCGAAATGGTTCACCTGTTTGGCCGAACCATTTCTGAAATGGTCGGACATTTTTGGTGACCTTCACTCTGCTAAATGTATTCACATCGATTTTTCACAATTGGCCGAGCTGTCAAGCACGCCTGCAGCGAGCACCACCAAACGCAAAACACCAATCGACAAATCTTAGTCGATCAGGCCACCGTGTCCGGTCTCACCGTACACGAGTGTACATGATCCGGCGCTTCATTCGTCCGCGGCACGTGGACGACAAGGATACCTGATCACGCGTGGCCCTGCTCATTTTTGCATGCAAGTGTTCGGGTCTTCTCACTCGTATCACGGCCCCAGTCGTGATCCCAGTACTCGTACTTGTCACCTGTACACTGGTGGCCACGACTTGCGTCGGGCCTCCTTGCTGTAGTGGATACTGCGTTGAAAGCGCGATGGTCGTCTCTCCATAACCTCATTCTTGGATTTACCTCCAACGCCGCACACCATGGTTTTCCAAGCACCACCGCCGCCGGACGCCTCCGCTGAGAAAGTCAAGTCTCCTTCCAGCTACTATGGCCTCAAGTCTCCCGACGACACCGCTGGCGGTGCGCCTTCAATCTGGTCGCTGCGCAAGATGGCCTTGTCGTCGCAACGGCCAAGGCGTTGGTCAAGATTCCGCGGGTGCTACGCGTGTTCCTGTCGGCGTTCTCCGACATCTACCCGATCGGCGGATACCGTCGCCGCCCATACATGATCATCGGCTGGAGCGTTGCTTTCATCGCGTGCTTCATCATGGCTGTCGTCCCTCTCGGCGATCCGTATTACGAGGACCCGTCGCTGGAAGACATCGATCTCGCCGACATGACCCCTGAACAACTTGCACTCGTGCACACTGACGCTCCGCACCGCGGCATCAAGTTCATCTTCCTCTTCATGCTCGCCAACCTGGGTGCTGTGATCGCCTAAGGCCCAACGTACGGCATTTTCATCGAGCTGTCCCAACGCGAGCCGGAGCATATCCGAGGCCGTCTTCAGACGAACGTGTTCATGGTGCGCAACGCCCTTGCGATCGTGACGGCTTTCCTGACTGGACTATGCCTCAACAGCACCGAGTACGGCGGCACCTTCTCGTGGACCATCGGCTTCAACGGCATCATGTGGATATGCACTCATCACGATCCCGTTCTGCTGGTTCTGCGTGACCGAGGAGAAGGTGGAGCAGACGAAGTCCATCGGCACCTTCTACAAGGAGATCTACGAGGTCATCCAGAAGGAACCCTTCTATCGCCTGTTCATCTTCCGCTACTTCACCAAGATCTTCGCTGCGGTGTGGGTCACTGCATCCAGCAACATCCAATCCATCTACGCCGGTGTAACGCCGCTCAACGACGTCATTGCGGCTTGTATCAGCCAAGTGCTGATTGTTGCTGGCCTCTTCTCGATCAAAAAGTGGGGGCTCCAATGGAACTGGCAGTACTTGGCCATCTTCTCCCAGCTCTTCGCGGTGTTCGTCGACGCCTTCCCAACGTACTTCACGATCTGGAACGTCTTCCGCAGTCAGTGGTTCTGGCTCGGTGTGCCGCTTCTTGAGGACTTTGTGGGTGAATTCGTCGACTATGCTACGACCATCACGATGGTGGAAATCGCCGAACCCGGTCGTGAAGCGACATCCATGGGGTTCCTGGGCTCTATCACTGCTGCTGGTACAGTCATCACTAAGTCGGTCGACAGCTACTTCGAGATCGGGCAAAAGGCTCTCAAGAGAGACGACCACGCGGTGCACGTATGCCTACCTCATTGCCTACTTGTTCAACATCGCGGCAGTCGCGTTCGCTTTCTTGTTGCCGCGCCAAAAGCACGAGGCGCAGGCGATGAAGCAGAACGGCAACAAGAGCAAGCTCATCGGCACAGTTTCCGTCGTTATCTTCCTGTTCTCCGTAGCGTGGGCAATCATGACCCACCTCCTGTCGCTATGGGACTCGACCTCGTGCCTGCGTATTGCTGGTGGTAGCGGGTGTTAGTTTCACTCTGCACACCTATCGTCTGCTCAAACGAGTTTTCTCTGCGAAACACACGATAAATACAAAAACTGCCTGAGCGTTTTAACATGATTCTGTTTGAGTGTGAGGTTTCCTATGGGTCTTAACTTCATTATTAACTACGTAAGTATGAGCGCTTGGATACAAGAGGCCCGTTATTGTGTTTTGTCGGCAGTGTGGTAGTGTTGGTTAAACCCAAAAGTCATTCCTCTGGGAGCACAAAACCACAGATTACTTTAGGTCAGGGAAACTGTAATCGACTACGGCAGCATTACTCAGCACCCGAGGATCAAGGAAAGGGCAGGTACGCGAGCTACACCACGCGCCTACAGTGAAAGGCCGAAACGGCGATGAAGCAGGACGCGTTGGGAGCAAGCTCATGGAGGTGTTCTAGGAAAAGGCTCTGAATTCCAGATTGCTAGACCATTAGTAGCATTTCAAAAGGTCGTGTATGATAGGTACTGTACCAGTCCGCTTCTGGACACTTTCAGTGTACGATAGTCGATTTGACCTTGGTGTTCGTTCGCAAGCGCTCCATGCCAAGTACGAGCACGAACATGGCCAGATCTCTTGTGCAACTGCTCATTAGCAAGAGATCACGTATCGCCTGCCTTCAATGAACAAGCCCCAGAGCTCACTTTTCAATTCGCTTCCACTCAAGGACCTGCCTGCTTGAAGTCATGGTCGCTATTGCAGCAGCCTTCGCGTTCGCTGCTGTTTCCATGGCGGCGAGCACCCCTTTCTCCGGCGCTGCGTACAACAACATGGCCACGACCTACAGTCCGATGCACTCGCAGGACTACCCCTTGGGAAGTGAGGTGCTGGACGCGACCAAGCTGGCGGCATCGATCGACACGGACCTTGCCATGGTCTCTCGCTACTTCGCGGACGCGCGCACCTACTACTCGCAGTACTACGGCGTCCCGGTGGCGAAGTATGCTGCCAAGAACAACGTCAAGCTGCACCTGGGCGTGTTCATGACGACTGAGTCCTGGCAGTCGGCTGAAATCGACAACGCTGTTGCCGCCGTGAAGAACTACCCGGGCACGGTGAAGACAATCCTCGTGGGCAATGAGAACCTGGCGACCGGTACGAAAGCGGCCGATATCCTCAAGATCGTTTCCACCATCAAGACGCGCTTGGGTGGCAAGCTTGCGGCTACCATCAAGTTTGGCACGGTGCAGCGGATCACGGAGTACTTGAGCTCGACTTACAGCAAGGAAACTGCTAGCTTGGCAGCCAACTTGGACATCCTAGGCGTGACTATCTACCCGTTCTTCGACAGCGGCTACAACACCAATAGCCCGGTCGCGATCTTGGACTCGGCCTGGAACGCCATGGCCAAGAAGTTTTCCTCAAAGAAGATGGTACTTTACGAAACGGGCTTCCCTACGGCGGGCACTGCTTCGACTGTTTCCGGTGTGACGCCGTCGCTCTCCGAATCGGTAAAGTATTACAAGGCTGTGGCCAACTGGGTGCCCAAGACTGCAACAAGCGTCAGCTCCGCCCCACTCAAATTTTGGTTCTCCTTCTTCGACCGTCGACCTGATGACGATTCCATGGGCACGGTGGAGTTGGAGAAACACTTCGGGCTGTTTACGTACGATCGGCTGGCGAAGATCACCGACTCCGACTACCCGCGCTTGCTGGTGAGTTCTACGCAGCAAATTCTCCGCAGAAGACCTTAGCCTGAAGATGGATGCCTTAGCAATTCACCGTTGCTATACGCGTTGCATACCCCCCAACTTGTACACGCTGAGAAAGACGCTGCCACAGCTGCTTTGTCTTCAATTGCATATACATGCTGAACCTGACACATACTCAATAAAAAAAAAATTCCTGACACAATCCGGTATGGTATCAAATCTTTCACATAGCATATTCGCTGGCAGTGCATCATTCATTACAAAAACGTTTACCTTGCATTTACAAGTCGTCGTTGGCGCCACTAAATGCCTCATCAATTTTGTCCCACAAGGCGTTCGCTACCGTGAAATCCGACGCAGGGCTGATTTCAAATCTGGCAATGTGTTGTTTCGCAGGTACATGGATATCTGCTCGTAGCATCAGCAACAATGGAGCAGCTTAGTCTTTCTAAACCTCAGGTTTCAATCAACTTCGCGGCTCGTTTACCTCCGGCAATCTTCGCTTCGCTGAAGTCCCATCGAATACCCGTGACAGACGCATACAGCGCCATCTTGTTCCTACATTGCACAGGAACCCATCCGTCAGCACTTGAATCTCCCAGCCACAGTACCCCCCTCCACTCCACTTACTTGGCCAGGGGAATGTCGTTCTGATGCGCAGCGTTGTACTGCAGCAGTTCCTGCCTCGCCTCCTCGTACTTGTCCAGCAGCATGTCGAGCGACTCCTTGGACGTCGTGAAAGCCCCGCAACCGAAAGCAAAATAACGCCGACGCAAAGTTAAGGAGAACCACCTGCAGCTTCAACACTGCATTTTCACCACTTCAACTTGCAAGCATGCACAATAGGTAGATGGAATATGCAAAATAAAAATAAAACGTAGGAGGATATTGTTCGTTGAGGCGAAAGCGGTCCAGCTGCACGGCCATGTCGCGCTTGATGGCGTCCAGCTCCTGCAGACGCTTGTGCAGCTGCTCGTTGCGCTCCTTGGCCGCCAGCTCCTTCTCCTCCCACTCGCTCAGGTTCGCACGCAGGTCTGGCACGTACAATACAAACACCAGGTAATTCACAGTAAATACTTACAGTGTCATATATTCGGTAAGGAAAAATAATGCTGATAACTTACGCGCGAGCTGCCGCTGCGCCGTGCTCTGGCGGTTCAGGAAGGTGCCGGCGATATCCTTGCGCTTCTGCACGAGCGCGCGCAGCCGCTGCGCGTCCTTGTGCGCGTCGGCGTGGAACATGCCCTCCAGCTGGCCGCAGATCTCCTGCACCTCGGGCCACGAGAGCTCGTTGCTGACATTCACTCTGCCCTCCATTATTCAAACTCTGCAAGAAGCAAAACCTTGTGGTACAGTGTACCCAGTCGATGTACCACACACCACTTCGCTCCGCCCCAGTCAGTCGGTTTTTCAACGTTGCAGCCATGTCGTTCCGGTCGCTGCTGGAGGCGGCCATGGGCGACGCGCAGGAGCTGCCGCAGGACGAGGTGGGGCGCATCGACGCGCAGATGGAGATGATGGACGAGGAAGACCAGCAGTCGGACGGTAACTGGGCTCTAAATCGCAGTGCAAACCGTCTACTAGGGGGCTAAAACGGGGTTTGGCACGCGTATTTGCAGGCCCCGCGGACGAGAGCGATGACGCGTACGTGCCGCCGTCCAGCGAGGACGACGACGACGGCGTCGAAGAGGAGGAGGAGGACTCGGACATCGAGCGCCAGCTCTGGGGCAAGTCGCGCAAGCGCAGGCGGCGCGGCAGCGGCCGACAGGGAAGACGCCGACGGAGAGGAGGACCCACGGGCAAGCGCAGCGTCACGGCCGCCAAGGTGCCGCCCGAGCTGGCCAACGTGCTGGGAGAAGCCAACATGCTGTACGCCTCGCACCAGTACGACGAGGCCATCACGCTGCTCAAGGACTTCATCAAGAAGGCGCCGACCATCCCGGACCCGTACCACACGCTGGGCATGATCTACGAGGACCGGCAGGACCGCATCAAGGCGCTGCAGTTCTTCCTGATCGCGTGCACGTTGACGCCGCAGGACGCAGAGCTCTGGAAGCGCGTGGGGCGCATCGCGAAGGACGAGAAGAACTTTGACCAGGCGCTGTTCTGCTTCAAGAAGGCCAGCAGCGCAGACCCCAAGGACAAGGAGGCGCTCTTCAGCTACGCAGAGTTGTGTCGCGAACAGGGCGACAATCGGCGAGCTGCCGAGGTGTTTAAGAAGCTCACGGTGCTCATCCCGAACGATCTGTCGCTGTGGATTCAGATTGCCGAGGCGTACCATTGCAACGAGCAAGAAGATGAGGCGGTGGATGCTCTGAAAATGTGCATTGAGAAGGCGGCGACGCTGGACCCGACGCGGAATCTGCACTCGTCGAAGTACGAGCTCAATGCTGTGAATATGCTTGCGGATTTGTACATTACTCTGAAGAAGTATCGTGAAGCTATCGAGGTGATCCACCACCTGCATGCGCGGTATGCCTCAGCTCAAGACCCTGACCAGGTTGAGGGTGATCCGGGTGGCTTGCCGCTGGATATTGCTGTGAAGTACGGCATCTGTCACCTGTTTGAGCGAGACTTTGCCACGGCTGAATCCATGTTCACACATTTGTTTGCTCAGGATGTGGAAGTGTTTGGCGATCTATACCTTGACGTGGCTGATGCGTACATCGCGCTGGGAGATCAGGATCGCGAGGCCGCTGCAATTCTGCAGCAACTACTCGGTCGTGAAGAGTTCCCTGTGGAGCAAATCTGGATCAAGTTTGCCGAGTGTCATGACCGCCTCGGCATTTACGATGTGGCCGTCGAATACTACGAGAAAGCGCTAGCCCACCAACGCTCTTCCCCGGACTTGACAGTGGACCCAGAGTTGATGCTGAAGGCGATGCAGGCAACAAGAAAGAAAAATAGTCCGCTTGAGGGTATCGCTCTGCTGAAAGAGTACCTGCCTGAGACGATGAGGCCTCCCATCCGACCGTATTGGATCAATACTTCCCGGAAAAATAAAGATCAAGACGAGGCTTCTGCGCAAGGAGATGAGAATGGAAAGGACCCTGCAGACAGTGACGTCGAAGAAGTGGAGGAGGAGGCAGAAGACGACGACGAGGATGCTGAGGATCAAACGCGAATGGAGATGGCGCCTGATCCATCGCTATCGGTCGATGCCATGGAGAATGACATCCGTCTCAAATTGTTGATCGAGTGGGGCCACTTGAAGAAGTTATCAGGCGAGGCTGAGGTGCTTTGCCAAGTTGGCATCCCAATCATTCTCACGTCTCTCAGCCAGACCTCGTTCCGACTATCTGGCCGAGTGAAGAATCCTTTAGCAGAGCCACAGGACGTAATTTCTGAGAGCGATGCGCAGTCCATGGGTTTTCAAGTGCTCAAATCCCAGTACCTGGTGGATATCACGGACTCGAGACAACGCGAGTCGTTCATGGGTATCGTTATGCGCGTGGCACAGCAAATCGTAATTTCTCGGGCGCTTGGTGAACAACTCTATTACAACTTGGTGATCGACGTCGCCCAGACACTCACTGAACTGGGTAAATACGTGGCCGCGATCGAGCTACTAACTGATGTGAACACGTCGGACAAGATCTCCAAGCCTACGCTGCGCTTCGAGCTGCGCTTCTTAGCGCTCGTGATAGCTCTCGAATTCAAGGAGAATCGCATGGCGTATGAGTGCGCGCGCTTGAATATCATGGAGGACCCACACAACCTGGGCTACTGGAACCTGTTCTCGCGCGTGATCGCCATTACCGGCGTGTTTTCGTGGCACCAGAAGTTCCTGGCCAAGCTACTGCGCGACGACCCGGAGAGCTACCCAGCTATTCTGCTTGCCGGCCACCAATCGTCGGCCTGGGATATCGCCTCCCTAACGGTGGGTGAGCTGACGCTTGCTCACCAGAAGCACCCCAACGATCCACTCACGCTTTTCTGCATCGGGTTGGCGTTCCTCTCGGCGTCAATGCAGCGGACAATTAATGACCGGCAACACACGGTGGCGAAGGCTTTCGCGTTCCTGCAGCAGTACGAGCGTACTCGCGTCGCCGCCCCGAGTGACATCACATCGGACATTCGTCAGGTCGAAGCCTGGTACAACATTGGTCGCGCACACCAGCAACTGGTACGTTTCTATCGTTGCGGTGGTTCACTTTTCGTCTTTGGCGTTTTGGTGTCTGCGGCAGTTCATTATCACACCAAGTCGCTTGTAAGTTATGCGTTCTGACTGGAGTTTATGTTGGTTCAGGGCTTGTTTCATTTGGCGATCCCGATGTACGAGCGAGTTCTCCGGTTCTTCGAAACGAGCAAGGAGCAGCAGCGCGAGGTGCCTCCGGAGTATTTGCTTTGCCGCGAAACGGCCTACAACCTGTCCCTCATCTACAAGCAGAGGTGCGTCGTTGAACTCTTGCATTGAAGTGCCCAAGCTTTTGTTGACATGTCTTGTGTATTTTTGCGGATTCTCAGCGGCGCGAACGATTTGGCAAGGTACCTCATCGCAAAATATTTAACGATCGGATAAGGTCTCCTCATCTAGACTTAGCAGACCAGTTCGGGCTCCGCATAACACACTGGGCTCAGTTGAGCGTACCGGCGATTGATCCGTGGTGCCACTGTGCGTTCCGCTGCATGGATGCCCCATCTCTCCTTGCGCCTATCAGGTGGACACCTCGAGGTGACGCGAACCGTTCGCGGCCTGCGACGGGCTCATGAAGGGGGTGACCCAAAACTGCAACATGCACCAGCAGCGAGCAATCCTCCTGCCTTTCGTCTGAAATGGCTTAGATCGTGTTTGCCCATTCCGCTTTCTTCCCAGTGGCACGCAAGTCAACGACTGAGAGAGCGATCGCAGCATGCTGGCTCAGTAAGTTATTGTAGTATACGTGGAGCTCCGGTCACGGTTCTTTTCATTCCAACACGGTCTTTTGCGCCCGGTTCCGTAGCTTCGTATCCCAAGCCGCCGTTCGTCCTGGTCCTGCGGCAGTTGAGCCAAGCCGGGCAACAACAACGACGCTCGTACGTAGTGGACCCCAAGCACACGGATGCCGGCATGATGCTCACTCGCAACAAGTATCAGTCCGTTCTCAAGGAAGGGTTCCCTTTGGAGTTGGGTGGAGGGCTGCCGGAATTGACCATCGAGTGGGAGCAGTGGGGTGACTGCTCCCTACCCGGAGACCGCATCATTCTGGTCCTGCCTTCATTCTCCCACTGGCCTCAAACCGCGACGATGCTCGTCCGGGTTGGTGGGAGATCATGATCGGCCCCGGCAAGGCCATCAACACATCCTACTTCCGAGTCATCAGTCCTTGTGTACTCGGCAGTCCGTACGGTGCCACGTCGCCATTGACGATGAACCCGCTCACGGGCGAGAAGTATAAGCAGGGGCCGGACAATACAGTATGAAATTGTATTGCGAGGCCAAAGCTGCAGTAGTAATAACGGCAATATGAGGGCAACCAATAATAATAATTGGTACAATTTAAGTATATTGTTGACATGAGCTATTCATTGCCAAAATGTGACAGGAAAACCGCAAACTTCACGCGAACTTTACGCAAACGTCCCATGGCTGATATCGAACTATTACTGAGGTGTCAGGCCAACCTATACAGTGAGAAAATACAGGTGGAGGCTGATGACGATTACAATAGCCCTGTACTGTTTCCAGGACGGTTTTGGGAAGTGTTGATGTCCGGCAAAGCGCTATTGAGTGTATACACCGCTTGCTCCACAAAAGCCTCGCAACCCAAGGCTGCCGAAAAATAGAGATTATAATAGTTTATTATAGCATTTTCATCATTTATGAACGCCCAACCCCAGAATTCATAGTATTTGATATTGTATTGCTATTATTGGGGCAATATCACATTGTATTGGTTTCATGAACTTCCAATAATAAATAATTGTAGTGGGACAATACCATAATAATTGTTTTGCTATTATTTTTTCCGACCCCTGAGTATATGGCTTCGTTTCCATAGCTCACTCCAGCCGACATGGCTCGCTGCCACGCCAAGGTCTTGGACGACCTGGGCATCGACCGCGTCCACGCTGTCATCGGGGCCAGCGTGGGCGGCATCCAAGCTCTCGAGTTCGCGGCTCAGTTCCCGGGCCGCGTGGATCGACTTGTGGGTCTCGCCTGCACACACCACACCTCACCCGGCACCGTCGCCTTCCGACGCGTGCAGCGGCGCGCCATCCTCGCCGACCCCATGTGCAAGGACGGTAACTACATGCCCGGCGTGCCCCTTGAGGGCATGAAGGTGGCGCGCGAGCTGGGAATGACGTGCTACCGCTCGAGGGAGGAATTCGACGCTCGCTTCGAGTGGAACCCAACGGGCCCCATGCACTTCAAGACAGCAGCCTTCGACGTCGAGAGCTACATGGACTACCAAGCCAACAAGTTCGCGCGCGTGTTCGACCCCAACTGCTATCTGCTCCTCTCCAAGGCCATGGACTTGACCAACTTGGGCCGCAACGCGCAGAACTTGGCCGAGGGTACAAGCCGCGTCTCGTGCGACTCGCAGATCATCGGCATCAAGCAGGATCTGCTGATCCCGATCCAGGAGCAGCGCAACCCGGTCAACATCCTGCAGTCGTACGGACACAACGCGCAGCTGGTGGAGGTGGACTCCAAGTTCGGTCACGACACCATATTCAACGCCCAGATGCAGCTCGACGTGTTCGCTCCGCTCGTCCGCGAGTTCATCGAGGAGCAGCTCAGCGACATCCTCCCTCAACCCACTACGCCATTGAAGCGCTTGTTCTTCCATGGAAGCTGGCTGAGACTTCCAGATTTCCCTTCAAGTGACTCTTCCCCACATCCGAATTGGCCCCGAACGCCATGGAGCGTGTTGCCTACCGCCCACCAGGTAGGCTCCGAGACTGGAAGCGGCGGTATGCCTGCTCCACGGTCCGGTGTAAGCTCGGCCGGGTGTGGAACTCATCAAGGAGATCCAGATTTGCGCTCGACTCATACGGAAGTCCACCACCGAAGCTTGGGCTCTCGCAAACTTCCACGTGCTCCGCCAGTGCGAGGAGCGCGCCGATATCCCCGACTTGACGACTCCCACATTCTTCACCCGGTGCTGTAGAATCGTCAGCTGGGGCCTTCGTCGAGGAGACGAGGTTCGTCTAGGGGACCCCTTTACGACTCAGCAGTAGCGTTCCTCGCGGCAAGACCAAGCACATACACGTACGAGCCGGACGACATCACCAAGATTGGTCATCTACATGATGAGGCTGGCGGACTCATGAGCGTCAACGCTACTAACATGGTTGTGACCCAGTTCCGCAAGCGCTTCACCCTCTTTGTGCGGCTTTGGTATGGGATCTCTGTCAAGGAAACCAGAAAGGTCGTGCGCGCCTGCTACAGCTCGGATGCGCCGGCGCGCCGGGAAGTACTGGAGATGAAGGAGTGGCTGGGATCCGAAGCGTGGGGTGTGGACGGTGAGCTGGAGCAGGTTGTCCCCTGGAAACCCGTCATCAAGAAGCATGTGGGCTATTTCGTGCGGAAGCTGTACGAGATCATGGTCTTTGTCGAGCAAAAGCAGATCGAGCAGCGGCGACAGCGCGCGCGAAGTGGAGATACAGCGACGGCTCAGAAGAAACGATTCTGGAAGTGGAAGAGGAAAAAGAGAACGAAGAAGAACAAGGGCGCAAAGCGCTCTAAGACAATCAAGATGTTCAGCCTTCTACCGCTGTCGCAATCATTCGCGCTCTACAACATCAAGATCGATCCATCTACTTTGGCAAACCTCTGCTCGCGCATCTGCAAGCGCACTGGCGAGAATATTCTTGGCGTTGAACTCACACCCAACAACCGTATCCCGCAACCCCCCTTATTTCACTCAGCGGGGCTCCGAGTTAATGAGGCGCGCATTCAACATCACACAGTTCGAGACTCGGCGCACCAAGGTCGGTAAAGCCCGCTTCAATAGTCTTTCGGTGGACGAGAAGGCAAGGCACGCCGCCAGGTTCTTCGGTGACTCGATCCGGTCAGATGGGTACGCGGCTTCCGTGTTAATGGTGCAGTTCACACGTTCGGCACGCTCCGTTGAGAGAAGAGAGGAAAACGAGGACGATGAAGAACTTGAGAACGCTGAGGAGTTTGATGACGACCCGGATTCGGAATCGCTCGTGACGGAGATGAACGGCGAGGAAATAACGGAGGACGAGCCTGAATCGGAACCTGAGGAAGACACTACACACGAGCAGGATCCCAGTACAGCGAGCGAAGTCAGCGACTCGGCTCCCTACCCCGCCCCCGAGCCAGCCCTCCGGGGAATCCGCGCTCGCGGGTTTGTGGGTGTCGATCCAGGCAAGAAGGCCCCCTGCACGGCTGCGATCATCGGCAAGCTTCGCGCCAAAAAGAAAAAGCCCCACCCCCTCCACCCCCACCACCCAAACCCCCACGACGGCACCGCAACAAGAGGTGCCCAGTGGAAGACCGCGTGAGCTCAACCGGACCTGCACGCACTCCAGTTCGAAGACGTCGCGTACCGAAACTACCAAAGGTCCAGCATGAACAGCGAATTCTCCAGATCAAGGCAGGCGAATACCAGCACATGAGTGGCAGTAAGAAATTCAACAAGTGGCACGAGAAGCTGCGCCTCCGATTTCCTGAATACCAGACCGCAATCAGCAGCCTTCCCTGCCTCAAAACGGCTGACTCGAGAGTTTTCCTCATTCGGATGGAGCAGGTATGGCTCAACCTGGACTATCTCCTGGATTTCGGCATCGCACACAATTTCAGGAAATGGAGATTTTTCTCGCATGTAGAGCACCGGGTCGCTGTAGACGACGTCGCCAAAAGGCTGATACCAGAGGCCGGGTCGCACGTGTGCGTCGGATTTGGCAACTGGAGCCAGAGCGACAACATCAAAGGAGGGCCAAAACCCCCGTTGAGACCTCTCGAGAAGGCTATGAGGAAGAGAGCGACAGTGGTCAAGGTGCACGAGTTCAGGACGAGCAAACTATGCTCCGCCTGCTACCAGCCTATGAAGATGGCCGTCTTCCTCGATCCAGACGATCCTGGCCCCGACGAGCTGGACGCCGACGAAAGACCTCTCTACTACGATCGTTCCGTATTGCGTTGTGCCAACAAGAACTGCAAGAAAAACTTTCTGAACAGAGACGTCAACGCCGCCGTCAACATGCAAACCCTGCTTATGGCGCGACTGCAAGGTTTACCGCCTCCCGCGGAGTTCGTACGGCAATGACGAAAGAACAAGAAACAACGAGGACGGGAAGAAGCTCTCCCTTCGAGGAGCGGTGCACATAACCGTCCTCACGGTGGGTCTGAGGCCGCTGGCCAAGAGGATGAGTCCGTTACTACTAGGGAGGAGGCAGACCCGCGCTGCATCTACGTAAGTCGTCTAGCTACTAGGCTTGAAATCGCTCGCCGAGCGGGACTTGAAATACATCTGCATAATCGGCTGATTGCGAACTTTTGCCGTCGTCGATAAACTAAGTAAACGGCGGCATCATCTTCGTTGGCTACACATGTGCATGTAGGTTGTGACGGACAATGCATTGTACCAAACTCTATAGCAAACCGATCCCGTGTTTGATCATGGCTCTGTCCCTGACAAAGAATCCAAGCTGTATCCTCCATCCAAACTTATCAAAGCGCATCGACTCTTACAGTTGAGGCCGTCATTATCCAATTTTCCTGGTTGCAACATACCAGAATGGGAGTCTGGAAGACCGATCAACTCGCGGAGGTGCGCGTGGAAACCGGCAAGGCCGATCTTGGTGCGCGTGAGCCCGTCACGGTTCTGGACGTTTTCAAGGACATCGTAGCTCGCGCGCCGAACGGGAGAGCTCTCAGCACCAAGAAGAACGGCGAGTGGGTAATGTACACTTGGCAGCAGTACTACGACATCAGCCACCAGTTCGCGCGCGCTCTCATTCACGTAGGCGTGGAGCTCCACGAAGCTGTCAATGTACTCGGCCCGAATTGCCCTGAATGGCTCTTCACCAACATGGGAAGCATCATGGCCGGAGCGGTCATCGCCGGTGTCTACGTTACCAGCACTCCGGAAGCGTGCCAGTATATCTCAGCGCACTGCGATGCCAAGGTCGTGGTGGTGTCCGACAAAGGCCAATTGGACAAGTATCTCTCAATTCTGGATCAGCTGCCGAAGTTGAAGGCCTTGGTCGCGTGGAACAAGGACGACGTACCCCAAGAAGCCAACTACAGAGTGCCAGTCTACTGTACTCGTTCGACGACTTCCTGGAGCTTAGTGGGAACGTGGACGCGAGCCTGCTCGACGAAAGGATGAATGCGCAGCAACCTGGTCACTGCTGCACGCTGATCTACACGTCTGGTACGACGGGCCCCCCGAAGGCAGTCATGATTTCCCACGACAACTTGACGTGGACGGTGGCTGCGGCCATGAATACGCTCAAGGATTTCGTAGATGCAAAGCGGTCCATGAGCTTCCTGCCTCTTTCTCACGTGGCGGCTCAAATCCTCGACATTCACCTGCCGCTAGCCATCGGCTCTGAAGTGTACTTCGCGGGCCCCGACGCCCTTCGAGGGGGTCTGCTAGGCACGCTGCAAGAGGTTCGGCCCAACTTTTTCTTCGGCGTGCCTCGAGTCTGGGAGAAAATGATGGAGTCACTGAAGGAGAAGCTTGGCGGCGCGCCGGAAGGGCTCAAGAAGTCGCTGTTGACATGGGCCATGGATCAAGGCGCCGAATACGCTACTCAATCGCAGTTTGGCGCAGCATCCGGAGCCAGCTGGAGCTTTTGGGCAGCCGACTACTTGCTGTTGGGCAAAGTGCGTAATGCTCTCGGGCTGGACGAGTGCTCCATCTTCTTGACGGGCGCTGCTCACATTGATCCTAACGTCATTCGGTACTTCAGCAAGCTTAACATCCCGCTTTACGAGCTCTTTGGGCAATCCGAGTGCACAGGGCCCCATTCAATCAACAGCCCGGGGAAGTGGAAGATCGGCACGGTTGGGCCCGAGATGGAGGGGACTCGCACGCGCATCGACCCGGACACGGGCGAAATTCAGTACACGGGCCGCCACATTTTCATGGGCTACTTGAAGGACGAAGCTGCCACTAAGGCTACTCTCGATGAGGACGGTTGGCTGTACTCCGGTGACGTTGGCAAGATCGACAAGGACGGGTTCCTCTCCATCACAGGGAGGATCAAGGAGATCATCATCACTTCGGGTGGCGAGAATATCCCTCCTGTCTTGATTGAGAACGCGCTCAAGACCGAGCTCCCGGCGCTTGCAAATGTGCTGGTCATCGGTGAACAGCGAAAGTTTCTTACATTCCTGTGCTCTCTGCGAGTGGATCCCGATCCCGTCACTGCTGCTCCCACCGCCAAGCTTGATAAGGTGGCGTTAGCCGTGGCGAAAGAAATTGGCAGTGGCGCCACCACGGTTCCGGAAGCGCGGGTGTGTGAGAAGTTCTGCAAATACATCGAGGAAGGAATGGCACGAGCCAACGCACAGGCCGTCTCGCGGGCCCAATGCGTCCAAAAGTTCGTCATCATCTCCCGCGACTTCTCTCTCGATGGCAATGAGCTCACTCCGACCATGAAGGCGAAGCGGTCGGTTGTTGAGAACAAGTACAGCCAGGAGATCGAGCAGATGTACGCTCACGCTTGCCTGTAAAATTGGGGAGAAACAATAACATTGATATATTTTTCAGGGATTCCCAAATCGGTTTTTGAATGCAGGCGGTATTGAAAATAGCCTCTTGGCGAACTCATGCATTTTTGGACACGCTCTCATCACTTGAGCATTGATCAGGCTGAAGGCGAGAGTGAGCAGTGTTCACCATATCATGGGTAAAGGGTGGAATTTGGTCAAGGGCGCTACCAGCGCTCCCGCTGCCGATGGAGTAACGACAACCGTCCCTCCAGGCGAGTATCACCTTGGAAAAGCAGGTCGGTTATGGTTGGCTGCACTGGGTGGCGCTCGTGCCGAGGTGGTGCCAGCATCGAATCGAGTATCGCTCAAAGTGGCAGAGCAGGAGCGCCTAATTCGTCTCGCCCGTTCGAATCACACGCACAAGTACATGCTACTCCCCGACTCAATGTTCCGATATTGCTGGGACCTGCTTCTGGCTATCACGACGATTCTACTCATCTGGCGGGTGCCGTACACTATCGCGTTTGGGGAAAGTGAGCTGTGGTACTGGTATGCGTTCAACAAGATCACCGACGCAATCTATCTTCTCGACGTGGTCTTAAACTTTAGGTGAGTCAACAGAAACAATCGTTTCTCCAACAAGAATATGGGCTGACTTTGTTTTCCTGGGATATAGAACAGGGTACGTGGAGGACACTGAGATCGTCATGGACAGTCGCCTTGTCGCCAAGCACTACATTCAAGTAAGTGATCTAATTATCAAGCAAATGCAAGCAGCATGCAGTTAACTTACCCGATTGTTGCACCTGTATCTTCACAGAGCTGGTTCTTTGTCGACCTCATCGGCTCGATTCCGGTAGAATACATTATCAGTGCCAACACGGCTGGGTTTTCTGGAGTAGAAAGGAAAGCATTCAAGGCGTCGGTGAAGTATTTGAAAGTCCCGGTGGGTCCGTGCCATTTGCAAGCTCAATGGTTGCTACTTTTCTGAATTTTTGCTGTGTTCTTGCTCTGCAGAAACTCTTTCGAGTTGCTCGACTTATCAAATTCGTGCAGTAAGTCACTATCTTCACTCTTACAGTATATACTATCCAGTAAAGCTCACACATTCCTTTATCGGTTCGTTATATAGGAAATACATGCGGTTCGCATACGCCGTTCAGGTGTTTGCATGCTACATCTCGCTCATCCACTGGGTAGCTTGTCTCTGGGCTGGACCGATGATTGGTCTCAACGATGTCGAAGACGACCAGCTAGCATATAACGAAGCTCTTTATTCAGCTGTGTTGCTGCTACTGAATATCTCGGCAGTCACAGTCGAACCCAAGTGGCAGTTTCTGAGCGCTGTCCTTGGCGTCGTCGGCTTTTTATTCCAATGCCTAACGCTCGCGAGCATCACGGCTGGAGTGATCGGGTCGAGTTCACGCGCTCTGCAATATCAAGAAAAGGTTCGGATGGTCATGAGTGATCTCAAGGCGCTGCACGTACCTGGCGAGCTGCGTAAGGCCACCAAGAACTACTACGAGACCCTCTGGCGAATGAAAAACACCTCTGACCGGTATGAGAAAGCCATTTACGAGGATGAAGACCTGTCGCCCGCGTTGCGCGCTGAGATCGCGCTCTACATCCACAGAAACCTCATCGCCACAGTGCCGCTGTTTCAGGGTTGTTCGGATTCCTGCCTCGCCGCGTGTGTCATGAGGCTCAAGACGCAACTTTGCATGCGTGGCGACGTGGTTTTCCACAAAGGCGACCCGGCCAACTCGATGGTCATCATCAGTCGAGGCAAAGTCAAAGTTATCTCGCCGGATAACGAGGGGCTCCTGGCGGTGCTCAAGGCCGGAAGCTTCTTCGGAGAAATCGGGTTGCTGCGGCATATGACGCGCTCCTGCACCGTGATCGCAGGCACCTTCTGCGAGCTCAAATCTTTGGATAGAAACGATGCCGAAGAAATCTTCGAGGCGTATCCCCATATTCATGATCGGCTTTTCGCCGAAGCAGAGAAGCGCCGTCTGGATACCCGACTCAAAGAGCGTCTATACAACGTCAAAGTCCTCGACAACGCACACGCTGTCGATGTCAGCAGTATCGTTGAGGTGCCTGGTTCGGGTGGCAAGAACAACCAGCCTTTCGTTCATGGGGCCTCAGAGGAAAAGCACCCTGCCGCCCCCATGTCTTCTTCGGGGTCCGGTAGCAAGCCTTTCCGACTTGTTCGAGGTAACTCGTTCCAAACGGAAGACGGCATCGCTGTCAACAGCGAGCTGGACACGATGAACATCAACCTTGATGAAATCTTGCGCTTGGTAGAAACGCTCAAAGCCACACAAGGCCGTTTGTCTCGCGTTCAGGAGCGGCGGCAATCTATTCACATGGCACTGAATTCTCCAACACCCATCAACAGTATCAACTCGGTGCTATTCACGCAAGCACCTGCTCGACCTGACTCACGAGCAAGCACACGCAACCGAGAATCACTTCATAGTGTCAACCGCAGTGGAAATCGGAGCGGGAACTCCTAGTTGAGCTAGCGCTTTATCGATGGCTCTTGCACGTTTGGGCGCAGCGTGCGGATTGCTGTTGCAATGTTTTCTGAAATCAAAGTGGAAGTTGCAGAACTCCAGAAGTATGAATGAAATATTAACCAAAGCAAGATTTTGAAAGCGGCTTCATCGTTTCGGCATACCGAAGGCACTAGTATCGCGCCCCCTGTTGGAATTTGAAAGATCACCTTTTACACACACCGAATTGTCCTTAGACCCCAGCACGCTTCGCTTCTTCGCCCAACAATTTGTCGCTCTTTTCCTTCTACGGGTAACAGCCGCGAATAATAGTCTGTTAGTTCAGTGCACCACAATATTGACAACGACAAACTTACCTTTTTGTCACTCATCGATCTCGAAGACCTGGTTTTCTCCGGGCGACTAAGCAGATTGTTGAAGAAGTTCTGCAAATGCTTCGAGCTCACATCCTTCTCCTCGCGCTTGCGGCGATCAGCTGCCGCCCGGCGGGCCACTGCTGCCTGCTCCGCCTTTTTGCTCGCCTCAATGCTCTGCTTTTGCAGCTCCTCCAGACCTGCACCGGCTGCTTTCTCCAACTTCTCCAGCCATTGTTCGTGGCCATCGACACGGATGTCAGACGCAAGCAACGCAGTAGCATCTTCGGCGTCTTCAGTCGGAGCAGGCACGATTTTCTCAAACGGCTTATCAGTCGGCCAACGAGCTTGTGAGCCAACAAGGCTCTGGTTCACCAATTCAAAGGAGTCATAGCCGGACGGGATGAAAAGGCTGTTGTGGTCAACCAGTTGCGGTGGCTCCGTGAACTTGAATTGGGACGGATACGCACGGTGAAGAATATACTTGCGGAGTGTGTCCACGTTGGATCCAGTTTTTGCAGACGTGAACACCACCGAGGCACCGTCTGCCAGCCGTGCCAACACAGGACAGTGACAGAGTTAAAAGAAGCACTCAATACAAAATGAAACGTCAGCCTTACATCGAATAGCGAACTGGCGAAGTGTGTACTCAATGTAGTCCATCTTCACCGAGTTTTCTGGTCGCAACTAAGAACGACACAACGCTCACAGTCAGACTCTACCCTTTCAATCGCTCCTCACATTAAACACGTACATCAGCTTTGGCCACAACAAGCACCAACGGCACACCCAGATTCTTCGACAGCACACCTTCCTCCATCTATGGATACGCCAGCATAAAACAAGACATGTCAGCATCGTCAACTCAATCCCGAAAACAATAAAATCCTCGTACAAATTCATTCGTGGACGTGTCCATCGGCGTCGGCGCAGAATGATCGACAGTCTACTCAGATAAAGCAAAATACACGTCAGCCCAGCTCTCCCCCTTGCAACAAAAACGTTTTTGCGTCCATCGTACCGGGTCTTCATACGCCAGAATGTGCTGCTTGATAGCTGCGTACAGCTCGTTCCTCGCCTCAGGCGCCAGTTGGTTGATCTGCTCCAGCAACTGGCCTTCCAGCGCCGAGAGCCACTGCTCCAACGAGCTCTTGATCGTCCAGGGCCGCGACAGATCCAGCACAATGGCCACCACCGTCTACCAAAGCCCAAATCAAATTAATTAGTACCCCCTCCCTTCAGTAGAATAGTGCCTCCTCCACCTTCCTCACCTTCTGCAGCGTCCGGGGCTTGACCGCGATCTTGATGAGGTCCTTGAGGTTCAAGTCGTTCAGACTCCACGTGCCGATCTGCGCCATCACGTCCTCTAAACGGCATTAAAAGGGGTTAAGAACCTACGTTTTACCCCTCTAGCCCGTATTTTAATTCGTAGTTGCAGTACCGGAGGCATCGCCGCCGCTCTCCTTGGCCCGCGGGTCCAGCACGTCCAGCGTCTTGAAGGCCAGCAGCGTGTCCACGGCGTGCGCCTCGTCCGCGGCCTCCGAGGGCGCGAGCTTGGCCTCGTCCAGCCGCGCCAGCAGCGCCGACTTGCCGCTCTCCGCGTCGCCCACCACCAGCAGGTTGGCGGCCGGCAGCTTGGAGCGCACGGAGCAGTCGCGCAGCATCTGCTGCCACAGATCCTCCCCCGACGTCATAGTTCGTGCGCGTCTTCCGGAGTGATGGTCACTGCAAGATGTTGTGTACGATTTGTGTAGACTTTGAAGTTGTATCGGTGCCTAACTACATGTATGAGATCCCACAGAGCGGAGGCACAATGTACGATTGAAGACAAACGAATTCTGGTAAGTCGTCATTATCAGAGGGTTACATGATGCCTACAGCTAAACTCGTACAGTCTAGTGCGTGTATGAACAGTGTATCCATCCGTCGAGGTTGGATGTTGATGCAGGAAAGAAAGTATAGCAGCAGTGGATGTGGCTGCTATATCGACTACAGCGTAGTCAGACTACAGTCCACGGAGGAAACTCTGCTGCGTAGCCGACTTGGTCGAGCTCGCCAACACGCGCGGGTAGTCCGAGTCTTTGCATTTCTTCAGGCGGCTGGAAGTGAACAGTCCGAAGTGCTTCTCCAGCTCCACCGTACCCATGGAGTTGTCGTCGGCCCGACGGTCGAAGAACGAGAACCAGAACTTGAGAGGGGCAGAGCTGACACTGGTAGCGGTCTTGGGCACCCAGTTGGCCACAGCTTTGTAGTACTTGATCGACTCGGACAGTGACGGCGTCACACCGGAAAGAGTCGAAGCAGCGCCAGCCGTAGGGAAGCCCGTTTCGTAAAGTACCATCTTCTTTGAGGAAAACTTCTTGGCCATGGCGTTCCAGGCCGAGTCCAAGATCGCGACCGGGCTATTGGCATTGTAGCCGCTGTCGAAGAACGGGTAGATGTTCACACCCAGACTGTCCAAGTTGGCTGCCAAGCTAGCAGTCTCCGTGTCGTAGGCAGAGTCCAAGTACTCGGCGATGCGCTGCACCGTGCCAAACTTGATGGTAGCCGCAAGCTTGCCACCCAAGCGCGTCTTGATGGTGGAAACGATCTTGAGGATATCGGCCGCTTTCGTACCGGTCGCCAGGTTCTCATTGCCCACGAGGATTGTCTTCACCGTGCCCGGGTAGTTCTTCACGGCGGCAACAGCGTTGTCGATTTCAGCCGACTGCCAGGACTCAGTCGTCATGAACACGCCCAGGTGCAGCTTGACGTTGTTCTTGGCTGCATACTTCGCCACGGGGACACCGTAGTACTGTGAGTAGTAGGTGCGCGCGTCCGTGAAGTAGCGAGAGACCATGGCTAGGTCCGTGTCGATCGATGCCGCCAGCTTAGTCGCGTTCAGCACCTCACTTCCCAAGGGGTAGTCCTGCGAGTGCATCGGACTGTAGGTTGTGGCCATGTTGTTGTAGGCAGCGGCGGAGAAGGGGGCGATTGCCACCATGGAAACTGCAGCGAACGCGAAGGCTGCTGCAATGGCGACCATGACTCGGAGTGGAGAGGTTCGGTGGAGGTGAATTGAAAAGTGAACTCTGGGGGGCTTGTTCATTGAAGGCAGTCGATCCAAAAGCTCTTAGCTACAGTACGGAGGCAACGTGGTCACTAGTGGTGATCACCTTAATAGCGTAAGATCGCACAGTCACGAGATATCTGGTCATGTCCGTGCCTGCGCTTGCCATGGAGCGCACTCAGCGAACGAACACCAAAGTAAACTCGACCACCAGGTAACGTTCACTGAAAGTGTCCAGATGTAAATGGGTAGTACCTATCATACACAAGTATTTCAGATGCTACTAATGGTCGATGATCCTGCAAAGGAAGATACCGGTAAGCACGATCCCAACGTCACATCATACCTGGCGCTAAGAGAGCTAAGTGATCAAGGTAAACCTCAGCTTACACGGCCGTGCTGGGATCCACGATCTTGCCCTTGAACAACTCGATCAGCTTGTTTCCAATCTCCTTCACCTCCTCAGCGCTCCGACCTTCCACAGTGAGGCGTGTGTTGAAGCTTGTATCGCGCGTGCCAGTCTTTTCCTCGGTCAAATTCACGTAGCTGCCCAGGGCAACGTTCGGGTGCTCCTTTTGCAAGGCTTTGTAGGGTGCAGCGATGCTGCTTTCGTATTCCAATGTGCTCACCTGCATCAGCTCAGTTTCAATAATAGTGCCGGCATTCCAATAAGTGCGGATAAAACTGCCAACGTACAATGACACGGTGGATCGGTACCCCGACAAAGTGCTCCTCATTGCAGGTCAGCATGTCCTTGACCATGGATGGGATACCGGGCAAAATGTACACGTTCTCCACGACAACGATCGGCGTCCACCCAGACCCGTGCAAAATCTTGCACCCTTCAGGTAAAATCGCCATGCGCTTGACACTATCGTCGAACGGGACGCCGGGGTACTTTTCCTCCCCAAACTTCTTCATGGCGGCCATTGTCGGCTCGTGCAGCGCAACACCCACACCGAACGCCTTCGCCTACATCATCACATATCAACATTAGTACATGCTCTCACTTGACTTAACGCGTCCATAATGAAGCCGCAGTCTCACGATGCTCTCGTAGGTGATGTCGTCGTGCGTGGGGCCGATGCCTCCCGTCGTGAAGACGTAGCCCGTTGGCCCCACGAACGCAGACAGCTCCTTGACTGTCTCGATGATTGCGTCTTCCTCGTCGGGGATGACCACGACGCGCTTGAGGTCGAGACCCCGACGGAACATGAGCTTGGCGATGAAGTTGGAGTTGGTGTCGAGAGTCTGTTCGTCGTGCATTCACGTGTGTCAGGAGGGGAGGGTATCAAGCGGCTCTAGGTCTCAGTTGTTTGGGATGTACCTTCCCAGTGAGCACTTCGTTGGCGATGACGCAGACGGCGGCGCGCGGTGCAGATGCGGGGGCAGTGGAGGTCATGGTGCGGGTGGAGAGAGGTATGGCGCAGCGAGGGGGGCGAGGGATGCAGTGTAGACGCCACATACGCAGTAGAATCGAGAGTGAGGTGTGATTCGCCAATATTGGCACAAAACAACACTTGGATTTACTATGCTTCTTCTTGAAGTTACTGGCGGCTTGGCGAGATGCATTGCTAAGTTAATGGAAGGAAGGCGGCAGGTCGATGACAGGGACCGGGAGCTTTGTAGTTTTATCTCGCACGGACGACCATGGTGAAGCAGCCAACCGCATTAAATGCGTTGTTTACGGGGAAGGGTAGCGATTGGCTGTAGTAGCCGCGAGATTGCGTCGACACTTCAATTCCTCACAGCAGCACCCGAGCGTCATCATCGGCAGCTACGTGAACCTGACGGAGGAGAAGACTGGCACGCGCGACCCGAGCTTCAACACGCGTCTGACTGTCGAAGGCCGCGACGCTGATGAAGTGAAAAGCGTCGGCGACAAGCTCGTTGAGCTGTTCAAGGGCACGATCGCTGACCCGGGCACCGTCGTGTAAGAAATGTAGCCGTGTAAGAAATGTAGCCATGTCCACCTGACAGACGACCACCGAGACGTGCACCCACGTAATTTCCCACATAATAATTACCAATCTAGTCAGCGGGAGGGATGACGTGCCCGCATTCCGAGGCAAACTCTATCGTCGCCCCTCCTTCCCCCCCCTCTGCTCTTCCGCCCACATCGCATCTTGCTCCCGACGTCTCAAGCCATGAGCGCACATAGGGACACGGGCCACAGCCGCAGCAGCAGCACGGCCAGCAGCGGTCTGGCGCCTCCTCCGCCGCCGCCTCCGGGCAGCGCGCCCATGCCGCCGGCTCCGCGCTTCTCGCCGCTGGACCACGCGTCCCCCGAGGTGACGCAGAGCAACCCGCTGCACCAGCTCCTCCAGCAGCAGCACGCGCCCACAGCGCCGCCCGCGCCCATGCAGTTCCCCGCGCCGCCCGCCGCGTCGTCGCTGGCCAGCCAGAACCAGTTCCTGCAGCAGTTCCTGGCCTCGTCCTCCTCCAGCCACATGCGCCCCGTGCCCTTGTCCACGCCCATGGGCATGTCCATGCAGGCGCCGCCCAGCTCGCTCCTGCCGCCGTTCCAGCAGCAGGCGCCACCCCCTCACGCCGCGTTCCCGCCGCCGCGCGCTGCCTTCTCCCAGTTCCAGCCGGTTCCCAGCCTCTCGTCCACGGGCGGGGGCATGTTCCCGGCCGCGCCGCGCAGCTCCACCTCGGCGTCTATCGGCAGCAATGGCGCGTCCGCCTCCTCCTCGCTCACGGGCTCTCCGCGCCGCGCGGCCGGGGAGGCTTCGGCCACGCACCCGCCGCCCGGCGTGCGCCTCAGCGGCGAGAGCGTGGACTACCGCCCGCGCGCCGAGACGGACAGCAGGTCGCTCGAGGTCATGCCCATCACGCTCTACAACTCGGAGCGCGCGTCGCAGCTGGGCAACCTCATCTCGGTGAACGAGCACTTCATCTCATACCCGATCCGCAACGGCCTCATCCGCGTCATCAGCCAGAGCTCCGTGGACAGGCTGCTCCTGCGCAAGCACGAGCACCACGCCGTCTCGGAGCTCGCCTTCTTCAACAGCAAGTCGGACCTGTTGCTGAGCGCGGGCTCGGACCACCACGTGGCCATCTGGGCCATCCAGAATGACCCCATGAGCCGCGAGCTCGTCAAGCTCGTGCCCACGCAGGCGCAGCGCGTCAAGTGGCACCCGTCCGACTCGAACAAGATCGCCATCGCCAACGGCAGCGTGGTGTTTATTGCCGACCTCACGGACGTGGACGCCGATGGAACGGGAGCCGAGAACCTCTACGACATGAGCGTGGTCTGCGGCCAGACGTCGGGCCAGATCAACGACATGGCCTTCTCCCCCGGCAACGGCGAGTGCGTCGTCACTGCCGGCAGTGACGGCCTCGTGCAGGTGTACCGCGTCCAGGGCCGACTGCCAGGCCAGCCAGCGGAGTTTATCCAGCGGTTTGAGCCATTTAGAGGCGAGGAGGTCAACAGTCTCCACTTCTACGGTGGGAACTTTTCCAACCAGCCGGGACTTTTCATCGGAGGCGAGGCCAACACGCGCCTATCGCTGTGGAACGCGGCGCTGACTGAGAACACGACGCCTGTGTGCTACCAGACGGTGACGATCCGTGACGAAACGCAGGAAGACTCGGAGCTGATCCATGAGACCATCTTGGACCCCACGACGCACTTCTTGTTTGTCGCGGACCGCGCCAAGCCGCTGGTGTACGCGTTCCACTTGGCGCCCAGCTCGGACGCGCGCACGCCTCGTCGCTTTGACAACGTTACCGAGTTCGCGCTCGCGTACCCGGTGCTCAGTATGGGGTTACTGAACCGGACAGGACAGAGCCAGTCGGCGCGTGACGGCGCTGACTTCGCCTCGGCTCTGGGTGGACTTAACTTTTCCATGCAGTTGTACTGCCTTCAGACTCAAGCTATTCAGAGGTATCACGTGGCGGCCAGTGACTGCTTTATCCCTGGCGCGCGTGGATCCATTGAGGATGAGGTTGAGGCTGGTGAGAACGTTGGACAGACGGTTGGTGCTGTGACGACGGAAGGAGAGAACATCGAGACGTCGTACCAGACTGCGGCCGAGTCCCCACGAGCTGCCACCGCTGCGATTTCGGCTCCTGAGACGGAGATTGACGCACAGGCACCTGAAGACGAGGAAGAGGAGGAAGAGAGCAACGCCGATCAGCACGCTCCGCTTCGTTCTGGTGTGAATGGACTTCCCCCGACTCCTTCGTCCCCGGGAGCTCGCAGTACGCGAAGCACTCGGAGCGCTGGCGCCCGCTCGCTGCATCTAGCTACCGGCGACGACGCTGTATCAGTGTCCGCCTCGTCTGTTGCTGGTGACGATGCTTCGCTCCCTAGCCTGCGGTTTTACAATCGTTCTTCTCCGTCATCCTCGGTTCGTGCGTTCCAGGACGAAGCTTCCGTGCAGTACGACCCATCGATTGATGACACCGCAAGTGAGACACATCAGCAGACGCTCCTTGCTTCGCTTCGGCGCATGGAGGCAGCGCAGCTTCAGCGCGACGAGGAACTCCGGGAACAGATGCGCGTAGTCATGGGCAATTTGGGCAACCACCTGACGGCTCAGGTATCGACTCAGGTGGAAAAGTCGATCCAGAAGCAGTTGCAGTCCGTGCTGGTGCCCGCCATGGGTCGCATCGTGCTGCACACGATGGAGAACAACTTCATGAAGCCGGTGCAGAATGGATTCCAGCATGTGATTAGTGAGAAGCTGATCCCGTTGATGGAGCAAAAGCTGGATGACTCCTTGGCGACGTCGCTGCCGGACCAGCTCGCCAATGGCGTTGACGACATGGTTCAGCGTGTGGTGGAAGATGTTCGCCAGCCTGTGCGTGAATCGTTCCGTGAGTGCTTCCAGGACATTTTGATCCCGTCTTTCCAGGCCGCTACACAGAAGATGTTCGAGCAGATTAACGACACCTTCGTACAGGGAACGCGCAGTGCGTTTGAGGGCAGTGGACAGAACTCTAGCAATGCGAAGGTTGCGAGTCAACTAGAGCAGTTGACGAAGGTGGTGGAAAGCTTGTCCCAGAAGGTGGAGCAACTGAGCACAACAGTCAATGCTGGCAGCGTGAATGGAGCACTGGTTCCTGCTGCGAAGTCTCCCGAGGAGCTGCAGTTCGAGACTCAGAAGGGCACGGTACTGGACTATCTCGCACGAAATGATTGGGAGGAGGCGTTCAAGTTCGCACTGGGCGCGCAGAGCGTGAACCTGGTAGCATTTACGTGTCAGCAGTGTGACCCCCGACTTGTCCTGAGCAGTCGCCCGCCGAAGCTCTCGCAGATGCTGATCCTGTGCTTGGTGCAGCAATTGGGTGCCGACCTCGCTGACGACCTGGAGACAAAGCTCAACTGGCTGCGCGAGTCGCTGCTGGTGATGAACATTCGCGATCAGAGTATTGCTGGCTTCGTGACGAGTGTGCTTCAGGAGCTTCAGACAGGATTGAACAGTGTGCCGGCGGAGTACCGTGACTCGCAGTACACGCTGCTGCACCACGTACTCAACTCCATGCTTAACTCTGCGTGATGATCGGCGTAGCACAGGTAGAAATGTCAATCAAATACAGACTTTGCTTCCGTTTAGCGTTCCACGTATTGTGAGCTTAAAACGTAGTTGTGGTACAAAACTAGCAACTGAAATTTTCAGTCAGTCTGAAAACAGCGGCAACTTTGACCACAAATCTTGGCTCACCGCTTTCAGACACGCAGGCAACGTAACTCGCCAAGCAAGGTATTCTACTTACCCGCACTTCTCTCCGCCCAGGCAACGCCATCCCATAGCTGCCAGTCCGTGACGTTTGGCGAGTACCATCCGCATTGTGGGCAATTGTTTTCAACCACAAACCCGTCACGGACTTCTTCGTGGTGGTTCTTCAGGTACTGCCAGGGGTTGTAGGCTTTAGTGCTCCCGATCTGCATTTTGCATTATTTTCAACATTTTCTAACCTTATACTCTGATAAAAAAAATCGACCTGTGCAGAGCTCTGCAATTAGTGCTATGACTTGTCCTTGAAAGGAATGCAAACAAAATTACACCATTCTAGTGCTCGGAAGGATCCACCTTCTGGCCATCAAAGAGTTCGGCGATTTTGTCGCTAACCTCCTTGACCTCAGCCTCGTCGCGCCCTTCGATAGTAAGGCGAGTCTTGAAGCTCGTGTCGTGCACGCCAGTCTCGTCCTTGGTCAGGTTCACGTAGCTGCCAATAGAAATGTTCGGGTGAGCATTCTGCACTGCCGTCAACTCCGCTGCGATGTCGCCTTCTAGCTTCAGCGTTTTGACCTGCAGCCCCCACCAACAGTTAGCACAACAAGCTCACGCCATCCAAATCAGCTCGGAACTCCACTTACGATCGCGCGGAAGATAGGCACCCCCACGAAGTGCTCCTCGTTCGCCGTCAGCATCGAGCGCACCATGGACGGAATGCCCGGAAGGATGTACACGTTCTCCACCACAGCAATAGGCGTCCAGAACTCGGTCGTGAGCGTCTTGCAGCCCGCCGGTAGCAGAGCCATCCGCTTCCGCCCCTCCGTCATCCCTCCCAGACGCGTCGCCATGGCCTCCTCCAGGCCTTTCAGCGTCTCCTCATGGAACTCCACTCCAAGACCGAATGCCTTTGCCTGTAATATAACAGGGATGGAGTTAATAAAACCACTCTTGTAGTGACTGTGAAGACCCGTATTAGACTGAAGACGGAGAACATACCACGCTCTCGTATGTGATGTCGTCGTGGGTGGGGCCGATGCCTCCCGTGGTGATGACGTAGCCGCTGGGCCCCACCATCTGCGACAGCTCCTTGACCGTCGACACGATTGCGTCTTCCTCGTCGGGGATCACCACGACGCGCTTGAGGTCGACGCCCCGGCGGAACATGAGCTTGGAGATCCAGTGCGAGTTGGTGTCCAGCGTCTGCAGCAACACGAGCAGAGGTTAGACGCTGTCTTGTCTGCACTCGAGGCGTGGCTGCTGACGCATGCTTCACCTTCCCAGTCAAGACCTCGTTGGCGATGACGCAGACAGCGGCGCGAGGGGCGGGCTTCGAGAGGGTCGACATGGCGCGGCGCAACATGGAGCTTGGAGCAGGGGAACACACCCTCACGGATTCATCGAAGTCGAGCAGTTAGGCCCTGAAGGCCAAGTGTACCAAAATAGGGGTACTACTTAAGGGAATTGGCCAGTTTAAGGTAATAAAATACCGAATATAACGCCCTTGCGCGTATAAAAAAGCGTTGTACAAAACTCTGCACGCATCTGTGCATTTTCTCATTATAATATTGACTCAAATTTAATGAAATAACAACTAAGGACTACGGTCTATTCCGTTGTTTTCTGAACCCATTTTATATCTCGACAACAAGGGTGCGTTGCGTTAGGCTGGGAGGACTACCTTAAATTCCAAAAAGTCTGCTCGGTTGTATCTAACGTTATTGCCGTTTGCAGATATTTTGGCCAACGCATGCTTATTATCTCGTTAATAATCTCGATTTTAATCCAGCCAGCTCTTAATTAAGACCTAGGTCTGATTTATATATCTCGCCAGTACGGTCTAAGATCCGAGCTTGGGGCTCTGTTTTCTCGACCAAGGCGCTTTTCTACGACTTGGAAACGCAGAAATGCCATTCTAGACGGGCCAAACCGAGTTTCTGGGCCTAAACGCGGCCCCCAGCAAAGCATAATGCTAAATCAGCCCTCGCCTATCTCGTGTCCACTCATATTAAGAGACAGGCGTGGTCTATTTTAGAGGTCTATTTTAGAGGGCAAAGTATTTGCAAGCGGCAATAGCTCGATTTTACTAACTCGAGTACAACTATATTTTCCATACTGGTACACTTTCAAGAAACTAATAGATGTCTTCTTTGGCTACGAAGTAGCCAAGTCTTGTGCTAATACTTCACCTACTGAGTGGTCGAGTGTTTTGGCGCCACTACAAAGCTAAGCCAAATCCAAAACAACAACCATCAATACATGCACTAGCAGTACCAAACAGTGGTTACGTACTATGTTCGCATGCAAGTAGCAAATGAGGGGCTATGCCCCTCATTTGCAGCGCCTACCATCATTTTTCTTATGGAAATTTCAGGAAGTGACTCAATATTAAAATTTGTGCAAAAGGTGATAGAAGGATTTGTGTCGAGAGCACATATTTCAGGTTCAGCAGCATTTGTTAGGGCATTGGGCCACGACATTGTTGCCTCCAGCGGCGACATGAGGAGTATGGCATCCAAGCCAGGGGTCGGACAATACAGTATGGAATTGTATTGCGAGGCCAAAGCTGCAGTAGTAATAACGGCAATATGAGGGCAACCAATAATAATAATTGGTACAATTTAAGTATATTGTACCATTCGTGACATGAGCTATTCTTTGCCAAAATGTGACAGGAAGGCCGCAAACTTCACGCGAACTTTACGCAAACGTCCAATGGCTGATATCGAACTATTACTGAGGTGTCAGGCCAACCTATACAGTGAGAAAATACAGGTGGAGGCTGATGACGATTACAATAGCCCTGTACTGTTTCCAGGACGGTTTTGGGAAGTGTTGATGTCCGGCAAAGCGCTATTGAGTGTATACACCGCTTGCTCCACAAAAGCCTCGCAACCCAAGGCTGCCGAAAAATAGAGATTATAATAGTTTATTATAGCATTTTCATCATTTATGAACGCCCAACCCCAGAATTCATAGTATTTGATATTGTATTGCTATTATTGGGGCAATATCACATTGTATTGGTTTCATGAACTTCCAATAATAAATAATTGTAGTGGGACAATACCATAATAATTATTTTGCTATTATTTTTCCGACCCCTGATCCAAGCCATCGGTGATGCTTTATGCAGCGTGGGCAGTGTCGCTTAAGCGACACAGAAGGCGACCGTACTCCACCAGAACAACTATCAGCAGAGGGCAATGCCTACACCGGCACCGCCTTCGCGTTTACCCAGTGCTATACTGACACAATTGGTGCATTCAGCGACGTGCATGGCATTCAGGTGCTGGCCGCTATTGGTGGCCAAATGAAACCATTGGCGGGAACCCGGGTTCCGCAAATGATACCGACCAAATCGCGAATTATTTATTTAATTTTCGGCCACCATATTGGTACCGTTGGGGCAAGTTAAACCATCAAACTCGATGAAAGAGTTCCCACTAATCTGTCACCGGTACTGAGTAGACCTGAATAACGTACCTTACCATGTCAAAGTCCACCTTACGTGAGCAGGAGGTTAGCAATGTGGCCGGAAAGCCCTCTACCGCTGCACCAGGCAAGAGTCTGGATTTTCATGAGAGACACAGGACGGGAGCAAAGACGAATTCACCTTCCGTTTCTCTACCGAGCTTAAGCTACGTTCAACATAGGTCATAGAACAACACTCCAATACATTTGATCATACATGGATACCGGTAGTTTTGGGGAAACCGGGGTCCCGATGGGTACCCGGGTTCCCGCCAATTGTTTCAAATGAGACGGTTTCAAACGAAAAGATGCTTACGAACCTAAGTACGAATCGCGATTTAACCGCATCAATCGAAAGAGGCGTGTCTTGTGCTTCGTTTAAGTTATCGGATGCTTTGAAGTGTTAAGAACTCGCGGAGTGACATCGGTCTAGAAAAATTATCTCCATTTTCGGACCCCCTAAATTCACGATTTTATTTGGGGCGTGTGACCTCAATATTTTTTTCAATTTTAACGTATTGTATATTATCGTAATGCTCGCGCTAAAAGTAAGCGAATCAGAGTGTTTTTACGCTTTTTACGTGTGCTTTTCACTTTCGAAATTTTGATGTCCGATTATTTCCGAAAATTGATTGGTCAACTTCAAATGCGATTATCTCGATAACTCCAAATGGCGCCTAAGCATCATTTCGTTTGAAACCGTCTCAAATGCACTTGGCACAAAGCCTTGTATCATCTTTTGCACAAAATTTCATTTTGAGTTCATATTCATTTTGAGTTCATATTTCGGAATTTTCCTTTTTTATATGGAGCCAACTATCTACTGCCGGCGAAGCTGCCTACCGGACAGATTTTATAGTTTGTAGGCCAAGAGCTAAGGACGTAAGCGTTTGCAGCGCCGACCACCATTTTTATATGGAGCCAATGATCTAATGCCAGCGAGGCTGCCCGAGATCCAGGCGGACAGGTTTAATTTGTAGGCCAAGAGCTCAGCTGCGTGGACGTAAGGCATCCTCAGTTATCCGTCAGTAACTAGGAACTATGGAATACAGTGTAGTTGTAGGCTGATTGGTCATCCTGCATTCTCTTGTCGCTAACGCTGTCCTCATTTCATTGTCAATTGGCTTTGTGTGGTACCAGTCGGGATGTCAATATGGCTATATTTGTGTAGGTATGGTGTACGATTGTGTGAGTATGGTGTGGCGAGATGTTGTTTAAATATTGCCTGAGGTACAAGAAACTTTTTTCTACAAATTAATCTGTGTGAGGCTGTCCATACAGCTCTTCTAGCTGTCCTCCCAGGATAATTGTATTGTGAACGTTAGTGCGCCTTACGCTCAGAGCATCTCCAGCGGTGGGTCTTATCCTAAGACGTAACAGGGTCTTTGAGACCACAATTTTACAGTTGAGACCCGCGCAGACCGACTTACTTCCAGCGGTGAGTTCTAAAGTGAGTTCTAAAGTTTATAAGTCCATTCCCGCATGTGAAAATTGCATTCAGTCTTAATACGGCGACTCTTCAGTTTTGTATGGGTGGCATTAAGATTGTGGTCTTATTTTAAGACTCGAAAGCCAATCTATAGGTCCCGGTGAAGTAAAACCTGCAATAGGACCTTCTGGTGGAAGCCTTAAGTCTCGGCCAAGTCTTAACAGCGTTACTTTTAGGATAAAACCATGTTTGAGACCAACCGCTGGAGATGCTCTCAGGGAATAAGTGATCTACACTCTCCAAACGTGGTCCACACACACTACCCCTAGTAGTGGGCGGCCACTAATTGAGCTCCTACAGTCTTCACCGTCACGATCAGCATAAGTCGGCACTGAATGGCTCCCCCTTCGCGGAGACGCGCTAAGCCTTGGTGGCGGCGTGTCCGCTGCTTCCGCCCCCCCGCATCGGTCTTGTAGTCTTGGTTCAGCTAGGTACGCGGGTCACTACTCCTTTCTCCGGCGACTGCTATCTTGGCCGACCAACCACACAGTCTCAGCCAGCACGCCCTTGTTCTTCAGTCTTGTGTTGTTCCTGCGTCTTATGCTGATCCCCTCGAGCACCTTCCCTTGACGATTGACTTCCGCAGCGCCCCCCCCTCGCGGACGCTCGCGCCTCGCCGCCGAATCAGCTTCCTGGGCGGTGCCGTAGTCACCAGCCCACGGGAAGTCGGTGGCTGAGCACTGAGCGCGCTTGGTTCGTCCGCTCCCGCCGCCACGAGTCGTACCCGCGTCGAGATCTCAGCCCAGAGACACTTGCCTCACATCCTTGTCCGTGAAAGACTGAGGGCGCCGCGGCGGAGCCGCACTAGCGCCCCCGAGAACGACGACGCTTCGCCGCTCCCCGGGAGGGCGTCACCCCAACCCGTCCAGGATTCGACAATAAAGATGAGCAAATGAAATCCTGGCATATCTCGACAATAAGGATGGGCAAATGCAATCCTGGCATTGATTGTTTTTGAGCAAGTATGGTACTGATACCATTAATGCACCGTAAATGCAAAAATGCAAGGTAAAACGAGGAGGGTACACTTAAACGAGATTGATGTAAAAATAACCGAAAGCTCGCATGGAATTAGTGACAACAGCATTCCATGGCTTCACTGGATACACGCTTCTCGTGCTTTTCAAACTATTTCGTCCAGACACCGCGCGCGATGTACCTCGTTGGGGCGCCGCGTCGCAGGGCAACTACCCTGACGTGATCTGCCGGTACTGCTCCGCCATGCTGCACAAGTGCCAGCCAAGCCGCAACTTGCTCCGACACCTGTCAATGTGTCCTCAGCTGTGGGACGCTGAGCGAATGGGGTGGAGTCGCTATGGAGATCCCGCTACGAAACCCAAGCACAAGCGTCAAAAGCGGAAGAAACCGGCCAACCATCATTCTCCCGCTGCGACACAAGATTAGGCCATGACGGAGATGGTGCTGTCGCAGTCTCAGGCAACGGCGCCATTTTCGAGCGGCGTCAGCAAGTGACAAGGAGTGGTTCCAAGCGGATGTTGCAAGGGGCTTCTACGCTGCACGGTTGCCGTTTCGCGCCATCGAAGGGCCTCGTAGGTGCCGAGCGCTCACGGTTCTGCAGCCAGATATGGAGAAATACTTGCCGAATCGGAAAGCACTTGCTGGGCGCCTCCTCACCCAGGAGTATGATCGTGAGAAAGCAGAGTTGATCGCCCGGCTGCATGATGGGCCAGCATTGGGTTTGATTTCGGACGGATGGACGAGCGTTAGTGAAGAGAAGGTGATCAACTATGTCGCAGTGTTGCCGTTGATGTGACCTCTACTTTGGTGCACTAATGACGAAGATAAGCAAACGGCTGAGTACGTGGCGAGCGAGATCGGTGATATGATTGACGAGATCAACGAAGCCGCAGGTCATCACATTGTGGTGTCTGTGACGACCGACAACGCCCCGGTGATGCAAAGGCCTGGGAAATCCTGGAGGCAACACGTCCAATCTTCTGCAATGGGTTCAGTAGCCGTGCACTCAATCATATATTGGAGGGGGTGCTGCCAATCCCATGGATGGCGTCCGCGTTGTCACGGTCCGTCACCTTGGTGAAGTTCATCTGCAGCTTCTCGCAAGATTTCGGAGGCTACAAAAAGGTGATGAAGAACAGTGATGAGCACTGCGTTTGCCCGTTCCAACGAGGTGATACTCGAGGATCGAGCGCATCACAAGTATACTGGACAACTGCCGGGCCATTGGCAAGTTATTTCGTCAGTCAAAGTTTATCCAGCGGAGGTTCGGGCACCGGCGCACTGTTCTTGCCGAAGTCCGAGCCATCATGGCAGAAAAAGGGCTTCTGGAAGCGTATCAAGCTCATTGAACCCCTCCTTGAGCCGATTGTGGAGACCGTTGCGATGCTCGAGCTGGCCACATGCTGCATATTGATGGTCTATTGGCAGTTCATCCAACTTCAACGAAGCTCCGTGTGCACAGAGCACATTTCAGGCATCCTCATGGCCGTCCAGGCCAGCATATTGGTGTCCCTCCAGGACAAATGGTTTTTTGTGCACACCGACACGATCGGCATCCCGGTTTGCTGGATCAAACCAAATCCACTTAGGTCTTCGTCGACAACGATTTGACGAAGACTGCCAAGTCCATCAAGAAACTGGCTGAAAGGATTGGTACCGTGGAGACGGTAGCTGAAAAACAGCAAATTGCTGCTGAGGTTGACGAGTTATATCTGAAGAAATGCCGCTGGTCCGCCGAGACGAGGAAGGCAGGCGGAGAAGTCTCTCCAATGACGTGGTGAGTGAAAAAGATCGGCGGAGCGCCCGACAAGGAGCGCTACTATCCGCTCCTCGCCTTGTTAGCTGCATGGATTTTCGCGATTTCAACATCATCGACTACCCGCAAACGATCGTTGAGTACCCACGGCTTCATACACACCAAGCGGCGGAACCGTTTGGATGCGAGGCGTGTAGAAATGTTCGTGCTTATCTAATGTAATGCTGGCGGTAAGGATGTCAAGGCCAACATATTTTATAAGCTAGGAGACGAAAGCGAGGACGAGGACAATGGCGACGCGGGCGTCAACGGAGTAGATCAGGGAAGCGAGGGCTTAATCTCTTCTCCCAGGTCGAAAGCATATCAGTAGCATGAGTGCAAAAAACCTACTAGTAGGCGCGTAAAAATTAGTTTTAACACGGGCCATCTCTCGCGATCAGACAAGATTTCGGAGGTCGCCCCTGAGCCGAGTATCGATGCACAGCCTATTTGGCTTTATAGGTAGGTGCATACGCATGCTTATAAACCTGGAGAAGGAGTGAATAAGTCTGTAACATCGCCATTTAGCTTGGAATCGATTCGCGCCGTTCTGACCTATGCCAGCTTGATGAAAAACATACGCCAGATTCAGTGCTCGATTTCAAGGTGTTAATGCCAAAACCATACTTCCAAAATGTTCATATATATAGAAGAAGGTTAGTTCTTCGCGGTACAATGCTGTTTGCACGCTCAACAACATCCTAGCATCGCAGAAGGCTGGGCCACAAAGACAACAAGATGCTGTTCCTGTTGAAGGCAACTTGTACATAGTCAGGCTTTGTCGAGTTATCGCCACGTTGTAACGGGAATACTCGACAGCGAGGGGTACGCCAGGGTTACTCGAGGGTTACCCTCCGCGGGAACCCAAAAATCCCCCTTTGCGTTACGCGTTCGTGGCAGCGGCCGCTCCGGTGTGGAAGTCGAGCGCCGTCGCTTATGGAGAAGTTATCGCTGGTGTCACAGGGCAACACTCACGAAGAAGAAGGCACTGCATTAGCCTCGGACTACAGTGGTGTCCCGAGCTGAACAAACCGGTTAATCAACTACAAACCCCTTTGGCTGGCCGTTCTAGGCGTATCAGTGAAAGGAACAAGGACACCATCGGCTCTGGACGGAGACGGCGACAGAGGGTTAGCGACGACTGGTGTCTGCCCAAGAAGAAGAGCAACTGGTACAAGAAGAAGACGAAGAAGTTGATCTACCGCTACAAGATCGGTATGACCTCCATGAAGATAGTATCTACAAGATACAAGCCGCGGTGGGACGGCTGCGTGGAGAGCGAGTGCCAACTGGTGCCCGCTTGTGAAGACAGGGCGCGCAAGCACAGACTGCTGGGTGAAGGAAGGGCGACGACAATGGTTTACTATGTCAATTCACTCTCTGCTACGTCTAGTAAGCGCTACTTATTGTCGTTACAAGGTGGTCTTCTTCTCGCGCGTCAGCTGAAAGCCAGGTGCTCATTATGGCTTACAGGTCCCCAGTAGCTGCATGGTATTTGACTGACTGATGTGTGGTGGTTGCAGTTGGTTATGTAGGTGCTCTACAAGCTCAATGCTATGAGAAAACGCAATGTGCTCGCTGTCGACCGGGCTGACGTTACTGGGCAGGTCGGCAAGCCCAGGTGCTGCTTGGGCCGGTACACGCCACACCACAGCTCCGCGCGTGTACTTGGTGACCCACAGGTGTCTGGTCGAGACGTTGGCTCACTCCTGGACAAACGATCCGTCGTCGGTGGTCAAAACCACCGGGACCTTCAAGATCAGTGGCTAGTTCGTTACATTGCCAAGACGTGTTTTGGCCTCGCTTGACACGATGTGTCATATCCGGCCCTTGACCTTTGCCACGATTCGCTGGGCTTCGCTCGCTGGCTTCGCTTATTCCGCTGTCCCCATGGATACATATCCACGAGGGTTGCCGGGGCTGATTGGCAGGCGTTTGGCCTCCGTCACGTTGACGCAGTACTTGTCGCCGTCGATGGCGACATCGACGATCCAAGGTGCGAAGTGTCCTCGTCCTCGAGTCGTCCGAGGTGAACATGATTCCATGGACGTTCGCTCTAACTCGGTTTTGGCGCACCAGTGTACGCGTCTGTGTAAGTGCCGAGTACGACACGCATCAAGGCATCAACAGCGGCCTCGACGTGGTCCACCAAGTTCGTCGTGCTGGTGTCCTCAGAAGCCGGCAGCCGCTGATGTATGAGAGCGGTTGGTCTTCTACCGGAAACGCACGGCGCAGGTCGACAACAGCGTGTGGTTCTTCTGGAACTTCAGCCTCGTGAAGGCTCCGTACGTGCTGGCCGGCGCGCTGCTCTTCACGGTCATGTACTACCCCATGATGGGGCTCGGATACCCGGTCAAGGACGCGCTATACTGGGTCAATCTAGCGCGGCTGGTCCTGTTCAAAGAGTGCCTGGCGCAGCTGGCCATGTTCTCGGCCTCGACCATGACGCTCGCGACCATCATTGGCATCTTGAAGCTATACTCCTACTGATCGATCGTCAGGATGAACATGAGCACAAATCAGCGCTATCAACGCGCGGCGACCGTGGGGGCGACACCACGACTGGAGTGTGCATTTCCGCCTTGGTTTGGGCAAGTTGAGGAGACATGGAGCGCTCCGACCTAGCGTTCGTGGAGCTGGCGGCCGGTGCAGGCATGGCTGTCGCCAGTTGGGGCAGCGGCGGTGCACCAGCCGCCGGTTTCGCTCTCAAGATGTCAGCAACATGACGCGGACGCTGGGGCACAGCACATGGGGCCTTCGGTGTATTTCCAGAGCGTGTCGTAGCTCACTTTAAAAGATGGCGTTCTTGAGCACGAATGCTTGACGAAATGTCGTGTAGCACGAGGCAGTTGATGCCGACGCGGGTGTGAAGCTGGTGCCTTTCGACTGCTCGGTGTGCAGCGGCATCATACCGTGAGTATACATTGATGCACGGGATTTCTGTGACGCGAATAATTCATTCGGAAACTCAGGACGGTAAAAGTGTACTTGACGCTCATTTTGCTCGCTCCATGCAAGTGTTGATTGATTGGGTCAAAGAGGGGAATGACTGTACTACACCAACACAAGTTGTGATGGGTATGGTGGGTTGCCAAACACCGTGGTTGAGCTTGTTAACCACAATCGAGAAGTTTTAACTGCTTTGTCGTCTGAAGTTTCTACGATGGAAACACAACTTCGCGGTGTAGTCGGACGCGCAAATGAGATTGAGATCTCATTTACTGGAAATGCGCAGTATCCGAGTCATAACGGTGCCTTTGGGTATAGGGTATGCCCGGATTTCACTCTCAAGATATTTGAATATTCTGGAATTGGTACTGGGATAAATGTTTACTGTCATCCATCGCTGCGCACTTGCACTTTTGATACCGGGGAGGATGGGTATCGGCAGGCAGTAGCGGAAGACGAATATGATACTCCTATCGATGACGACGAATATAGTGGAGACCTCGTCGTCACGCCCCATAACGCCGACGAAATCGGCCGTCGAATTGGTGTTGATCTTGGAAGTGACATAGACGAATCGGATGGAGAAGAATATCGGCGAGAAACAGTGGAGATGAATGCAACAGAAGGACCTGTTAGTGATGCTCGTATTGTTACCCAGGGCCAACTGCGTCGTAGAATGCGGACGTTACGAAAAGGAAAACAGACAACGCCTCCATCCCTACCGGTTGTCAAAAAGAAAGATGCCGTGTCTTGAGAAGGGCATTGGAGATGCGTCGTGCTGGGACACTATTTGTCCAACAAGCTTCAGGCTCTTATAATAGCTTATCAAAAGCCACGCTTGATACATTTAATATTTCCCACGAGTTTCCAGCAGGATGGGCCGTGCGCCCGCAAAAAGGAAGCATGTACGGTGCAAAGTACATAGGACCCTTTCGCGCTGAAATTCAAGAACTTTTCTGTCGTGGCAAAGTATCTAGCGCAGAGAGGAAAGGTCCAGGTGGCATGCTTGAAGTTTTGCGGCTACGTTATCCGGATCGGTTTGACCTACCCAGTGAAAATGAGATTCGTCAAGAGATCACCAAATCGAAAAGACAGTGTACGCAGCATGGAGAAGGCCAAAAAGCAAGAATTACCAAAGATCAAATCAGCTTTCTTGAACAGTTGCTCTCGAGAGAGCCCGACACAGCACCTAAAGTTCTTGTAGCAGAGTTTCGAGCAGTATACAAGGAATCTGAACTGACCGACAATCAAATCAACTACCAGGCGAAGAAGATAAAAAAAGAATTTGATTAGGTAGTGTAGTGTGATGGTAAATACAAGGTTGCTGCGCATTGGCTGGGAAAACCATTTTTCTACTTCGTATTCTTTTAATACTAGACGTGCAAGCTCTGCATGGTTATTGTCAGGCAGATAAAACAAGTTCAAATGCAGCCCTCAGTGGTGCCGATGTGACACAATGTAAACTCTCTACGAAAAGTGGACGTGTGTACCAATATGTAGTTGCTGTTCGAATACAGCTTGTTGTATATTCTTCGGTGGCTGGTGCAATAGTTGGTGAACTGCCTGTGGAAGGGTTGGAAGTAAAGCCACAGCTGCAGCTTTCGAGAAGCCTGTCATGAACGGTTCTAGCAGTCGAAGGCAGGCAGATGCTGCGGTTGCGAAACAGGCGCAGAAGATGCCCGTGGATAGCGGTTTTGCAGCACAAATATTGATGTAAGCTTAGCACAAAATTGAGTCAAGAAGCACTGTTAGTTGATGCCAACTACTACTTAACCTGCCAGATACTGCGGCTGCGAAGCAGCCGCAGTATCTGGCAGGTAATGTGCCGAGAGAGTTTTTCTAGTACGAAAGGATGTTCCAGCCAGCAGTCTTGTTTACTTTACACTTCCAAAAGTTTTTCGCTCCTTTAGAAGTTTTCGAAGCCTCTCCTAAATGCGATTTCGATGTTTGCTGAACGTTACCTGTAACTGGGAATACATTCGTGACGAACAAGGGGCGTTGCTTGAGGCTGGGAGGACAGATATTACATTGGTGGTATAATGTGAGATATTGCATTATTGTACTCCCCATTTACTGTTCAAGTAGCCGTTCTCGTCAAGCACTTGACTGTGTAGATGTTGGTCCGTAACTTGAGTAGTGTTTCTCGACGAAGCGAGGTAGTGAGTGGTAAGCATCGTAGTCCATCTGCTGTGTCGTTCCAACATACAAATGTTCAAAGGACAAAACCGGCTTAGTTTGAGGTTCGTCGAGCAGAAGTGGGACCCGTTTTAGAGTTGCTCCTTGCGCTGTCAAAACGGTTTGAACGAAAGCCTGTTCAACAGCATGCATGATGTACTTGTACGGCTTGTTGACTTTGGAACGAAGATAAGAAACCTTCACACAACACGAATCTCCTCATCAGACAAAGGACGATAATTCTCCGTTTGTGAGTGACTCCACCAGTATTGACTATCATCTCCGTGTCGAGGTTTGCTTCGGGTGGCCATCTTTCGCCGCTGATGTCAGATCCATCCCGATGTATTACTACGACGGTGATATAGTCTGGTGGATTCGGTATCTCCACGATACCCCATCCGAGATTGCCTGCACTATTGTTCAGAACTTGAGCAGGGGCTCCAGGAATGAAATACGCAAACAAGTAGGATGTAAATCTTCGTTGTACAGAGCTATCAAAAGACTTTCGTCAGTCTTTGCCGAATTGGTCGTCTCCACCGCAGAACTGGGATGCCATTTATGAGCCAAAAAGTAATGCAGTGGCTCTGGAGTCTTCCAGCCGACTATGAGCTGCGTGACGCATGGTCACGGAGGAAACGGATCGCAGAAGGCGCCAGGCGCCACTGGTGGTCCAAAGAAGAAGAAGAAGCGCTATTCGTGAAGCTGCTCTGGCGGCAGTGCCTGAAGCTGAAAGAAGAAGCTGAAAGAGGAAAGCTGCGTCTGAAACTGCTGTGGTGGAAACTATAAGGCTAGTAAGCTGTCGGTAGGAACGTAGGAAATAGGAAGTGGAGGTTGTAGTAGGAAATAGTAACGTATGTAGTTGGAGCTGCAAATGACAGCAAGAAAAAGATAAAGACAGCAATGCAGTCCCAACATGCATATGAATATCTGTGTTGTCTAGTTTTTTTTAGAGCCTCCGTTCTCATTTATGTATCGATGGCGTGTCATAACGCTGATGTCGTCGGAATGTTTTCTATGGTACGAGCAACTTTTTTGGACGAATTAATGTCTGTGAGGCTGTCCATACAGCTCTTCTAGCTGTCCTCCCAGGATTAAAGTTTGTGAGGCTGGTAAACCAGCAAGCTGGGCTCCCCGGAAAAAAGCCTTTGTATTCCACATTCACGTTTCAGTACTGGCAGTAACACCCCAATGAGAATAAGATATTTTCAGTACATCGTGAGCTGACAAGTGGGAGTGAGCTCGTTTTCGCTCCACCTTGTAGTGTTCTTCCTGTGACCCTCGCTGGGTTGCTGGCTCGCATTTATACGTAAAATTCTCTAAATGCAGCTTGGGGTTTGTGTAATGTAGCAACGGCCACCCTTAAACTCACGAAACAAAAACACACAGTAGAGGAGCTGGAGGTCCCGAGAAACCTTCCTGTATGACCTGCTCACTACGGAGTATTTGGATACTAACCTGGCACGCCACGGAGGATAAGAAGGGCAGGAGTACGCGACTTGTCCTACGCGCTAGTCGTGGATGTGCTGCGGCGACGTTGGTGGCAGCCACGTAGGTCAGCAGAGCCGCTCGGCGCTTGTGGCATGGCATGTAAACGCTATTAAAGGGGCTCGCCGAGGGCGTTATCGTCCGACACACCAAATTGGCACGAACAGCCAATGACATCAGCTTCGATTATCCTCATGGACGCCTGCGCGGCGTCTTTCCGCTGCTTGTACATACTGTTCACATTGGCTTCTCGTCGACATTGGGCGCGGAGTTGGGTACGGTGGTCTCATACTTCTTCACGATTACTGGCGATCTAATCACTAACAACCCTCTATCTATCCGCGCTGCCTCCACCAGTGCTGATACGCACTGGCAGATCCGCAATTCTCGCTTAGGGCTAGTAACCCTGGGTTACGCTGAGGTCCGTCTAAGATTACCTGATCGTAAACATATGCTGAAGTGCAATTTAGCGAAATCGTTCGAAAGAACTTTATGGAAGGGCCTGTTGTCAAGTTGTACGCGGATAATTTGCCGTCCCCTGACAAGAATTCCAAGTTCGGCGACCCATAACTCGGCAACAACGCGGGTGCCAGGACCCGGACACCCCTCACTATGCTTAGATTTGTGTGCTCTAACTGCTCTTCGAATCTCGTGTCTGTATAAGCAAATCTGTTCATCCTCGAATTTCGGTTGACCTCCGGAGATCGTCGATTTTTCGCCTGATCGCAATAGATGACCCGTGTTAATATGATGTTTTTATAGGGCGAAATATGCACATCATAGACAGTACAGAGTGCAGGCGGAGACGTGAGGGTGTGTCCATCTAAGGCACTTGCACCGTGTAGACTTGGATGATAGCTTCTAACTGCGAGTAGCGGCGAACTCAGCAAAACTAAAGTGCTAGAGGGTCAGAAATGTAGCTAGGGGGTTACTAGGTCGTCTTCGACTTGGCTGGGAACACCTGTGGTATAAAACGCTGGTGCTGGTACCGGTGCTGATTGCCGTGATAAGGAAGAACTGTGGCTCGCGTGATTCAAAATTGTGCCCCCTGCGGGGCCACACCCATGAATATCGCGCGTACCGCAGTTCACTTTCCGAAGCTGGTGCATAGGGCTGTTGATGTCGATGCCTTGCTGAAAGTTGTCGTTGAACCTGCTCGGTCGACATCCTTCTGGCTCGTGTAGCACGAAGGTTGCGCCAGGTTACGCTTACGCGTCCAATTAATCCGTTGGGAGCTGTCCACCCCCTCATTCTTCGGGTGTTCCCAGTATAATACATGAGATATACGCTCGGTTCGTATTACAAGCTGCTGTTGAGCTGCAAGGAGCATGAATAGACGGTACCAAAAGTGAAACTGGGTAGCCCATATAAAAACTTTGAGATATTGTCACCGGTACCTTACCTCTGCTAGAAATATTTCGTATCCTTCTTGTTCGTCGTTTCTTCTCGGTAGCTAGGTCAACACAATGGCTATATTTTTCTGTGTAACGGGGTTACACGAGAGTTACCCGAAGGGTTATGAAGTGGATACACACTGTCTAACCTAAATCAGTAGGATAATCAGTACATGGCTTCAGAGCCACTGGTTATGCATATGACTAGGGTTCACTATGCTAGATAGTGAACCGGATACATTTACACCGTAGGCGGCTTGGCCGCGCTAAAGAGAAATACATTCAGTTTGAGATTTACACACCTAAGAGTTAAGGGTTGACTCTTGGAGTCCGTAAGGTGTACGGACTCGTACGATCTGGTATTAGAACGGGCTATCTTAAGCTGAGACTCTGTGAGTCCGTTACATCTTCCTCTGACGCTAAAGCTACGGCAGCCCCGCTGCACTTGGTAGCACTCGTAGTCAATCCGACACCTGAGTCTGTATAGACTGACCCTCTGTGGAGAATGGAGCAGTTCGCTCACTTGCCCCCGAACCAGCAGGATGCGCTTAAAAAGCTTATGTCCTTGCTGGGCCCGGAGGGCGTGACGCAACCTGCGCAGCAAGGCCCCGACGCGGTGAACGCGCGTCTCGAGGCGTTTTCAAGCTACGAGAATACTCTGCTAGAGCACCTCCAGCAGAGGATGGCAACGGCCGCGGCGCCCCAAGCGCCCGCTACGTCATCCGACGCGGAAGCAAGGCCAAGCTGCTCATGGTGAGCGTGAAGACCTTTGAAGGCCAAGAAGGAGAAAGCTTGATGCTTTGGCTCCGCGAGGTCGAGATGGCTATGAGCTCAGCTATGCTCAAGACGGAGCAACAGCGCGTGGTACTAGCTATCTCGAAGCTCGGTGGGCGAGCGAGAGAGTGGGCACTAACGTCTGGGACGTCGGTCGGGGTGGCCTTCCCGACGTGGGATCAACTGAAACAGCAGTTATCCCGAGTGTTTGCTCGCCTAATCAGGCGTATCGCGTGCGCTCACGCTTCCTGGCGACCAGGCAGAGCAAGAAGGTGTTGATGAACTATGTCCAAAAGTTGAGAACTCTCATTGCTGGCATGTCTGCGGACTCCCTGCCGGAAGCAGTCACCGTTACGGTGTTCATGGAGGACCTTCGCACTGGCGTTGCCAGGACGGAGGTGTTCCGAACCCACCCGAGCTCTTTTGAAGAGGCTGTGAGCGTCGCATTGAATGCGGAACACAACT